AGCTATACAATCGATTGAATCTCAATGGAAAATTATGTCACACAATAGATCAATTTTCATTTGGGTTTCTCTTTTTGGTCATTAAATTCGGATATTCTTTTGAACTATATATTCACTTTATAATTGCAAAGTCCCATTTTTCCACGGAAATTCAACCAATTACTAAGCTTAATTGTACTGTTGAATACTTTTCAATTATAAATCGCTCTTTTGAAGTGAAATTCAATGTATATATCTGTACTTATATACAAAGCTAGACTCAATGCTTTTCGATGCTCTCTGGGTAATATTCCAAAAAGCTTTCCCCAATCAACACCCACAAACAAATACATATTGTGGAACGCCCACTCAGCTACAGAACGCTCAGAAGGAGCATCCATGGCATCTGTGTTGATGAAATAGAAAACAATGGTGTTTTCAACCAATTTCTCCCCGAAATACGTTCATTTTCCGACACCAATCACATTTATTCACATAGAATTTGAATTTTGTCACTTCTTCAAAGCTTCATTACAATTGCTATAAGGTAAAGTTGACAGAATGTCTTCAAGCACATTACAGAAAGCAATATAGTGACTAATAATGAATTTACAATTGAGAATTATTCCCTCTCTGTGCGGGATCGCCGGAGTCAAGGCATCAGAGAGCGGGGGAGTGGATTGTTACTTATTAGCTTGCGTGGAAATAAGCCATATATGCATAGCAGAATGGTTTGTCTGCAGTGGGATTTGAAAATGGAATAATTTCAATATGTCGGGACACAATTGGTGTTGTCGGAAACAACCCGGAAACTGTAATGAGCTTTGAGCAGAATGGATATGGACATTCGTATGAACAAGGTATCCTGTGTAGCTGAAGTCACGTTGATGAGCTCGTTAGAGGATTTTTTTTTTTCTGAAATTTTGATAAACACCACAGTTATGAGCACAGTAATAAGCATCTCTTCAGTGCATCCTGTGCTAAATGGTTGTGGAGTTGTCCCAGTTTTGGTTGAAGAGGCCACCGTGCAGTTCTATTATTTTGTAAAACAATAGGACGTGCTTCGAGGACATAATGAGAAATGTGTGAATAAATTCTAGTCATTTCTGCAAAAAGAATGTGCCTTGAATGGCTCTTTTGTAATAATTTACATTCAGCACGACTTTTCATACACTCGTTCGGGTACAGACAACAAGTGAAGACACGAGAGAAAGAATTCCTCATGCAAAACGTATAAGATATGTCTTATTTTATTGATTTATGACATATGAAAATTTTGTGACATCTTTTTATATTCAATTCATGGTTTTTTTTTCTTTATGCACTCTGAAAGGGAAAAATCTCAATTTGGTTTGGATTGAGTTTTTTGTTATCTTGAATATGTAGAATACTATGTTAATGAAGAATCTCATGTTTCCCAATCAATTGGCGGCACTTTATCAGACTTCGCCAGGGAAAAGTGAACTGAAAACTTTGGACTAAAATCCTTTTATTGCGAATGTAAATTCAGGGATGCGAGTGAATATCCGGGAAAACCTTCCGTAATGAGTTTTGAAAGTGTGTCTTTAAATTATTCACCAAGTTTATTAATTTTACCCCTTAATTTCGGACACTGTTTACAGAGGAGTCTTCTAAAATTATATCGTCTTTAGGGTTCCGGACGCCTTCCCTCAGTGATTGTGCACAATTGTTCAGTGGAAACAATGAAAAGTCTCAATGTTGTGTGTGTGTGCTTTTTTGCTGCCAATCCTATGAAATCACCCTCACTTTGGGGTTGCGTTTTGGGAGTGAAAAGCTTGCAGAAAAGGTCTATAGCCATGTTATCATTTTGAGTCGTTTTTCATATGAAAGGCTTCTTTCTCTCTCTCTCGCTCTCTGTAAATTTATGTTTCGCGCAACTTTTGAGAAAGGATATGTCCCTAGTGGTATATCCTTGCCTCTCTGCCAAAGTGAAAATACGGGTTATGTAGGCTGTAAATATAAATTTCGTCTGACGTACATAAATATTCCGCATTGATTGAGCTCACAAGCTATCAGTTGTTGGCTGCATTTCTTCATTTATTTATCCATCTGTGGTAACGCACAATATATGCCTGAATAGAGGGAAAAAGCAATTCTAAAGCCTCATGGTGGGCAATGCATAACTGTGGAAGCATTGTCACCCACATAAAATGCCTTCGCTCACGTGTATAAAAACAACGCGAAGGGTGGGCGAGCTTCAGAACCATAAACTCAGCTCCGGCCTCTCCAGACCGAGAGCGCGAAGCTCTGGCGAACCTCTTTGAAAAGAAAATATAACACACATCGCATACAATTTTGAAGCAGCAACAAGTTAACTCGAGTGAATTCCGCTCGTGATGGGCGGGCGAGGGTTGTTATATTCAAGGCTCCGAGAAAGCGGTTAGAGGGTTGAGCTCGTTGAGCTGCTCAGCCTCCGGTTCATACGTTATGGAAAATTTTTGCGAAATACAAAGCGTGTCTTATTGAGTTACAACCGTGCACTGGCTCAGGAACGCTAATGCAATACGAAAACATATACCATTATGATGGATATGTATATATTATTTATAAATTCTTCCTTTCCATTCCCCATACTGTTGGGCGACTTTTCGGTGGGGCTTCAGGTGTCATTATCGTGATAATATCCAATTTCCTCGACTTCTCGAGAGATATGCTTTTTATTTCACGGAACATTGGCATCAAGTGGGAGCAGCGAGAGCAGAAACTTGACCATTTTTAAAAAAAGCCCAATGTGAATTTGCTTGCATATTGAATTCGCAACTTGAAAATTGAATTATCTCTAGTGCAAACAAAAAGGCTAAAAAGGTGTGCTGATGTACGATTGTGAAGACTCTCAGCGGAGAACAAGCTCTCTCTTTCTCTCTCTCAACACTTCGCTTTGATTTTCAATTCAATCCGTGAATTATTTATCCTCAATGGCCTATAAAATGGATAAAATATTGAAATGCCGAAATCATTTCTCAAGGTTGTAAATCCACAAATCGATGGAATTGCCTTTCTGTTGAACCATTTTTTTTCTCCCCAATTCGCCAACATTCTCGTCATGTCTGAGAAATCTCTATCATTTCAATAACACCACTTCCTTCCTCAATTTCGCATTCACTCATCAGCTAACAATAAACAAGTCTCTGAGAGGCTAAACAAAGAAAGCTTTTACCCCCTTAACACAATTTTCCTCTTAGAGAGCGACAGGGTGTGCCAAGAACAGCAACGGAAAAACTTAATCGTGAAAATTTAATTTAATTTAACCAATAGACCGAACCCCAGAGCACAGAAGTGAATCTCACAATAACTCCTGAGAGCAGAATAGATGAAAATTCAGAGCCAATTCCGTGTTTCGACAAAAGTGGGAATAAGAGTTACGCACAAGTACCCTGAAAATGTCAATTTTTCCAATTTTCCCTCAGGCCCACGTTATACATGTAACCCATACATTTATTCATTACCTGAATGTTGTAAAAGTACGGCAAGAGCAACATAAATCTTGTATGTAGTAATAAGGATAATATAAATACCTGTAAATAATCAAATGGATGGAGTTCAGGGAAGCATCAGCAAATTATATGTACTGCTGTGAAGAAAAAAGTTCAATGGTTTCAAAGTATTTTTCACCTTATTAGATAAGATTACATATTCAGTAATGGATATACGCTGAAACGAGCTTTCTCCCTTCTCTGACAGCTTTACATTCATGCATGACTACCAAAGTGAACAATCTTATGTATACTTTTTGAAGGATATCCTCTCCTGCGAAGCAGGAGGCTTGAAGGGTGTTTGCAAAGGTGTAAGAATAATCGATAAATGCCATGGAAAGACTCAAATCCAGACAAAAGTGGAAATACTCGTGAATTCCAAGTCCCTGACAAGCGCTGAAGGGTCATGAATTGAAAGTTTAAATGCGGCCCTTGCTGTTGAATTTTCCCCACTTCCTCTGGCTCAGTACGATGGAGGCGATGTAATAGTGACCAAGTGAGGGAAAGGATTACAAATTCCTGGAAGGACAGTAAAAATATGGGTCAGAATAGCCACACGTGTGCGGGTCACTGACTGTTGCATTCCAGATGGTTGGAAATTCTCAAGAGAAGTTAAAGAGCCTCAGCAAACACCCACGCACTTGAGAGGCATCGACAAGATTTTCCTTCGTAATCCGTTGTAAATTACATGATACGGATTTCAATAATGAATATGTACTTGTCATATAAATCGAAGAGGCAGAATCGGCAGAGCGAATAATTTCCTCAATAAGTATTTCATCAAACAAATGGGTGTCTTTCCATTGTTATGGCATTGAGACAAGATGGGAGAAAAATGAGTCTCTTCCTCAATGTAGTCGAGGAAATACAATTGAAGCATCTTGATTCGAATACAGGGAATTTTATTTTTAACTTGTTATGTTGCGTAGATATGTGTGTAGGTAAATAAGTATATCAATATAAATAGAAGAAATCTCGTATAGGTCTCTTCTATGAAGCGGCAAATTGTTCAGAATAAGTCACTCGAAAGAAATTTATTGTTATTTACGCGAAGCACTCACAAGATCTAAATCTTTGCCAACAGGTCAATTTGAATATTGTATCGATTGGCAAAAGGTTTCGTATTCTCTTGAATGTTTATAAAGAGAAATACAATCACAATGCCATTACGAAGAATCAGGGTTAACTGCTATTTACAATTGGGAAATCTCTGGAGAGTTTACATAATTATAAAATGTTTATTTGGCAAAACAAGTGGACTTGTTTACATAATTTGAAGTCTCCTTTTTATTAGTTCTCTCTCTCTCTCTCTCTCTCTCTTCCTCCCTGTAACCATAGGAATCTTGCACATTCCAACAATGAAAGAGAAACTTCCTGTCTGTTACCTTATTTGTGATGGAATACATCAGGCAAGATACCAAAAAAAAGTTGTTCTTCCATGTAATTCATAATAATTGATTCCAGGAAAATAGGAAAAGGTTCTTTTTTTCACTTTAAAATTGACAAATTGTATCTCTTTTGTTGCAGGAATATCAGCACGGCGATCGGAATCTGACTTCGTGCACATTTCTGAACGATGATGGATTCTCCTGGCCAGCTTTCCACATAGCGTTCTTCTCCAGTTCATATCTAGTCCCATTAGTGCTAATAAGCGGTTTGTACTTACGGATGTTATTGCGTCTGTGGCGAAACGGCGTGGGAGGAAGAATATCCGCCGAGTCTCAACGAGGACGTAAACGTGTAACAAGAATGGTTGTGATAGTTGTAGCTGCGTTTGCATCTTTATGGTTTCCCATACAGGTCAGTAAATTGTTGCGCTTTACTGTACAGTTGAGGGTGATAAATGTGACTCTCTCTATATTGACATCTGATTTTCGTCCTTGTGTATTGACGGGAAAATTCACACCCACAGCTCTTCGCATTAGAGTGGGCGGGAAACAAAGAAACACGCGTTTCTGTGTACATTTGGGATTTTAATTAATTTGGATTATTTATTGTGAGCTTTAATTGCAATTGATTCCCGAGGAATACAGACATGCTCTTTGTGTAGCTATAAAATGATTTGCTCTGAAACATTTATTGCACTTGGGAGTTAAACATTGTACGACATGATTTAGGGAAACTTATTTCATTTTATGTTGAACAAATAAAATAATCCATGTCGTTTTGTCCCCTTTGTAAGTTGGAAATTGGACAAGATTACAGTGCCGTAGGTTATTTCGACATTAATTTGTGCAGACGAGTTCAATAACAACAGCCAGAACAGCATGGCTTGTACGGAAAATTAGTTGGAAATCATAAAAAAAAAATTGTAAAAAATGCCTCAATTTCAGGTGAAAATATTAATCAACATAAAATTCATGTTTACACCCTGAGTCCCATTTTACATTTATGAAAGTCGCGCCGTTTGTATGCAAAATTGCTGGCATTTGAATAATGTTAATGATAAAATTGGGACATTGGCAAAGTATGCAGTGAAGGGTTAGTCTGCGGGGAAAAGTTTGAATATAAATTGTGTAAATCGAAGCACTAGTGGTTAAGTATGTACATACATAATGTGGAGAGTTTCTGCCATGGGTTCTGTCCTCTGAGTCCTATTTAAATAGAAATGTTTTCTCGAGGCTTTAAATTTCTTAACAAAATGTGATGTTTGATACTTAAACTAAATCGAATACACATTCGGGAATATGTTACATCAGTATCAAGTGATACGTGGCGATAATGTATTTATTTATATATCGCACCAAGCGTGATGAAGCAAGTCACTCGTGATGCTTCCGTCGCCTATACATATTAGGGCGGGGCAAGTGACGTGTAAATGTATATTTAAGGGATTAGGGCCGTGAGCTATCTTAAAGTCCTTATTCTCCACAATACAGTGCTGCCAAATTGTATCTCAGTGTGCCTCAATTTCACCGTTTCGCTGAAAGACGTAAAGCTCTTGCGTGTTCTTCAATATGTAGCTGGAAAGATTATACATGAGATCTGTCGTTTAAAATAATTGCAATCCTAATGCGTTGGTGCTTAAAACACGTAAAAACATCGGAGGGGAGATAATAGGATAAAGGTAGTAATCTGACAACGGTTAGAAGAAATGCTCATCAGTGATAAAAGTCCATTTGAGGCACCATATAAAATTCGAGTAATGCCAAGTAATTGAAACCACACACAATGTGATAGATTGCAAGGAAAGCTGCTTGATATGGATATGTTATATATGTACGCACATGGAGTGTAGTGCTTGAGGTGTTCTTTCACATATAAAGCTTTCAGGGCATGTGAAGGATGTATATAAGCACCTGGAAAACGCCCAGACTTATACGAAGTGTAATTGGTAATTGGTGGAAACCCAATTACTTCATGAGCCCATTTGGCAAGTTATTTAAGAAACCATAACTAGATGATTGTACATCATGAACTCAATTTACTCAACCGATTCTCTTGTCATCACCCATCCAGCGCCGATATTTACCTAAAATTTTCAGCAAACTCACCTGTAATTAAATTCCACATACAATTACACTGATGTAGCGCTGAGGTGACTTCAAAGCTCATCAATTTCTTTTGACAATTCGTCCTTCGGGGATGATAGTTCACGGAGGAGTGCGCGAAATTTGCTCAACGATTGGAAATTGTGAAGGAGTCTCTTTGTCTATGAATTTCTTTTTGATCTCTCCACATCATGGAGTATCATTGCAAAGGAGATTACATTGTGCCTCTTTCTTTTTTTCCAATAAAATTACAATACACAATTTCCTCATGGTGACCCGAAAATATTCTCTGTTCTTCTCTTTGATATTTTCAAGATGTTTTTTCGTTGCTCAACATCAGTGAAAGGAACCCTTCCGGTTTATTCATTAGGCCTCTGTGGTAGTAACAAAAGCACCATCCACAATTCATGAATTTTATGCTGTTTTTTCTGCTACCTCAAACGCTCTGATGAAGTTTATCCGGTTCCGTCAAAATTTTCAATTTTTGTGCAGGATCTCACAATTCGTAGCACAGCATTTTCAGTAGAAAAAAATACAACCACAGGAAGTTTCTATTTTTCTTGTATAAACATTGCAGTGGAAATTCATAAGTGAGAAACCATGCGAAATTTATGAATAATCATGAATTCTCCACATGCAAGAGCACTTTTTTCCTGACTTGAGGCTGCATTTAGTGTTTTTCTCCTGCTCACAGTGTTAGGCAATAAAGCGTAATTAGGATATATTGATGCATAATTTCCATGTTTAATTTCATTAAGGCGTCATGCCGTAGGAGCAAAAAATAATGAAGTGTAAAAAATTATCGTAAAGACTTGCAGCGGCAAGTTCATTAAGTCCATATCATCAACGGACTGCATGCAGCGAGTGGACTGATGTGATATATGATTTTTTCATCGGGACATTGAATGCATTGCTGGGACATTAATCGACACACTAGGCGCCTCCATCGTGGGGCGCCTGCATTACAATTTCCATTATGTCGTATAATAAATGAGCAATTAAAGTGATCATTCTTAATGGTTGCACACTGTTGCTGGTCTTCTTTGCCCCATTTGTCGTGGGTGGTGCAATATATAAATGATGAAAAATGCAGAGGGATTACTTCAGGGGCAATTTCCCACCCAACGGCGTAATATTTGAATGTGATTCGAACGCACGCGTATGGAAACAACCTAAAGGCGAGAATTTTGAATAGAAATGTAATTTCAACAATACCGCGATGATTTTCTAAAATTCTATTAGCACGATGTGAATTTGGTTGCCATATCGAATATTGATTAGATGAAGGATTGAATGGGTTTGCTAAAAAATAACATTGAGCGCAGGCAAATTGATTCGCGAGGTTAATACTATTTGAGAAAACAAAGGGAAAATCGCATATCGAAGTATGAAAGCATTACAGCATTTGCAAGTATGTCCTCACATAGAAGGGATGAATGGAAATTGAACGAAAATATTTGTTCTGAATGATTCTCAACAATTTTACATAATAATATTTGGCTCTTTGCGATGGGAGCATAAAAAGTTCATAAAGAAGAATTTGAAATAAATTAAAAGCGAATTGAGGCGGATATGAAGGGCATGCATATATTTCAACAATTTGGGGTTTTCATGTCAAAACCATTACATTCCGGTGTGTTAGAACAGAAGAAAAGATTTCTATTTGATTGGTCTTTATGCCGGATATTTCCATTTTTTCTGTCCGGCATCAACAGTGAGAAAAGGAACGAATGTGGTATACAGCATATCCCTGTTTTTGTGTCTGTTATTATCATAATAATGGCAAATAAAAACCTACGTGATTTTCTATTGAGGATTTCGTCTGAATTTTTTTTCTGTATTTGTATTTATCTAAACGCATTTCTCCAACCCCCGTTAAGTCTCATCCTTGAGCTTCTCCCATGAACATTTGTATCTTTCGTGATCCTTAAGCCCTAAAAAGATACACATACCTTGGCGGCGGAATGCTTGATAAGCACACATATATATTCAATGTAACAAAGAAGCACGTGAGCAAGAATTATTTGATAATTTTCCTGAAAGATACACAAAATGGCAGGAAGAAGCAAAAGCACATCAGGAAAATTCCATTTAGAATAACAATTTGCTAATTGCTGTTCCTTTGAACTCACTGTTCGTCCACTTGTTCATCAAAATATCCTTGGTGAAGTCTCGGAAGGAGATGCGTAAGAAATTACAATTATATACAAGAGATTTACTCTGCCAAAACACTCAAATATATAAGTCAAAGAGCGAAAAAATCCATCCGAAGACAAGCTATGTGGAAATGTATTTGCTTTTGAATAAAATCCACTCACCCGTTTCACGAAAAATACATCACAAGACGGAAGCGATATGATTTCAGGTTTTCATATTTTTACTATACATACCATATCATAGGAGATCTCCAATGTCTTCCTTTTATCCCACCCATCATAAAGCGATATGTAATTTCCGAAAATACACAATAAAAAATTCTTTACCCATATCTGTTTTTCATCAGATATTCGGTGTTCTGGGATTTTAAGTGTTAGTCGTATTTACCTTGTGAAATATAGCGAGGAATTTATCTCTCACAGTCTCACACATTATTATTTCTCTGTACAAATTCCTGGTTGTTCTGGCAACTTTAAGCTTTGGGAGGGAAGGTTTGTAATAGAACTGAGTCATAAGATGCGTCGCGAGTCAAGTGTTTCAAAAGAGGTCTTATGAATTAACATGAAAATGTGTGACTCTTCTTTCACAATTTTACTCAGAGCGTAAAATTGTGCGAATTAACATTTCTCATTATGTTCACTGATGCCATAGAAGGAGTATCGTTGCGAAAAACAGTAGAAAAAAAAACTATTTTTTTCACTTACTTAGCTAAAAGCGGGAACAGAGAGAAACAAAAAATGCTTAGTGGCCAGAAGAATCCTTTCACAATTTCGCTTTTAATGAAGTTTCCTTTGTCACGGTTGAGTATAATTTTATAAGCTGAAGTTGGGTAATAAAATTAAGCTAGACGTCAAAATCAATTCTATTTTGTCCATCATTTATACATATTGCAAATGAATTGATCAAGTTAACACCTGAATTTGAAATTATTCATAGCAGAGTCACGCTAACTTATTTATGTAGCTGTTTTGTACATATAAAATTTATCATTCACACGCAAAGCAACGTAATTTAAAATGAAATAACAATGTTGCAAACCAACATTCAATAATGTTCTTCTGAAGAAAAACACTTGCCGGGAGTGAATGGGAAACTTTTGTGTGGAGATGATAAAGGGTGTATTGTGGAAAGTGAAAACTTTTCCGCAAGAAATTTCGAATTACGCCCCCAATTTGAGCACGTGAAGAGTTGGTTATTTTTACATAACTCGCGGTGTGCTTACCTTTGAAGGGTGTGCTTGTGTTGGGCACTTTTTTATTGAGGTATTTTTCCCTTTTCACCGCAGAGGAGAAATAAAAAATTTTGACGTATTTAACGTGACACGAAAAATTAGCCGAGAAAATGATGAGGTGTGTTAATATGGGCTGAAGTTTTTTTTTTAGAGTAGCTGTTATACAATATAATTAAGGTATGGGAAGTTATGCTGACTCGAGAGACTTGAAGTAGGTCACAGTATCATTAGTGGAAAATATCGCTTATGTATTTCATTCTCGGGCTCAAGTTTACCTTTCAAATTTAAATATCTTCCCTGGTCGTCATCAAATGTTCCCATTAGCAATTACATTTTTCAACATTTTTGTTTTCCCCCATGAAAATTGTTTATCTTCATCACACACACACACACACTCACCATCTATTTAGGATATGAAAATTTAATTATTTGCCTCCCGTGCATCACTAAAGACATCGTCGCACGTCTGGGAAGTTTGGCCAGAGAAAAATTTTATGAACATTTTTTCGCACTGGACGACGTAGAAAAATTCTCTGTCCTAATTCTGGTTTATGGAAAATGTCAGGAAATGTATAATGTTTTTGCATGTTGGGCAAAATAAGAGGAATTAAATTATACATTCAGTAAATATTGAACTTTATGTCTATTTATATTAGGATTTTCCTCCTCATCTCCCACGCACACTGTGCAGAAGAATTAAAGTAATGACTCTTCGATGGATTTAAGTGCTTCCGTCCCGTCTCAGTGTAGGGACAGAATTACTACCGATCCAGCACTATATGTGTTGGCGTTCAAGAGATTCAATGAGTGAGAAGTCAGAGATTCTTGTATTCAACACTTAATAATAAAATGACTTGTTCGGCATTTTATTGGGCAATATATTCCTTGCCTCTCTGCACATTGATACTCCAGGAATATCCATATTTTGATATGATACTGTATGGGTGTAATAGAGCAATAAAATGCCTCCTAAATCCATTCGCCGCACTGCATTGCCACAATCTAATATGAGCACCTCATCCTCCTGACCGCCGGCTGCTAATGAACTTCTCAAACCTACGGTCTGGAATTTGGAGTGAAATGTTATCAAAACATATGCCAGAGAACCCCATGTTAGAAGCCGCCCACTTTAATTACGAAAACATGACCAACAAAGCGTACTTAACATTATCGATTGACTGGTGTATCAGAGAGCAGGGCGCACCTAGTAAAATTTGGCACTTTCATTGCGTCTCGCTCCGCTCGCAGGATCACCCATTAAGTATACATCTTCGCACACCCATTACCCATCACTCTTGAGCATCAGACACCATTAATGAAGAGCGCCGCGTGGGTGGGGGGCCGGAGACAAACATCTGCAGTATGGGGGACGATGCTTGTTTTGATGATACTGCCATCAGTCACTGGGGTTATTGACGGGATTGACAGTTTTCTCTCTTTTTTTTTGAAGAGGCGAGCTAGAGACAGAAAAGAGTCTGCTCGTGAGTGGTGGCAAGGCGATATTTTTGTCCAGCGAAAGCTCCCTGGGATCAAATTCATCATCATTGGTTGGGCAGAGCGAGAGCGAGTGAGAGAGAGCATTTTCATCAAAATAAACATATAACTGGAAGAGTAATTTCCTGGCGGCATGAACACCATTATCAACCACATAACTCTCCACCACATTACGGCTCAGTTGTGGTTGTGAATTGCAGGGCGACTTATTAAAATGTCTCATATGTGATCATGGTTGTGGCAGAAAATGCTTACCATCCACTTGGTTAGGGGGATAATCACGTTCTTTGGCACAAAGTTGGGTCGAAAGAGGCTCAACTTGCATAACACATAGTCAGCGTTTTTACTGTTGGAGCATCTCCAACGCCTAACGGTCTAATAGCCAACTTGTTAATTGGCATTGCTGCCCAACTATCTTCTTATTAGTCAACATGTATAGCTTGAAATCCTGCCCAGAGCAATTGATTTTTCATATATCTGAGAATATATGTTGAAAGTTATTTAAAGAAGAGCCGCATTAATGACGAAAAAAACGATGAAACCCTCCAGCCAATTGTAGATTTGGTGTGCAGTTGGGAAATTCTAGTTAATTAACTGTGTTTTTTCTCTGTCATTGCAGGTGATATTAGTTCTAAAGAGCACCAAACTGTATACTGCAGACACGGACCTGAAAATATCTCTCCAAATTGCCGCTCACGTGTTAGCATACATTAGTTCCTGCATCAACCCCGTGCTGTATGCATTTCTCTCGGAGAATTTCAGAAAAGCGTTTCGAAAGGTGAGCACACATTCAGTGCTATATTTATTATTTTTGCTCCGTTTAATTGTTCAACATGGTGTTGATATTTCAATTCATGTGCGCAAACAAAGCCATTTGGCGCAAGTGAGCAATTTTATTTTGTGATGAACCATTTATGAAAAGCATGCACACTGACAAAGTTACCAACGCAGAACAAGCAAAAGTGATGATAAACATGTGTACTCAAATCACCAGTTCAGGCATTGAATTAAATAAATACATATTTTCAGTACAACATTTTGTGGGCAAACACACACATATAATAATAAATCAAATTAAATGATATGCAAGTGGAAAAGTTTAATTTTCCAAAATGGATCATTTTAATGGAAAAATTGCAAATAGAACACCGAGCCAAATGTTGCTTTTAGCCAAATTACACACACAAACTTTCCTAGTTTTTTTTTTCATGCAAAAATTATACTTTCAATCATTGGCAAATATTTGATTCCATATAGACCATAAGGTCGGAGTATTAATATTTCATATCAGAAAATGTATAGCAAATTGTAGCAAAGTGCCATTTTAGCCCTGGGGGAAAGATGAAAATATGAAAAGTTTTTAATTAATGAATTTTCAAGATGAATTCAATTCTTCGTTCGGTAGAAATTTCCAATGCGAAGCATTTCATATTTTGCACAATTTACGCAATAAGGCATTTATTATGACGGAGTGGGATCATTTATTGTGAAATTTAATGCTAATTTCGGGACATTAAATCAATATTTATGGTGTTATTCCATTTTGAAAATGTGCATCGCGCCGTTTGTCCACACAATTTTACACACATCACAGTTCTTTGAGACGATAAGTCGAGTGCGAAAAGCTTTTATATCTGTATATCATCTCTTGATGGCATCTCACATAAGAGGGAAAATCGGGATGAGGAAATAGCAATATTTTATTTAACACAAAATTTCTCACTCCAAGTTGATCATCTGTATTCACCCACGTCTTGTTTATTGTAAACTTTGTGCGCTTGATGCTGAGTTGTTCGCACTCGTGGCACGCACCACAAGCTATAGTATTACTAAAGGGATAATATCGCGCTGTTATTACAATTCTCACTCGTCTGTGGATGGAGCATATGGAAATCTAACCCCTCATCACAATCACGCGCGCCTTTAAGGAGATCCCAGGGAAGGAATAAAACTTGTGCTGAGGCGAAATCTTGACTCTGGCGTGAGTGGATTTCCTAATTAAATTAAACTACAGACAATTTTACTTGCTGTCTTGATACAATATTTGCATGGAAGTGAGTCCATTTCCGTGTAATTAATTTCACTCCGCCCAACCGAACGTATGATTTTAAATTATGGCGAAAATGTTTCTCGGCATTCCTTCAGATACCCTCAAAAAACATGTTAAATATTCATTTCAATTGCGCAATAATTCACAGAACATACATATATACGGAAATATTTTATTTAATTTCTCAAATGTACTCATTCATCATTGTAATGTAATTTCTTCTGTTGTAGATACACATACTTGAACACGGCGAGATGGATTGCCCCTAAAATTTTCATTTATTGTACCATTGACTCTGATTTTGTGAAAATTATTATGCGGAGTAATGATATTCTTATTCTCTTCGTACTATCCCAGTCTTTATCTGTGGCATGGATTACCAAGTACATCTGTAAATGTCGTGCTATATCACACTAAAGCTCTATCCGTGACAAATGGCAGTTTTTGGGGGAATGGCATAATTTTTCCGCTGATTATTCACAAGAATTACCATGCAAATGAATGGATTCCTAAGCAGTCCCAAACTTACTCTCATGGTACATAATTCCAAGAATGTAAAAAAGGACAACATAAGCAGAAGAACACGTGTATATACCAGAAATTGTGAGTTACGATGAGAATATAATTAGCAAAGTGATTCATATTCAGCCTGGTACCATTTTCCTCCCTTAGAATTCACAATTTTTCCCGTGATACTCCTTTTCTGCAATCTCTGTATTCATGAAAACCCCTAAGAATACAAGAGGCGTGTAAAGCCCTGGAGCAATATAAATATTTCAGCAGTTTTTTTTTTTCTTGGCGATGCTTTTCTTCAACCTCTCACCCGAAAAGCATAAATGCGAGAATTTTTTGGCCATCGCGTGTTAGTATATATGTAGCCCAGGTGGAGTTAACTCACGCATAGACTTCGCAGTTTAGAGCAATAAAGGCGATGGAATTTATAAACAATTATATATATACAGAGAACATTTCCCACCGCGAGTTCTTCTTATCTCATCCGAAAACAATCCTGTTTTGGCGGAAAAATATGGATAATCGCGAGAAACCACGTTCAGTTTCTATGGAATTTAATCAAGAGAAATGACATACAGATTATTGTATATTCTCACATGAAGTGAGAAGCATACGAGCATAGTACGCTCGCTTCACTGACTTCTTTTGCTGAAACACAGAGAAGAGCGTCTCAATGCTTCTAAAGCATAAGACATAAAATATGTGGAATAATCAACAAAGGAGAAGCACTTTTCGAGCAATTTAAGCAGTAAATATATCTCGCATATCTTTAAGGTTATGAAGAATGCTGAATGTTAAAGTACTTATACATTCATTTCCTCTGCATTACGAATTAACTGACTTGGCAAACTAATGGTGCTTTCGGGACGATCGCTTTGTTGTGAGAGAAATAATAAATGAAGCTTTGAAATATGTATATAATGAAGCTTTTCCTATGAAAGACACAATTGTGCTCAGTGATTTGACACCTTGTCATTGCCGTGACTTATTTAACCTTCAACTACCTGCCATCAGATTATGGTTCAAATGTATCCTTGACAAACATTTGCCTCGCTTGAGTATTACCTCAACACATAGAAGGTTGGACAAAGCTCTGTGGACTAATTAAGAAGGTATAACGACATCGTGAGCCAAGTCCTGAGCAATGGCTTATTGAGCTTTATCCGAAAGGAATCTGATATTGATAAAGAATTTACAACGCCAAAGCAATAAATTCTTAGACTTAATTAGACATTAATTGTCGCCTGAATAAAAGAGAAAATGGCTGAGAATTTTTCTTACTACTTCAAAGAAGTTCTTGTAATTTATCCATAAAGTTGGAGCGTTTGTAAAAGAAAACCGTGCCATTAATTTAAAGTAAAGATTGTAAAACTCTTTAAATTATATTTGAGTACCTTCAAACTATACTGGAAATTCTGTAAATGAACTTTAGTGTGAGTAATTACTAAAATTAACACTCTATAGACATTGTGTTGCAGGAACTTAAATAAAGTGATAACCATGCCTTGCTGCCACTGTGTTTTGTGAAATCACGCAAACATTTAATGAGTAAAAGGGTTGCGGAAATTTATAGTGTTTTCAAACAATCAGGTCTACATAACATAATTTACCCTAGTTCACTTGCTCAACCCACTTTTTGCTATTAATGTCTGTAATCCTTCAAAATTATACAAAAGGCGGTGTTTTCTCAGCATTCCCGGAATTGTGTTAATTTAGTCGTGAGAAGCAGTTTATACGGTTGGTTTTATGGCAAAAGGGCGTCTCTTAATTTCAATTTAAATGAGTAATTTTCTTATTACACGAAGCATTTAATTGTGTGTTAGTAAAAGTGAAATTCAACATCATTTACTACTCAGTGTTATATCCTTAATGCCACACGAGCTTTAAATAATATCCTTAACAAGATGCTTGGCTGAGGGTCTGAAGATGAGTGTTACTGAACAAATTTAAACACTTTCAAGAGTTGTGCTTGTGGTGTTTAGCATTAAACAGGAACTACTAAGTATCGTAGATTTACATGCATGGCCTTTTGATTTTAAACAACAGCGGTATTAATTTCGCTCAAAATTAGAAACATGAAATACTTGGAGCAAATTTAATACGGGTAAACAAGAATTCTTAACAAGTGGCTAAGCATAATAGCAAGAGGAGCGCCACAGAAATTCCCGAGGCGTGCTAATGTGCAAGAATATTCTGACTAACGATGTTGCAGCTCCTTTGGATGCGATGCTCAAATTACAATGAGATGTTTGTTGTAACAGAAGAGCAACATGCTCAGAATTTGGGAAAATTAATAGACGAATAATATATGTAGTTATCTCAATTTAACAACAATCACAAGCGAATTTGGGAATTACTCAGACCTCAGACACATCTGCTTATTTATCTTTCTTCGTCAACATTCACTGTCGTCCTTCCAACCGCAAGCTCATGCTGGTGTTGAGAAATACTCCACTTCATTGTTATTCAGCACATCGATTTGGATATGGTTTAGTGTGATATATAATAGACATTCCTCATCCCTGTTCCTTTTTATGAGCGAGGCAGTCAAATTCTATTGCAAAAGTCTACTGAATAATCCCACCCCTGGTGGCGCACAAGAAAGTTCGCAGGGCACAAGCAGATCATAACTCAGCAATGGTCCACATTATTGCTCACACTTTATCAAATTGATTGGAGCGATAGCATGGCCCGAGGGAGAGGCGTTATCGCCGTGCAGAGGCAATGTGTGAAATATGAATCTCGCATATGATGAACCTATTAATTGGGGATATAAACAAAGAGGGTGTACTTTGTGAATTTTCACACCATTGCCTTACGGATACGCGTGTTAGATACTCTCTAATGTATTCAACAAATGTGCCGAATACATATGCATATACGAAACAACTGGCAACCTGCTCAGAATGAGATATGATAATACAACCCCCAGAAGGCAAACAACTAATTATTATGACACATGCTGGGAATTAGCATGTATCAATGAATGTGACTTCCAAGACGATTCTTTGGGAGGGCGGAAATGTTTGTTTATATCGCGTGGATTTATTGAGCTTTGCAAATCAAATGAGAAATTTGTGTGACTTTAACTTATGTCTCTCGAAGGCGTCAAGGGAGACGTTGGGCTTATGTTTTCCAGGGATTTACCAAACCATAGGGTGAAATGATGAGAATCATATGTAGACCTCAAAAATGGACAGAATGTTCTCACACAGTCGCACATTGACAGAGGGTGGAACAACGCAGCGTCTGTCCGGCTGGAAAATTGGGACTTAGGCTGATGCTGTTGACAGTGGGAATTTTGCAAGATATGATTTCTCTTCCGGACCCTCGCCGGAAGGGCGCAAAAAACGAAACCCTCGGCTAAAATGAATGTCAAGTCCGATTAATATTTTCAAGAATTAGCGAGGTAGAAATTTTGGAGCAAAATCTGTCACATCGGAGGTGCCGCCTCATAAATCATGGACCTTTTTAGTAGTGTCACAAGGACTGACCATCGGCAACACGAGCACAGAACGCACATCGGCTGAAGGCGAAGGAAGCTTCAGTACATTTTTACATGACCTAATTTTGCGTTCTTCCATATGGATAGTCAATTGCAAATATGACAAATCGCTGCATTACACATGTATAGTGATGATATATTGTCAATTTCCCACCTTTCTTCCTGGCGTGACAATTTATCCGCACTAACCCCATGCAATAAATTTAATATATATCTCACAATATGTACAAAATTCATAGAATTATGAGCTTGCGACATGCCGACAATTCAGTGGCTCTTTAGTATTCCGAAGCACACCTGAAAAATTGATTCCAATATATTTTCCCATAGCGACGTCGTCAGTGACAGAGTCCAGAGAATTTGAAGGGCAGAGTAAACTCTCATGCCCTATAAATCATTTCAGATACATATGATACATATACAGAGCTTCGCACGCAAAGTTATCAAAAGTAAATTGAGTAAAGTCATCTGTGACGAGATTTACGCGAAACTTTTGCATTAGGATCTGATTAACTCGAATATACACTCTCGAGATACTGAAATGTGTGTGGGAACATGTAGAAACCACTCAAGAATTTCATAACATTCTCTGGTGTCTTTTCATCTCAGTGTGTTTCACGTATTAATATATAAATACGCATGCATAATGGAAGTCTTCCTAATCTCTTTGTACTGCCGAAAGTTAGAGCGCCTTTGGCCACGGAAAATGTAAACAATTGCCGATTTATTATTATCTCAAAAATTATAGTCAGTGGCAAAAAATAGTAACATGGAAAATATACATGGCTCATTTGGTGCGGATTGGGAAGAAAAGAATAAATACCCATCAGCATATAGTAAAATGTGTGTATCATACAAACATTGGATATGTACACAGAACACTTTTCACGCGCTTTTACTCGCTGAGAATAAACATTCACACATCGTCGCCCGTATGCAGTTCTTTTTTTTTACGCACGCACAAAAATCCACATAATTTTTCTCATACAGCAAATTACTTTAATGACTTTATTCGCCAATATAAATAATTAATATTGCATTTAAAGTGCTTCTTTTCATTTCATCTCTTCTGCATATTTATTAAACATTTTCTTTTATTATCCATTAAATTTTTCACGAATTCCATCGCGTGTGTTTATTGATGCTGTGTGTAATATTTTTATGGCGGACTCATAAAACTGATACCACGTGTAAATTTGGAGTAGATGCAAAAAAATTGTAATTACATTAATTTCCATAATGAATGGAGGAAGTTGCGTCCTGTGAAATATTCATCAGATTCGGGAAATTATGAATTTATCTTAAATTCCACGCGTTGCCATTCAATTTTGCGTGATATGACATGACGATATGTGCTGTCCGTAATTGTGACACGTACATACGCATCCTTTTCGCCTGGATAGCTTATGAGAAATTTCATACACGCTCCATCGATTTTTCTAATTAGACTCCACACATCAATCTATCGCACCGCACAGGTGTAATTATTTTAAGTGACAGCCGTAGAATTGATTTGTAGCATTAAATAAATAAAATAAAATAAATTTATTCTTCCTTCTTTTTCTTTTGTGTGCGGCTGCCGCCGGCTTCATTGCCGACCTCCCCGAGCAAACGGCAGAAATTAATTAAGCAATATGCGGAATACTACAATTTTATATTGAATTTGTTTTGAACGCTGCAGAACATTTAAAAAGTCATTTCTCCGTGTTGCTGGAAATGTAGGCGTATCTATAATATGATATGTTTCATTCCTGCTTCATGACATAAAGGCTCTAATTATATCGCAAATTCTCGGTTACCGTGTGACATTATATGGTCACAAAGCATTTGTTGTTTCACAGCTGGTTATCAATGCGGTGGGCAAAGTGAAAGAGCTAAATTACGATTTACGCAAATTAATTAGTAAATAATCTGTCCCACCTAGAAACCGGCATGGTTAATAGGTATTGATGTGTAAATATAGTGCACAATTGGGATGCATTATACAGATTGCTGATAAAACTGATCCAATTTTCCCTCGCGTGAATGCACTCTGATATTCCTAGAATTCAAACAATTTTCAATAATTAAAACTTTATGTCACACTCTCGGATAATATGGTTGGTTACATTTTGTGTACAAACTACATATTTTAAAACACTTGTGGTGGCTGATCAGATTTCCCAGAAAATCGCAATTGGTTTTTGTGGTGATGCATGGCGTATATTAATAGGGATTATATGCAGAATACTTTCAGAGAATTTGTAACGTGTTAATTAGTTTTGTTCGAATATCTGAGAAAATCAGTAAGGAATTATGCTTTAATCGACCACGCCCAATTTGGTAAATAAAAGTGTGGCATCTGAAGAAAGAACTGAGCCAAAGATAAATATGTGAGATTGTGCGTGGGAGTGGAAACGTTGGCGGAAGCAATTGTAATTGTTACATTTCTAATGTGAATAAATGATGAAAGAACGTATTTTCTGCAAATCTATTCGCATAATCTCTCATTTCCAAATAAATAATACAGGATTTTCTCTTTGTTCTCTCTTCCCACCAAAATAGATAATGTACTGCGGACCAATGATGAGATCGGGCACCACGCGACATCATCATATTCCCCTGCCGACGAGAACTACAAGGACGGGCAGCATTCCAGACACCGTCTAGAATTAGGGCGTAATAATGATATCTCTCAAAGAATGTACATTTCATGTTGCTTAAAAATCAACATGTTCTCTTTTTTTACACATTAATTTATAATACTTTAGAGACATGATGTTGCGAACAAGATAAGGGAGGAAAAATGAAAACGAAATAAATAAGTAATGAAACACTCTAGTAAATTACGAAAGAAATTCTTACATTCAAATACCAAATATCATGAAATATTACTAATCTTAGCGTTGGAGATATTTGTTATGTTTAAATGGAAATCAAAGTTGAGGATAGGAATATATTTTTTATTAATAGAAAATGTGAAAAATTTTACAACTAATAGGCAAATATTATGTGAAAATCAAATTGGTAAGTAATGGGGAAAATTATTTCTGTGAAAAAGTTCTGTCAATAACTTTTGTGTTTGAATGATTCATAGAATTGGTTTGCGTAGTTCAGCATTTCGGCGCTCCGATTGAAGTCACATTTCACAAAAAGTCAATTTCCAATGGATAAGCCTTTGTGAAAAATATCCGTGACATTTAAGCTTTCCCATGTCACGTGAGTTTAGCATATAAATTTGGACAAAAACTAGATTTATAGAGCGCTGAAAGCTTTCAGCAGCGTTTGAGTTTTTGCAAAGTGATGTGAAAAATTTTTCGTTGCTTTCAAAGTTTCCTTCACAGTCGCCATATGAAACATTTTCATCGGCACCGCGCGTATTTTTGCACCACAACGTGGGCAAAGGACTTCTGAGTCATTCGACAGATCAAATGATTTCATACATATTGATGAGTTGGTGGAGAGATTTGATTCAATTGGCGGAATGTAGAAAAAATCCACAGCGTTAAATTTAGTTTGACTACCGCCTAAATGAATATGCTAATTTATAGCTTGAATAAACCATTCAATTGGGCCAACAAGAAGCGATAATTCTTGATTCAATTAAGATTCTCTTTTACGAGTACAAAATAGCCATAAACACCAAATAAATTGCTTGCAATTCACACCGCAGTAAATAAAAATCTTAATAATATCCTATCAGAGAGGTGTCAACTATCAAATAAATTGTGAGAATGACATGTAGAGAGAATGTTGGTTTAACTTTTTACAGCATTATGAAAAATTTATTATTTTTGCACAGACGAGAAATCATAATTTAATTAAAATATTGCTTTGATATCCCCCAAGATGTGCCAAAAGCATATGAGTGAAGTGTTGTTTGAGAATCTAGGCAAATATAAAATTGCGTTACGGAGATGTGTTGAAAGACTTGAATTATGTATAATATGTGTATGTATAATTGATGAAAACCCGTAATTCAGAAGCTGAATCTGTATAGTTAAATATTTGTATATATAAGTTAGAGAACATCAGAATTTAGGATATAATCATATCTATAAGGGAGAAAACAATTGTGTCATCTTAAAGTATTTAGGACTCTAAGTAGATTAACTCTTTAACACCGCTGCATTGAGACATCCCTAAAGTGGGAAAGAAGGCGTCAGTAATAACAGTGAGGAGGCATTTTGGTAAATGTTACATAGTCAATGAATTTTGAAGCTAAGAATTGTGGAGACGAAACTGCATTCGTGTGGAATTCTCCCTGAATTGAGCCCCAACTCCGTGAATTCCACAAGAAAACCACACCGCTCCGCAGATTAGAGGTAAACTTGTAGGAGATAAGCATATGTAAGTATTTTGTAATGTGTAAATATATCGAAGAAAGAGTAGTGACTATTTTGCACATGGAATAATTGAATTCAATGTGCAAAATATGATGATGACATTATCGGTTTCTTTGAGTGCTGATCAGCTTTAGAAAATATATCATCTCAAATCACATATTTTCTGAAGCATCATCTCATCGCGCAACCGACGATATTGATGTTTTTTGAGGTGGGGAGAAACATTTCACATGGCGTGAAAGAAATTAATTTTGACAAAGAGTGGTGGCGCATGTGGAGTAAATATAATTATCAAACATTACAATTTTATCGACGTTACACTCGAAAGGAGAAAATTAGGAACGATTTATAATTTAATGACTGCTGTTTTTCTTTACACTAAATATCACTTTTGGTGCTAATAAATATCAAATATTTTATTTTACATGGATGGATTTCCTGGCGAAAAAGCAAACATCCTTTCAAACTATCAGTGTCCCTCCAATGTCACGAGAGTAAATATAATTTGTCATCTCTTCTATTCTTCTGCACATTTCAGGGGGCGTTCATCCAGGAAGAATGTCTTTGATGAAACATTGTAATAAATCTGACCCACCTGACAATATTCCATCAGCGTCGCAAATTTCTTCAAAGGCACGACTTCACGGAAAAGTGCTTTGGAAAAATGAACGCCTCTTGTGTCACTGTGCATGCTCTCTTGATGAAATATTTGCTTTAGTTCGCTATACTGAAAAATATGAATATTGCACCACCTGCACAGACTGTGTGCTAATCAATTCATCATCGTGCTCCTTCTGTCCGTGCATGAATTCGATGACAACAAAACGAATGAGCCATTCAGCAACGAAGTGTAGAAACCCTTTTAACACTTGTGCATATTGAATCCTGCCACCCACACTTATAATTTGCTCGTAGAAGATGTGTGGGCGGAGAAATTTCGCATTTCTCAAACCTGATAACTTGAAAATACCACGCAAAGAGACACTTTCAATATACTTGTAGCATCGCTGTCTTTCATGTGCACCTTTATTATTGTGAAATAAAATTACCTCCATTTAGAGGCAAGACACAGAGCTGAAGTTGCAAACTTCATTAGGTGAAAATGAAATGCAAAATTCAGTTGTGAAGCCGAGAGTCTCTTGCATTCATCGTGTTACCGTGCATTTTCAAGTAAAGTGAATCACAAGAAATAATATCAATTTATTAGATATTAGCGCTAATTGAAACGTCTGAAAGCTCCCATTTTTTGCCATTGCCATCAATTCAATACAATTCCATTCACCCTTCTGCTCATGACATGGAACAAGAGAAAACTTTTTCATACAATTTGATTGCAGAAAATGAGCAGAAATATTGTTTACTTAGCAGGATTATAACTTTTCTGTATCATTATTTCATTTGAAATTCACAAGAATCACAGCACAAAGCATAGATTTACTTAACAGCACGTGGAGAAAGACGAGAAAAGCAAATAATGTAAAGAAAAGTATTTCCATAAAAAGTAAATTTAATATAACCAATGACAAATATTGTAGTTTGGCGAACATTTCTATATAATTTAAGAGTCATTTCTCAAGTTCTCTCAACGGAATAAAAGTGCAGGAAGAATGTCAATTGTGAAAGTTGCATTTTCATTTGAGAACAAAATTTCAAACTTTTTTATTAATCATGAAATTCCAGCACTTCCACGCTGAAAATTTGACCAGCTTGTATGAAGGCCGGCAGACAAAGAATTATTGAGAATCAATATCAATTAAAATCGGTTAATTACAATATGACATTGATTTACAATGACCATCATGATTGATGAATGCTAAATTCACAACGTGTCGAGTTGAGTGCGTGGAGAGAGTGTCTCCTAAAGAGAATTTGATACGATTTACGGTTGGGAAGAAGACAGCATTAAATGTTAATTAGTGACGCAAAATTAAGTGCTTTCAGCACAACTTTCTGCCACTCAATTCTGTACACGTTTCATGGAATTGAATTGAAATCAAAGAGAAGCGAGTGTATTTCCAGAACCTCGTGCAGTTTTGATAATGCGGCAATAAAAGGGATGGCTGATGGTCAAGCAAATCAATGAAATGATGATCATGATTCGAGGATTCTCTGCAAAAGTGAGCTGGAAAGTCGCGAAGTAGGTCAGTTTGAAATGTACCACGAAAGTATGTTCTTTCGCGGTAGATTTTGATGAAAAATTATGATGAAGAGTTCGTATTTTTGCGCTACTGGATTAAAAATGGATAAACAGCAATTATAATATCAATATAGTCAGTATTAAAAATTTCATAAAATTGAAATAATTGCATTACATACCGAAGCACGAGTTTTATTTAATCAATCCATTAGCGTAAACATTTTTTTGTTACTATTTTGTGAATATGCCATATGCTGGCAAATTAATGTCCATCAATGTAATACGAATATACAAAGTGAACAAAAGTGTTGAACGAATATGGTTTTATTTATTTACCCATTAATTTATATGCATCTACAATATGTAGGACTACATGAGAATAATGAATTTATTTAGTATTAAAATTGAGATAGTGTATGGTGGAAAATAAAACAAGGATAAATTGTGTATTTTATTGAATTTTAATAAAAATGAATGATGCAGATGCAAAAGTTTTCCTCTTTTCCCACTTCTGGCGTATGCATAAATTGCAGCAACTTTTTGTGCATTTGAAATACATATCAATGATTTAACAATGTTCCACGCTGAAAACGTCGACAGGATATTTTTTTTCCACAGCATGCTAATGGCAAAAAATGTTTAGTCAGGCTCTGCTATATGATTTAGGGAAAAACATCATTTCGCACCACGTGAGTTCTGAGCGCTTTTCCCTCGTCTTATGCCTGAATAAGGATTAGATGGGCGAATGTTGATTTTTCCCAGAGAGCTCAAACGGTGTGTGAGACAAGAAATCCACATGGTAGCCTTTCTGATATCACTCCGCCAATTTATTATACGTGAGTCATGTGTAGATGAAAGCGCACATATATTTTTATGCTTCCCTCTAGAGTGAAATTGACTAATCATTTGCCAGAATGAACGTGAACTGACATACATTAATGAAAGTCTCTGGAGCCGAATGGATATTACAAGTAAACATACATATATGTTGATGGTGGAAATGCTTTCCACCCTCGCACCTCATCCATTTTTATCATACATTCCACCCATGCTTAAAACATGCTTTTAGCTAGTAAATTGCTACCAAGAGCATCGCAAATTGTTCAAGTAAATAAATCCAGCGCCCAACATGATCTTCCATATTGGCGAACACTGGCTTTTTTCGGCCAACTACCGCACTCAACCAACTCAACTTAAGCCTTTAAGCAATTCAGAGTACAGAAAATTCTCTCCCCCTTTCATGTCATTTTCTATGATTTTACGGTCTCTCTGCAACACGGGGTGGATTTGAACAGAAGTGCTATCCACCTGAACCCGCATCTCTTTCAAAATGCCAGCTTTATAGTCTCTGAGCCGTACTTTCCCTCACACAAGGCATCCTGGAATTACTCACGGAGATATTGTGATTGAATGAAAGATATAAGACTTTAATTATAACGCAATAAAATCATATTATGACAGATGAGAGTGAATTTACTTCCCCAGTGTTGATGGCATGAATTTTCTGGCCACAAATCATCCCGAATCTCAACTAAACTGGCGAGTAATTCCGCCTAACCAATTTATATTCGCGTTTCCTTTGACGGTGTTTCACGGTATTTTGAACACCTCAAAATTCCACCACGGCAATAAATATCGATTGGCCTCGCAGCGTTCGAGAGAAGTTATCTTAACTGGCCCATCCGAAGCTAATTCCTCCCACAGAATAATTCACTGGGCACTTTATTTATCTCTTTTCCCCTCATCCTCGCTGCGGATGGAAAGTTTATGCAAATTCACCCACCAGCAAGGATTCTCGCATCGCCACGACATGGACGTTCGGTGTCGGAGTGACGGAGATAAGTGCAGACATCACTAATTATAGGGCTGTGGCGCTTTCCAATCGCTTTGAATTAAACGTCAAAAAGGAATAATTTCAATTAGGCGAGCTGCTAAATAACGTTGGTGGCAAAATTGAAAGTTTCTCAATTGGATGTGGCAAAAGTTTGATGTGGACATTTGCTCTTTTAGTTCATTTTGTGAGTAATCAAGTGTATGTGGTGGTTTTTGTTAGTTTCTCAGTTCAGAGCAATTTTCACAAAGTCTCCTGAAAGTTTTATCTCAACACACATTCACAGGAACACATCAGAGAAATGTGAATAAGCATTTCCAAACTATAACATTGCGGAGGGCCCACTTTTCCTAAAAGATCAATTTTATTGCGAAAGGAGGCCGCAACAATGTGGAGCTCGAAATGGATTTCATGTTTTCCTCTAAACAATAGAGAAATAACATAAATTTTGAACAACACTTAATTGAGTGGTTTCCTGTTATTTATAGCAAGGACATTCTTTTTTCCACCGCAGAGGGTATTCACGAAGGAAGCCCCATTCTCTGCGCTATTTACTCTAGAACAAATTCTGAGTATCAGGTTTAAATGAGAAATTTTTCACATACATACCGAAATGAAATGGAAGAACTTAAATTCTCCACTCGTTCTCACGTTATATTCCGACACTATGTCTGGTGAATTTAGCACGGAGGAAATTATATCATTTAGCAACTTGTAGTGTCTCTCAACTTTATGACAATGGACGTATAAAAGAGTATGGAATAGGAATCGTGATGCAAATCAAATTCTCCCCGTAGAAGGAATTGCCATTATTTGTAGTCTGTCTGTGACTGTGCAACAATGCTCAGGCGTCACTGTCAGTTAGAGGTATAAATGGTCATTCGGTGTTAAATAGAGTCTGACCAGTCACTTATCGATCCTCTGAGAGGACGTCCACACAAATAATCCACAGACGAAAGGTCTGCAACTCATCCCGACATTTCCCAATTAGCCTCGTTCGGATTGACTTTTATCTTTTAATTTTACTGAAAATCACCCAACGCGCCTTCAGGCATTTTCCAGCACTACATATTAGGGACAGGCCATTAAGACTCTGTGTTGGACTGAGTGAAGCGACCGCGTAATCTTCCTTTATGTGCGCTGTGGCCATTTAATGATTCCCGCTCGTGCTTTTGAGGACTCGACGAAATTCGACCATTTACACCCGAGAATGCCTCGAATGCCCCAAATGCTAAGCACAAGCCCGCGCTAAAATAGCAATTTAATATTAAGCATTAATTTTTTATACGCGTTATTATGTGCGGAAAAGCGTGAAAATGTGTGTTATTGTGTGATTTTGCGAGATAAATCAATTTTTACGCCAGCCCCAGTGCTCAGTAATGAAGAAGTTGATACTGCTGATGTCAATTAAAAGGAGGACACTAAACAGTTAATGAGCCTGCGTGAGTGGGAATTAACTGATTAAATATATCTACAAATCCGCGGTGAATTAATTTGTGCGTATAGCTCAGCTGAAAGTGTGGGTGTCCTGTGATTACGACAGTCCCGGAGAGCATTACGGATACGCTGCATTCCTATTAATAATCCCTGAAAGTGTAAGTCAGAATCGTCTTTTAATTACATAACGCCCACGCAGTGCCTTAAATTGAGAGCTTTTCACCACACCTTCAAATCCAATAATTCTGAGAACTTGACAATTTCAGATTCTACAACTATATTTGTGTTTGCATGAGTTCAAAGAAGTTTGAGCTTCACGTTTATGCCTAAAACTGTTCTATTTTCCTCTAATGTCACTTCAAATACCCTTCAAATCCAGAAAAACTTTATGATTTCCTGTGAAGAACACATTCAAAACTGCAATGCGAGAGAAATTTTCATTATTTTTCTATAGATTGAACTCCAACGTATGCAGAAGCTTTGCAAATTTCCATGTTCGCCTGAAGAGAGTTTACAGAACAGATATTTGCATGCTGCAGATATTCACAATAGAAAAATAAATGAAAATTCTATGAATGTAGAGAAATTGTAGATGAAGAAATTCAAATAAAACACTTTATACAACTATCAATGACTCAGTTCAGCAGTGCGAAGTTGAGTAAAAACATAATTCTGTGGAGTAAAAGTGTTCAATTGAATATATTTTTATTTCAACAAACAAGTTTAATCCTTCTTTCCAATGAACAAACTTGAGAGAAACTACACATTGAACAAGCTATTGAGTGAACAACAATCAATTCAATTTACCTCGAGATTTCGCATCAAAGAAAGGATGATTGTAAGTCCCACGGTAAGTCCTTACCTTTGCACCAGGTATTCGATAACAGCCAGAGAAGTCCTTCTCTGTGCTCTGCTGTGCACCGTGTGACAAATACAGGCTTCAGCAATTCCAATTCTAAGAAACCTTTTAACCAACTTTTACCACTCTTAGAAGCACAACAGTAAATAACTCTACTTGGCCAATTTGTGTGATTGTAACCCATTTAATTCCCATTACATTTTAATATGAATCTCAAAAGAAGGTACTTGGAATAAACAAGCAAAACAAGTACATAAAATGCTGCACAAAACCATTTGAAAGCGAGAGAAATGGTAAACTATTTAATGATTTAGGATCTCTTCAAAAACAGATTTTCCGTCACATAAAAAATCTTGAAAAACTGCCAGAAATGTTTTTTCGCTCACCAAGAGATTTTTCGCAAGGCAAAAATGTGAATTACGGTTTGTTTACACAAAACATGCGAAATAAGCCGCACTAAATCCATCCTTGTCAACTGATTCGGCTAAACTGCAAACAACAATTGGCGACAATCGCGATAATCTTATCAAGAGAATGCTAATCAAGTCAGATTGCAACCCAAATGAGCGCATTTTCTAGTAATGTGCAATGAATGCGCCGGAAGTGATAACACTTGTTGAGCATTCTCGCCGGTATTCTTTCTCTCATTCGCCGTATTTTCGCTTTTATACCTCAATTATTGGGCTAAATTCATGTTTCAAGGTAACAACAGTCTCATGACGAATGGCAATTTAACCATATGCGAGAGGCGGAGAAAAAACTACTGTTATCTAATGATTTTTTGGCAAGAAATTTTGCTCAGGTTTTATTGCCTCTCAAACTATTTCTCACACACTCGCGCATCGTGACTTGCAAGCACGAGTGGCGTTCGGTTACATTCGGCTCCAATTCAAATTTTTCCGCTTACGAGAAGCGCTACTGTAGGCACACGAAATTGGATGACAAAAAGAATTTGCCTTTATTTTCCTCCTCCAAGAACCAGAGTGGTCACTTCTTTACATAAAATTTCTGTTTCCATAGTGAAAATGTTTTCTTTTATTCATTTCGTTGAATTACATTGGAAGATTTCGTTCATTCTTTGCAATTCTGCAGGCCGATTGCCACACCCTGTGGATAGTGGCAATTGGAATCTTATTGGCGGCCCACTGGGTTCGAGTATCGCAAAATCGCGAGTGAGCGAGATGAACGCATGGATTTTCGTGCCCTTCTCTCGCTCTGGTGTGAGGTATTTTTTGTCGTGGAGCCGAAGCAGTGCGTTTTGGTGAAATAAATTCTGTCAGTGGAGTCGAAGGGAAACTGGCGTGGTGACTTCTTCCATTTCGCATAACATGTCTCAGTGAATTTGCATTGATTTGCAAGAGTGTCGGGGAATATTGTAAAGTACTTTTCGAGCTGCACTTCATCGTGAACAGCGAGTGTGAACCATGAATTTCGACGACTATGAACAGCTTCCGACGACGAGTGTTTTTACCAACATGACTGCAGGAGCCATAGCGGGTGTCCTGGAGCACTGCATCATGTACCCGCTGGACTCAGTGAAGGTAACCGGACGGCGGGTCAGGTGGTGGGCAGTGGGATACTCGGGCGCGCCCACGGAAGAACAGAGTCGGGAGTCCGGAAGATTGAACCATAACCTCACATTCGCCCCCTGTCAGGGCGATCCATTGGGAAATAATGCGTAATTGGACAGGAAGGGGCCGGAAGAGGCCACGGGGAGCACCAGCGCTGACTTCTATGGCCCACGGAGTGGCGAATGAGGGCACACCAGTGGATAATTTGGTGACTTTCATTATAAATAGAACAGTGAAAAGAAAGTCGTTGGTCGCGATTGCATAAGTTTTCATGGGAAGTCCAAGGAAAATCGGTGCTCTCCGGCCTGATCCTCGCCAGTCCCGTGCGCACTATGCAAATGCCCGTCTCATTCAGCGACATCGCACTCATCGGCAGCTGGAATATTCATGAGTGTGTCGCCTGGAAGAATTTTTTCCATACTGGACCTAACCTAACTTGTGTGACGTCAACATTTTGCCATTCACTAAAAGTGACGATATCTAAAGAAATTAACAATTTCTCCCCACATCCAGCCACATTCCTCGGCTTCTGTGCACACAGCCGAAGACGCGATGATGAAACCACGAGATGACAAGACTCTGTGAGCCCTCCAATAGGAATTCCTCACCATGATTCTCTAGTTTTGCCCATTATCTTGTGATTGTTCGCCACACGTAAAGATAAAACCTCCTCGGGCCGCCCAGAGACCACGTTTTCCAGGAATGATAGTGCCTCTGATAACGATTGTTTTTTTCTCTTTCTCGTGGCTTCCAGACCCGCATGCAGAGCTTGTCTCCGGTAACCAAGGGCAGCACTATTATGTCCACGATGACCACGATGATCCAGAAGGAGGGAATTTTCAGGTAATCCGACACGACCGTATTATCAGATTTCCACAGCTGGCTTTGATTTGTTTGTGACTTTTCAAAACATCTTCAGACTGCATGCGATTTGAGTCTAACGGAGATGAATAAATTAAATGGGTTGATTCATTGAACTCAATGGGAATCCCCGTTGGAGAAATAATACTAGTTTTATCAAAAGTCACTTGCTCTGGGGACTTTTTCTGAGTAAATCACGTAAGATTAGAAGGCGGTGAAGTTGTTTTTAGATGAATACTTGGATTTCATGCCGCAAATAAGATCATGATTAATAAGGTCATGATTTCAAGATCAAGACTTGCAGTTTAAAAGAATTTAATTACCCAATAGGTGTGAAATGGCGAAAAAAGCCTTGATCTTGAGGCGGTTTTTTAACTCGAGTGCGTTCAGTTTAGAGTCTGATGTGATTCTGTTGACTTCTTGTAGGCCTGTCAGGGGAATGGGAGCCGTTGTCGCCGGCGCAGGACCGGCACACGCCTTCTACTTCGCCTCATACGAATACTGCAAGACCTCCCTATCCAGAGTAACTCCTCACAACCAACTAAACTACAGTGAGTATCCTCAAGCACAAGTCACAGCCGATATCCGCTAACTTGCTTTTCACTTCCTCGCCGCCCTTTTCGCAGTAACATCGGCCGTTGTCGCGACTCTGATCCACGATGCCATCTCGAATCCGACGGAAGTGATAAAACAGCGGCTTCAGATGTACAATTCGCCGTACAATTCTGTGATCCAGTGCATGAAATCCGTGTACCAGGCGGAGGGCATGAAGGCCTTCTACCGCTCGTACTTGACTCAGCTTGTGATGAATCTGCCCTACCAGGCCATCCACTTCTCCACATATGAGTTTTTCCAGAATGTGCTCAACAAGGAGCACCGCTACAATCCACCAGTGCACGTGGTTGCCGGCGGGGCGGCGGGCGCCGCGGCGGCTGCACTCACGACACCCCTCGACGTGGTGAAGACACTGCTCAACACTCAGGAGACCAGCGTGGGCACCACGAAGGGCATGGCGGATGCCGTGAGGAAGGTGAGAGAGATTTGCCAAAATATGGAGACTGTGGGTGTGTTGACGGTTGACCTTGCGATGTGGCGTGAAGAGCGGAGAGGCAAGAGCACAGCGTGGAAATGTACATAAGCATTACCTGGCATGACGCTGCGAAATGTACTGTGATTATTGGAAATTTTTATTGTTGCCAATGTTACACGGCATTAATCCAGTCGCGAGTTTGGGAGAGTTATCGCTGTGAAACCGGCGAAAGCCGCAAATATTGAATTGGCAATGTCCAAAATCACTTTTCACACTGATCTAGAGTATTCTGTGATTGATAAGAGTGAGAGAGCACATTCCAAAATAAAACCAAATTCCATGTGAGACTTGCGAAATTGCGTCAGAGGCGGCGGACAAATTCAATGATAATTCATTTTTAAGAGCTGAATTGTGTGTCTGTGTGTGAATTTACTTTTTACCCCTTATCGCATTACTCACCAGAATTACAATGCAAGTTTTTATAGCTATTTTTTAAAGTAACATTAAAAGCATTGGAGTTACTTCCTATTATTTGACTTACTCATCATTGTTGAGATAGCCCAATTTTCTTTGATCTATAATATGTCTTATCACTGTTCAATTTCCTGGAAAGTGAATTGAACTTTGAGTTCATTGACAAGATATCGAACGAAATGAATCTAGAGAAATATGTAATGTTAATCCTACGCAACCATATCGAGATACAAACTCTAGTTTTATCGCGTTAAATCTCAACATTTTCTTATCTACACCAGCAATGGAGGCTTAATTGCTTTTTAGGCCATCAAATTGACTCAAAATAAATACTGTTTAAGCCTAAAGAATAAACAAACAATGCTAAATCTAGGAAAACCGTTCTGATAAGATTCCTAGAATCAGTATGAGGATGGAAAGATGAAGTGCAACAATGATGATGTTTCTCATATGCAAATGAGTTGGAAGAGAGCGCGCGAGGGTCATTGGACAAAATGGCAACTCAGCTATTGATTTATAAAATAAGCCTCAATTGAGAGCTAGGCATTGAGGCATTATAGCAGGGATTTGTTCTTTTCACGTGAATTGACAAATTTGCCTCTTCACACAACGCACACATTGTTCAATTGAAGAGTAATTTTCGCGATACGACCGTGTTGATTCTGGTTAAGTTATCAGTTTTTGCATAGAAGACGATACGGGGTCGTTGTGGTTTTACTGCCATATCACTGATGACAAAATAGCCACATTATTATCAATGTTCTGCTAGTCAAGTGGCTAGTCAAGATACAAGATACAAATATTGGCTTTTTAGTGTGTGCGGAAAATTTACTTTTTGGTCTGACAATTGCGCACCACTATTTTTAAGTGTCTCTCCATTTGCTAGCCGCCTCTTAATTTTTCATGATGTCACACTTCGCTTAATTAGAACTGAGATAGATGTTCCTAATGTGAGTGAGAGAAAAGATACTTGTGGCAGTTGGAGGTCAGTTTTGCAAGTACACAATTTTCCTTTGAATTTTTTACACTGACTTGTTGATGGAAAAATGTGAAAACATGCATTTTTTCAAGCTTTGGCTCAGACAACAAACTTTCTAGCGTTGATGGATAACGGGGAGAAATCGATACGATGTGTGTATGTTGAGTGTTGAGTTGGAGGGAAGATTAATCGAAATGAGTTCAACAAAAACGCGTGTCTGCCCTTGAAAATGCTTCCTTGGAAGTTTGTTGAGGCAACTCAATTCTGCCGATAAAATCCTGTGCGCTGTTAACTATTCAGATATACTGGTTAAGATAGTAACGACGAAAGGAATGCCTAAACACTACGTTTCTTAGGGTATTTTTTAGCTTCTCCTGGGATTGTTTGTACTCTATGTCTCTCAGTAATGAATAATGTACACAACTTTCCATTTCATTCAACCTTGTCCTTTGAGAAAAACTGTAGAAATGCTAATGAAGATGCATAGAAGATCCAGTAACTCTGTATGTAAAGTGTTTGCTAATGAGTTCCACTTTTTTTCTATTCGCACGCAGATCTACGAGCGAGCTGGAACGCCGGGATTCTTCAAGGGTCTCATGCCGAGGGTGCTGTACTCGATGCCCGCCACTGCGATCTGCTGGTCAACGTATGAGTTCTTCAAGTTTATCATATCGAACCAGGGACGGGAGTTCAACTCCGCGCCCGCCGGCGCCGTGGGCTCGGGCAGGAGTAAGGCGGGCGCCGAGGGCGCGAGCACGATGAAGAGCAGCGACCATCACACGGGACACCGGTATGTGCTGCCGGTGGTGAGTTCCGACGTGGAGATCGGCGGCAGCGGCCTGAAACCTCGCGAGCTGCCCGCGATGTCCGGAGCCGGTATGTATGGTGCCCTCAATCTGAACACACTCCACTCCGACTCGTCAACGACACGACAATTCGATCAGCGGTGTAACACCTAAAGAGCAATCTTCCGCGCCGCAGTTTGTTTCATAGAGCGATTACACTGTTTTAACCACGATATACTTGAGGTCTGGAATGGCAGATGAGAGCGAGTTTAATGTCTCAAGAGAGCGGCAAGGCCGTACCAAATATACCCCTTTTATTCGCCACTTTTCTCACTACATCTCCTCCAATTGAGAGTCTACTAAGGTAGTTTTGTATTTAGTCGAGGGCTCCCGTTATCTTTTTTAAGTTTACGCATACGTTTATTTGTTATGTCCCTTTCTGGGGCATTTCCTCCCCCCTTCGTTCTTGGATTCAGGGAAGCGGATTGCTTTGGAGAGCGAAACAATGAAGGATCACCGTGATGGATATGCAATTGGCGCTGAAAATGCAAAAGGATAAGCTATATTTTTAAAATGAGAGATTGAGGAAGAAATAGTATTAAAAGAGGAAAAAAATGAAGCAAAATTGTTGAGTAAAAACCGTGAGAAGAATTGTTAGTCGCGAAACAATTGATTTCTAGATTGAATAAGTGAGAAAGAGAGAGGATTGGAATTTGTGATTTCACTTGTAGATTCGGTATATCTTATTTTTCTTGTGTAAAAACAAAGTATGGGAAGAAGAAAGAAGAGTGAGAGATAATCTTTGTGTATCGTGTTAAGAAATTCAAGAGGAAAATTCTCCTATTTCACACAAATTAGCAAATTTAGAAATGCAAACAAACCTTGTCTCTTCATTCGGCATTAAATGCCAATGAAGATGCACAGAAAAAAAGCCCAACAAGTCTTTTTTGAATATGTACATAAATGAAGAAAAAGACAGTTTGTTTAATAATATAATACTTGATGTAAATAGTATAATTGAAATTTTTAATTAGTCAGTTTTGTGTTGTCAATTTCACGATAAAAATTTACTAAATGATCAGATTCTGACAATATTAGGCTATATAGCGAAATAGCAAAAAAAGAACAGCAGGCAATTGAGCGTTTAAGAACAAAAAAATGTGTTTTAAGAAAATATCAATTGAGGAAAAGCATAGAAATTTCCCAAAACTTTCCATGATGTCATTGCGCGGCCGCTAGATGGCATGCGATGTATGATGAATTCGAATTCATAGAATTTTATTAGCCTGGACACAGTTGCAGCCAATTTTCATTACGGAAAAGCTTTTCTATCAATTCAAATAAATATTTCCAACTGTCAATTACTCAAATTATACTGAATTAAAAACTAGAGAATCTTTGATCTGGAAAAGAAGAAGAGGAAGAGAATTGGCATATTGTAATGTTGTGAAAGTGAAAAATGAAACGAACACAAAGACTGATTTCGGGAAACAAGAAGGAAAGGATTTTCATTGGGTAAAAGGTGAAAAGTTTTGAAAATTAGTATTGGAGACACAAGAGAAAAAGGAGAAATCAAAGTGAAAATCATTTGCAATACATGAAAAAATATTGCATTTCACTCATTAGATGTGAGTACTTGTAAATATTGTAGAAAAGAAAATTAATTTAAAGATTCACATTAATTTTTATTAGGTTCTCAAGAGAAGTGAAATCTTGTTAGAAATCAATTGCCATTGGACTATTTCACTTGCTGGCGATTCTTATATTCACGAATTCTATTCGAGGAGTTTACGACGAGAATCAGCTGAGAGTCATACAATTGGGAAGTGAAATAGGGAAGAATTTCAAAGGAGAAATTAGAGATATTTAATTTTAAAGAGAGACGAGGAAGAAAATATAAATCTTAAGCAGCAAGAAATAAAGATTATTTACAAAAAATATCGTATTCTATTCTCTTTCACAGTCGAGAAGAGTGCAAACGGAGGAAAAGGGACAAAAGATAATCCTGATTGAACTTATGGAATTGTGTGTTTTTGCCAAGGAAGAGAAGCTTTGGTGACTTTCACTACCCGCGCATGAAAATATTTTATACAGGTAGATAAAATGAAATGCAATATAGCTGTTTTGTTATCACTGTGTTTTATCGTTTTGTCGTTTTGTTTTCCATCGTCATATATTTAATTGATAACGCAATTTGTCGTGTCAGAGTGATGTGAGGGAAAATTCTGCAGAGTTATCAACGAGATGACACGAAGTTTAGCAACACAGTTGCTCGCAGATGCAAATTTATGAATGATCGAGAAGGATTTTCACTTCAATCTAGAAGCTAATCGGCGAACGTAATCTGTTCAGCATTAGTCATCGTCATGCTCCTAATTTTTGCTATCTTATCTTATCCTTTTCAACCTCATAACCCTTTAAAAATGAGACCTATTTTAGTGAAAGTACTGTTGACTATCGTCTAAAGTGTGGCAATCATAAATTTATGCTTCTTATCATCGATAAAAAAGAGCTTTGGCCCCGAAGAAGCTTCTATACTCCATAAAAAATCACCCGTTCTCTGGTGATCAAATCATCAGATAATTTCGCGGTGTCTTAGAAATTTCGCGAAAACGCTGAAATTTGTGAATTTCGTGAAATTTTCCCACACTTATCGGCTACTATCAGCTACTTTTACTACTTCGCCGATGAAGGGTACGGAAAGAAATCGTACTCGAGCGCGTTGTACTTGAAAAGTACATAACATAACTGATTATGATTTATTTATGATCGATGACTGGATTTTGTGCAAATAGAGTGAGGTAATTTTTCATATTTGCTCCAATACACAGACTAGTGCGCGTGGCCGTATGCTCGGTGTTTGCATATCTCTGAGGTCAACTCGGAGTCATCTGATCGACTGTGACGCATCCAGTGCACTCCTGACCGCCGCTCGGGGTGTTTTTCCACGTAAAGCAGAGCCCTTCGAGTGAAAGGGGTTGCAGACGGCACATCAGGCCAATTTACATTCGGGCCTGAGTCTCGCCTGCACTTCCCCGACCTGCGCGTCCTGCTGAACCTTCGGGAGGGATGCAAAATGACTCACTCTCGGTGCCAGACAGCAAACAACGCAGTTAATCGAATGAATTCGGTAGAAACGGCGTCACACCAATCATACGCACTTTATTAAATTTATCATTTATCGCCCTCTGCGGCCCGGGGAGGCTGCGTGGGGTGGCCGAGTGACGCCACGGAGGGCGAGCAGCCGAAAAAATCATCTCAATTATGCAATGATTCCGGACTGTGTGCGGGTATGAGTGACTCATCAGAGAGACGCAGGGGCGAACATGTGCAGCTCAACTCACACCCCCGCCCGGACTGCGTCATTCCCAATAGTGCACCGCCGGCCAAGGGACGAATATCTCGCAGCACTGGCCATGCGGGGAACTCGTTATTGTGCGACAGAAGCAGTCGATAATTGGAAAATATTCAAAACATTTACGCATTCGCAATTTTGAGGAATTTTCAAAATTACTCATTTCCTTGTTATGCTGCATATGTAATACCTGTAATGCATATTAAACTGCGTAGTTGGTCATTGTTTTGACTCATTTTTATTCAAAACTCCCAAGCTTAAAAGACGACTCGAACTGGAGAACTTCACAGTTAAGGCTATCGAAACATCTTTGATATAGAAAAGGAACAAAAACTTGCCAAGAAAATAGAATAGAACAATTATATTTCAAATCAGCGGATCAGATCTTGGTTGATTTCAAGGAAAAAGAATGTTAAATTTGGTACAAAAAGCACTGAACGCTCAAAACTGTATTATTACGTCGTGTATGATTTTATTAATGGTTCATTTTTTGTATGTACATTTGAACTCAATGACTAAGAATATTATTCATTGAAAAACAAGTGAAATGCTGATACAGAAGTTGAGAATAGAAGCTTCACGTGCACCAGATATTGTCTCCTTGGGCACAGTCGAAAAGGGTGCAGAAGGAGAGGCAGAGCCGCATCCGGATGGTTTCCTCTTCTCGTCGGGGGCTCGATTCTCACGCCCACGGCATCCGCGAAACGACAGCTGCCTCCGCGTGCGACCAGCTGGAGTTCGCGCGAAGCATAACAAGGGAAACAGCGTGACTCAGTGAGGAATCACGAGAATTTTATCACGACGCTGGAATGATGAAAATCATATTGAACTCTTGCAAAAATTGTGACTAATGATTCCAGAGGTTTTCTTCACATAACTTCACTTCACCACCGCGATGAAGCTCGTGGTGGGGCATTTTCTGGAAAATACTATACAATTTGTGATGTCTCCGCCAGACCACAGAACAAAATAAATTCAATGGAACGCTTCGGTTTTTCCCGCGGTGAGGAAAATTTTCCAGAAAACACAATCTGGCGCAATTCCATTTGTTTATGCTTTGTCCTCTCCGGACGTAATCAAATGAGGTCATTCATTGCACAATTTCCTATTCATAATTTGTGTTTAGGCTTTTGGGCCATACGGTTATCATCACCCATTTCTAATTGTCATCATCAATTAATCCACCGGCGGCTTATCGCGAATTTCACGTGAAATTGAGCGTAGGGGTTGATTTGAGCGTTTTACCTGAGATCCTGCGCGTGACAAAATGTGGATTTCGTCACAACAAAGGCGCTCTTTCACAGGCAATGTTGTCATCTTTCAGGTGAATCAGGCATAGTTTTCGTCACACAACAGTGATCAATTGCTACAAATGTTCCTTTTATGAATCACTTGAAAGTATATCACCTGGAAAAGCTAAATGGGGATCCTGTGAATCAGACATGGATGATTTCTAGCGTTCTCGTAACACATTTCCCTATTTTGTAAACATCGTTCTATATGAGTTGGATGCGTTAAAGTTGGGATCGTTTATTGTTTTAAGCGGTATCAATTATTTGTTGATGTTATTTTTGAGTTTGGGAGGCTATTTTTGAAAGCCATTGTTTACGATGATCTCGTAATGAGTAATTTTTCTAGCGAGCACAAGAGACTCCCTTCGGCGATCGTGAAGTGCTTCCTCCTCAGTACATCCCTGCCTTGTTTAGGGGTTGTTTTCAAGCATGCGGTCGCAGCAGAAAAACCGAGAGGCAAAGATGAAAATTGTTTTATTAAATGATATTGTAAGGATGCTCTCAACGAGTGTTTTCCCATTTATCTCAAGCAACATGCGTCTCTTGCCATTGACTACCCCAGCCCAGTTGAGTCGCGCCCCTTTGGCGCCCTTCAGCAGCCGGGATGAACAAATGGAGTGACGAATTGATGAGAATCATTGTGAGAATCTGACGAATGTCATCACCATTTGACTCATTTGTAATGCCAAAGGAAAATTGTGTGGAAAATAGTGGGAGTTTTAGTTGATTCTCTTTGCTGCCCTTTTAAACAACTTGGGGTGAGTTGCAGTATGATTAGCTACGGTTCAGTGAGTGCATCTGCACGTATTTTCCAAATTAACGATAACGGCGTTCACGATCCGAAATGAAAATCCATTTTCGGTGAGTACTTTAATCAGTCGTAGCGTAGTTTTGATTTGGTTTTTACAGTTGAAAAGTGTGGAAAAAGTCCAACTTCTTATCGCGCTCTGAGCAACTCGTCAATACAAAATAACATATCGAGATGGAATACCAGTGGTGAGGAGTTTATAAATTGATAATGGCTGAAGTTCCCCAGAAAGTGTGTAATTTTATTGGGAGTTTAAAGACACAGTTTAATTAAATTTAATTAGCATGATGAGGGTATTGTTAATCATTAGTCACTCTGCTCCATTTCATGACCATAATCTGGACTGAAGTGCGCTCCTCGTGGCATCTGGAATACAAATCTTCATCATCAGTGGGATTGAGATCACCCAGAGCATGAGTCATAAGCCGAAAAGCCATCAAGCCCGGTCATGGTCATCTCAGGAGGGAGGTTTATGGCCAGAAAATGACTTCTCAAATGCCAAGTTTCCATGCGGGGAATATTTTTGGGCATTTGCAAAAGAGACACAACACATTTGAGCATCTGCTATCAGCCCTTATCGTGACACTTACAACCATATCCACTCTCACCCTCAACGCTTTCCACCTGTATCAGCGGATGGAGCACTATACAGCACTTTATCATCCTTGGTTCGATTAAATGGCGAAATGACTAATTGTCTGCAGGTGATATATCACAATAGTACTTTACTTTCAATTGATAAAGACTCATACGACGTATCGCTGGCCTTTGCTGGCCCCACACGAAAGGCCCCCGCATTTTGGCCCCTATCGTATCTCTCGTTTGGTCATAAGTGTGATTTTTTCGTCCCTGAATAATCACATACTATTCCCCAAAAAATTACCTGCACCATCATCTCTCAAAGTCAGGCATTAGTCATTGGCAAAAATTCAACCTGCCTTATCAGTGGACTCGAGAATTCACTCAGGATGAAAGGGAAAACGGCAGGATCTGCAAAAATCCCTGAGATAAAAATCACAGAGGAATTTTATTTCACTAGTAATTATCTTCTGGGGACAAAAAATAGACTCTAGGGGTGATTTTATGAGTGCAGTGAGTGCATGACTAATCCTCATTCTGCCCTTAAGTCTGATCTGGTCGTTATCGGAATAATAGTCATCATTTTTGCGACTCTTCCTGTGATTTTACTTTAGGGCTGCACGAGGGTTAAGCAGTTTTTTTTTGGCAGATTGGCAACAAGGGCTGGTGAAAAAAAGTCAAGAAACAGACTTTCACAATAAACGAAATTGCCACACTGAAATTGAGTTTCGCACCGCAACAGCCCTAAATTTAATTATTTAACAGCACTTGGGATTGTATTTCATTTTCGCCATCCGCCATAACAATTGCAGATTGGAGAATGAAATCAAGAGGAGAGCAGGCAATTGCCATCATTGTATTTTGGGCAAAATTGAAGTGAATTCGATTAGTTCAATTTCCAATTCACCAACTGCAGGAAATTCAATTGGGGTGGTGTCGGAGGCGAATGGGAATTCCTGTTGCCGAAAAGAGGCTTCATAAAATTTACATTTTACCACTCTTTGGGGTTGAAATGCTTGAGATTGCACGCGAGAGACTCCGTCCGGGGGTCAAATGTGAGAATGTCGCTCAAGATGTGGTCATAAATTTGAATTGTAGTCCAATATTACCAATCGAATTCTCATTGTAACAATGTTCATTAATTATACGCATGAGTTTCACTTAGTTATGCCAGAAATATTTCCTCTTTCATTGGCATTAATAACACTAACAATGCTATTAATCACTGCATTGAATTTCAATTGCAGTTAATGCTGTTCATTGGCTTTCACTCGCTGAGTGTGTCATTTTGAAGATCATCGAGGTGATATTGGCAGCAGAAGATGGATTATGGTGGGATTTTCGCTAATCTCCGCCGAAGACAAACCCCAGCAATTCAGCGAAATACTTCTCTTGAGTGCTCTCCATTGCGGAGAGTATGTTCTCGATTTTAGCGTGTATTGCAAAATATCGAATAAATTCCACACTCGAGTATGAAAGTTCAGTAAAATTTATAGTCCGTTAATCATGAGATACTAATTCCACCTTTTATATGAATTGAATTTATTGGACAGTTTTCTTTAAGTCTCTCACAGTCCCGCTAGAGCAGGGCTTAATCGTTGAACGGTCATGTAAATAGATAGTTAAATGTATTGAGAAATGAGAGGCACCACCTTAAAATATGTTGCAAAGGAATTATAGGATTGTGTGCATTCAGTTGGATTATGACTTTCCTCGTCCCTAATTTAATCTATCAACTTATCGTATTTAGCATTAATAAGCTTCACATTAATTACCCAGAACACTTTCTGGGCCTGCCTTTGTTGACTAACCAGTTCTAGCCACGATAGGGTGATCCAAAAATTGTCTGTCTTTCATGCTTGAATAGAATAGAATGACTAATGTAATCCTTTCCTCGAGATCGCCAAATTTCCATAATAAACGACAGCACGCGAAAGTTTGCATCATCAGAAGATGACGTCGTGTTTGAAGAACTCTCTTTGGTATGGCTGAGGAAAAAAGACTTCTTGAGCTTGAGTTCAAAATTCCATCTGACTTTGGCAAAGTGTCTCAAGCCGGAGAATGTTGCTATGCTGTCGCGTTTCACCCAGCCTAATATTTCTGGTAGCGGTCGGATGGATATATGCATGTATATGGCGTCGGCCTGAAAGACCTTGCAAGGTAAGTAACGTTTGGCTTTCTTGAAAACCACCAAATGAGAGCCAAGCCCCGTGTGATGAAAGAGTCACAAACACCGACTCTCATGTGAGAAAATATCTCACGCTGCAACATGCTATTGAATGTGTATATATGCTTATTAATCTACTAATCTCGCATTTGCGATGCTCCGCGGGAAGACTTTTATGCTTTTATGTGTCTTCTGCGAGAGTGACTCAAAAGTATACTTGAGCCTCAGTGAGGCATCAAGGTGAGTTTGACTTTAGCATAGGGTTCATGTGAAAATCAATGTGCCTATGAGTGGCTCTGGCGGTGGCAAGAGCGAATGTTTTCGATTCAGGTGAATTGAGCTGACAAAATAGTGTTGAATTGTATGAAAAAATGCTATAAATTTATTGATGAAAAATAAATTAACGACCGAAAATACACAATAGGTATGTCGAATGGGAGATATGTACATAAAATGAATTTGATGAGAGGCAGAGAGAGCGCGCGCACACAATCTCATGGGCAGCTGTTTGTAAAATTGTGAGCCAATCGGCACTCACTTGGATGAGTCATTCGAACAAATGCCGTGACGTTTCTCAGGCCCCGTCGCTGGTAGTGGTGAGTCGCGTTTACTCACTTACGGGATGGTGTAACTGGTTTTGGCGTGTGTTGAAAGTCACCGGACCCGCTCGATTCAACTTCTTCGACAGGGTGGTCACCAAGGCGGAAAAGTGCGCCTCTCGAGCCACCTTCGGCCCTCGGAATCCTCTCATGATCGCCACATCACCCTGTGGTGCGCCTGTGAATGTGTGAAGCCACCTCACGCACACTCCCGCCCATCCATGTACACAAATCCCAATAGCTGTGCCTCTGCTGTGCCAGAGAGAGTCTCACTCGGTTTATTTCACTATGAACTTTCGAATGGAATAGACGGGAGTCGTTTCGGAAGGGAAAATCGTGAAACCTGAACAATCTGCCATATTCAAATACCTAGTGTTTATACGACTGTACTGAAAACAAGTGACTAGCAAATTGTGAAGTTGTAAAAAGTGACCCGAAATTGACTAGTGTGCTTCGAGGATACGCAACTCTGAGTGAAAAAATCTCAACATTCTGCGGTGAACACTCCCAAACACCATTTGGGAATCACACAGATTCTTCTTTTTTACCCAACTTCTCTCTCGGAAGTGCGACTGCTGTACATCTGCTCGCAGGCACAGGAAGGAGCCCAATATGCCCTTTTCCACCGTCAGCAGAGCATCAAGGATATAAGCCACCCTTTCAGTGCATTTAATTCCTAAGCTAAGAATAGTGTAAAGTTATTTTAGACAAGACTTAATTCTTACATAACACACACGAAAAAATGCGGTTAAAGCGTGAATCACCCTGTTTGGTACTTCGCTTCATGCCGATTAATAAAATAGGTAAGTTTTCGGCCATTCCTGGTCACATTCTTCAACATATATGCAAACCTGCCAGGTGCCCAAAAATTGCGATCAAAATTTTCTTTACGGCATTTGACCTGTCTTGCAAAGCGGGTCAGAAGATATCCGTATCCGATAAGTGGATTGATCACTTGCCATAAACATCGATCCTATGAACCCCAAACTTGCTATAATATTTCAAAATAATCCTTATTGGTGCTCTAAGAGGATAAAGTTGATGTTTTATAAAGAAGTCCAGCAATAACTAGCTTGACTAAGATTTTTTCCATGAATGACAGCATGCTATAATTACGCTTTCCTGCGAAAAATGACACCTTTCATCACGAAGGGCACTTGACTAAGCATTTCATGCGACTCGGCGTGCAGAGAATGGGACTTTTCCTTCACACTGTCGTCGTTTTCTTAGAAAAATCATGTAAATACACCATTTTCATAAGCAAAGGCTTCTGTACGTGGCTTTCAAAGAGAAGAAAAAGAATGTACAAACACGTTGTTTTGTGTACTTTGGGTTTTTCTCTATTCCCAACTTATAAACAGTCATCTCGCTTCTTCTCTCGTTCGGGTTCAGGGGTAATGTGTGACTGTGGGGAATCAATGGGAAATTGATTACGCAGAAAACAGAGAGAATCATAATTAGTAGGTGAAGAGGAGAGGAAAAAAAATCCTGTAGTAAGATGGGTTTAGCACGAATGTGGTATTGTGTTTAAGCTGGCTTTTTTAACACTCTGTGTGCGGTGTGTATCTGCTGGGAGAGGGAACACATGCATAGAAGTGTACGATTCACAAATATAAAGCATGGGTGAGTCATCGAGAATAGTGCCGTGTCAGACCAGCGGCTATGCGAAGTTTGTGTTACTTGTAAGTGTACCTTCTTACACGATTTCATTTTTATTTCCATTTAAATGCATACAACGCGGATGAAAAAAAATGTGCCTCTTTCTCGCTCTCGTGTTGAAAAATTTTATGGCAATTAGAGGTAGAATTTTTATCGATTGTGTCCCACCAAGTCAGCCATCGTAAACACATTTCGCGCGTAGAGTTTTATTTGAAAATTGGTCGAGCGGGGTTTAATTAACTGCGAATGCTGTGGCAGTTGTGCTAAATCAAACGAACATTGAGAGAAGAGCGAGACATGGAGAGAGAAAAAAAAGTCCAACATTCGTGACAATTGCGATGGTGTGCAGCGTGTGTGAAGATAGAAAACTTCCTATAAATTGAGTGTCTGATAAAAAAGAAATTGTGAATTGCTGGCGGACAAGAATCTAATGTGAGCAAAACTGTGTCTGAAATGGGAACAGCGAACAAGAGTTGGAAGAGAATAGTAGAATAATTGTGTAATTATGTCAGAGAATTGTGCACTTCTAGAGTCTCTTTCAATCTCAGCTCGAGTCGCGCTTACTATTTTGGAGTTTCTGCTGTGTATCCGGAAGTGATGAGATGAGAGAGCGTTTGTGTGCTCATTGAAGCATTAACATCAAACTGTTCTCAATTTAAATTGGATCCAATTTAATACCGTAAAAAGTCATTAGCCCGAGTAGTCAATACCACTTTCCTGGACGTGCGCCGATGGGCGTCCGCGGCGGGAGGGGAAGTTTGTGAAGGCATTTTTTGTCTTTATCAAACAATGCGAGGATTTTCCGAGAATCGATTAAAAATGCTCTACAATTGTGTGCATTCATTTCATGAAAATTGCAATTGAAAAAGGCTTAGAACGTGGGGAAATCTTTCACGAAACATTTCATGGGATCTTTTTGTTCGGTCGCCGTGTTGGTTGGCTAATTTGTAACTGTTTGATGTGGTGACATCATGGAATGATCACACAATGAAAGTGTAATCTATCACCTGAATAGAAAGCCGTTAAAACCATGAAATTCAGAATTTTATCACGTTGCGCGATATCGGGATTAATATTCTAACCGTCATAGCATAAGGAAGTGAAAATCCCTCCAAGTGATAGGTCGTACTTGTGACTTGTTGGACAGCAATTCTAACTTCTAATATTTCAGTTTTTCTTCTCCGTAAATTTCCTTCGCAAAGTCTCACACCTCTGTGAGTGCAAGAAGTCACGTGAAAAGCGTATGCAAGTGAACAAAACCATTGAAGATATTTGCATAAAGAGTCAAAAGGTGGTCAATTAATTGCAATTTTGTCTCTATATTATTCGCAAGAGGTTGTGGGGACGCTCTAGCTAAGTGCACTGAATGCCTTTTGCCAGCAATCTAACTCTTGTCCTCTCTCTCTCTTTCTATGTAATCTGCATAGGAGCCAACCACAAAGACTACAACCGGAGGCGTCGGGATTCCTCACCATCCACCCCGGGCAGTCCTGATTGCGACAGCATGTACCCCGCCTCGGAGTCAGCGGCATCGGGCAGTCGAAAGTTCAGCCGGAGTTGCTCTAGTCCAGCTGTGTCTTGTGGTAAGTTGGAGGAGGAGGAGGAGTAGAGGCGCCCCGAAAATGGGAATTCCTGCGAAAGTGAATCACAGCCACGAATTCTCGTGTATGCAATAATTCTGAGGAGCGAGAGACTCTGGTCATTAGTAATATGGAAAGGAATGTCGTGAGCTGAAAGTTAAATTGCTGGAATTTGAGGCGCATCACAAAGGATGTCGTGTCTTAGATGTGGATGCCATAGCGAGACTGATTAGTAATGTTTATTTGTGGGCCTGAAAGAGGCGCAAACACACTGTCTGAATATCGAAATAATTCCCATGAAATGTACATTACTCAATCCTCGAAAGCGGGTGCTTCACACCCTCGGCAAATACGGTCAATAAAGTCCACACACAGATCCACTGAATCACACTTCCTTCGCTAGTGCTGTGTGTGAAGTTTTTCCGGGAAAATTGTCCCTCAAGTTGACTTCCCCAAAAGATGCCACACATGTCAGGATGCGACGGTGGTGGCAATAAATTTGCCAAATTGCCCGAAATAGCGCCAAAACAGCGGGATTATTTATGGAAAAATAACTGCCCCATGCCATCACCATTTCACCATTCTCCATCAGAAGCGAAATGCCAGTGAAATGACGAAACTCTTCAATGGGATTCCATGCCAACCCCGGAGTCCATTCACAAAGCCATGAGCACTCATGTGATGCCATGTGATGAGTCTCAGTGGAGCTGTACCCCAACTTAAATTACCGGAAGATTGCGTGGGATCGTGCTCGATGCTCAATGGGTGGGAAATGAATGGGGGAGATGGAGAGAAATTGTTCCATTTGCCATTCCATTCGGAAGTTGGTAAAAATCGCAAGTCCAATGGGATGTTACTATCGAAACGGAAGAGTGAGCATGAGAAAGAGGCATCTAATTTCTCAATGGAATGAAAGAAAAATGAGCTGAAATCGCGAGAAAAAATGTAGATCATGTTTATACAGAATGAATGCGATAATGAGTAAAATGTGTGGTGTTTTATGAGATTACAGCATTTCGCGAGGGTCTTCATGTGCATATCTCATCAAGCAATCACTCTCTGATTCCTAGTTTTTCTCCTCTGCTTTTCATAAACGAGGAAGCATCCTAAGCTGTCCTACTTCTTTTAATCCGTTCAGCGTAAAATTTATGCATTGTTTATATACGGATCGTCTATAAATGCGAACATCAGAAAATCTTCTCTGGCATTTCCCATTGGCTTTTCTCCATTGCAGAAATAAATGGGGGACAATCCGTCGTAAAATGTGAGAAAATAGCAGTTGTGTTTCTATCACGATGGATTAATTTGCGCCAAAAGTGCTGTGCGTAAAAGTAAATTTAGATCATAGAGCGATTAGTCAGATCGCCACAATCATGAAGCATTATAAATATTTTCAATTATTTTGGCCCCCTATTTATAGACCTGAGATCCAATATTAGATGGTCTGGTGTGTGGCGGGAAATAAAATGCCATGTTGTCTCCAATGGCAAAAATCCATCGCACTTTTCATCATGTTGCTGGTAATAATTCTACAACGTGAGAGAGATAGGCAATTTTAATCGTTGCAAAAACAAGCAACTTCTCAAAGTCGCGCAGTCACGAGCCACCCACTTCCGTGTGCCAATGAGCAAGAGCGAGACTTTGGAGTGAACATGCTTCCCATTTAAGAGGAAATCTCCACACACGGCCTGCGGAGTCTCCAAAATAAATTTATATCACAACACATGGTGGTGGCTTTTTTGCTTGCGCTGCCGTTCTGCTGAAGATCGCGTCCCGCGAGACGACGGGGGCGAGGCGGGAGGGCGAGTATTTTTGAAAATACACTCCGCGATGTACTCGACAGCCTCTAAGAGAGAAGTTGAAGGCAAGAGAGACAAGAGGTCGGCACAGCCATTTTATTTTAAGAAAATTTCCGCGCATTGAATCACCGCAGGAGCATATTTGCGATCGCGCAGTGGACTAAAATAGTGTTGTGGCTGTTGTGGCGGAGCGGAACAAGAAATGGTCATTTTTGCCATGGCTCTGGGACTTGTTGGGGCGCACGTTGTGAATGTGCGAGATCGCGGGGCGGCGGCGAAAGATCGTGAGGAGAGGAGAGACGAAAAAAAAATTTGACACAGCGAGACGCAATAAGGAACGCCAAAGTATTAAAGCACGCGGAAAAGTCACCCAGAGAGATCACAACCTCGAGAGTGAATTGCTTTATGAATCACTCAATTAGTGGTGGCGATATTGGTGGCAAATGCGGGGACAGGAGGTGGAGGTGAATTGTAAATTCACAGCGAGATCGATACTCATGCCGATCTGTCACTACAAGGACATCCATGATCGCGATCAATGACCAAGTTATTGCGCTGTCCCCCACTCCATGAGCATCAGCTCCGATTTTAGCTGACTGGCAGATCCTTAACATTTCCTCTTTGGCTACACTTGCAAAATATGTCCATAAATATGCGACTATGTCATCAATGGCTATTCAAGTGGCAAGAGCGACAGAGAAAGAGTGAGAGAGAGAAGTTTGAGAACATCGCCATACACACCCAAATGAAGATCTGTCTGTTGAGTCATCTGTTGCATACGACACCGTCTGACTTTCGCATATTAAAATCTGCTTTAAATAACAATAAGTCGCAGCTCACTTCTTGTCTAAAGAATTCAATTTGAATGGATTAGTTCTGCCCGGAGATAGGGGGGTTTGTGTCATCACATCGAGAATGCCACACGGGGTGATGTTTGTGATTGGGAACTGGTTCTGGATGAGCAAGGCTATCGAGATGGCCTATAATCGCCAATTATCCTATTATGTGCACGAAGAAGAAATAAGGAGCACAAATCTCTATTCCGGCATGATATCATTCGGCGCAAAAAATCTCATATTTTCATTGGGAGGCCAGAGAAACCGAAAATTTCATCGGTATGAGGAAAAATGTAAAACCGAAGGCCCCCCACATGCCCAAATGTTGACTCTCTCCGTATATATGTATCTTCTTGTGGCCTGGGTGTTTAATTTAGCTCTTCGTCTTCTCTCATTAGCAGATATCGAGTCCCAATTTGACATCGAGACACATCCAGCATCACCAGTATTTCCTCATTTGCTGCTCGGCAATGGACGGGACGCCGTGGATCCCACCAGTGTTGGTGCCAATTGTGTACTGAATGTGACATGCCAGCCACCGAGTGCCAAGCCAAAACCCGGGCTGCAGTACAAACAGATTCCGGCCAGCGATACACCACATCAGAACATTAAGCAGTACTTTCAGGAAGCGTATGAATTTATTGGTGAGTCTCGTGATTTATATTATTTTTGCACAATATATTTATGTGCCCATGAGTTTGGCGTGAGCATAATAATGGTGAGAATGTGTAGCTCCTTCGGTCTGATTTCTTTTGCTCTCTTCATCTCTGTGCGCGCGCGGTTTTCTCTTCCCTGTGCCGCAGCCAATCCGCCATGCAGCTCACAATTCCAGTTTCTCGTTACCTTGGGTCACCTTGCCTTAAGGCTTTTTGTTCTTTCACATTGGAACACACCTAAAACGCATACAGAGTGCGTTTGAGTCTCTTGACTCAGGCGCTCGCAGATGCGATATACCTTTATCAATGGGCATTTCCAATCAAACCCCATTTTTTCTACGTCGACCTCTTCATGTCCTTATCGATTCGCCACTAATCTTGCTACCGATAAGCCATGTGCGGAGTGTGAAACCATGTTAGGACATACGTGCCCTCAACTACACAGACAGGCAGGAATCATCATCAATCTATGATAATCAGGGGTGTCGATAGGAGGTTTTAAGTGCCAAATGGGTTGAGATTAAATCCCTTTAGAGCCTCCAGTGCGAGTCTCATTGACTCACACACCGTGTTGGCATGTTTAACACATTGTATTGTTGGTGTGTTTATCACATAAAATTAACCAACATTCATACGACGACACTGGAACACTACATTGCCATATAACACAAATAAAGAAAAAGCGAGATAAGTGTACAAATAACATTGATTGCATAAAAACACTTGAAAATGATGTATAAAAAGTGAGTCATCGCGTCGACAGTCTTTGAAAATATTACGTGCTCAATGATTTTTTTCCTTCCTTCGGCACGTATAAAATGTGCAGATAAATAATTAGAAAATTTATCACATTTTATCACTCTCTTCATCGTGTTAAATAAACATTTAGTGTGAGCAATACAATTTCTAATCACTGTTGCTACACACCATCAGATTTTCTTGCAAAATTCTGGCATTGGCGCAAGACTGCCGTCATTTTCGAGAGTCTGTGTTGTTATTTTGCCCACCCTATATCACTTGGTGATTATCACGCGTTATCTAAAGTGTGAGAGAGAGAAAAATTTCTTAGGCAAATATTTGGGTAAATATTTGCGCGGCTTGATTCTCAAGTTGCATCCATGTGGAATCTTTTCAAGGAGATTTTTGCTCTCTATAGAACAACTCACATCCTGAATTATGTCCAGATAAAGGCATTGAATCATCTGGGTGAGAGATGATTATCATCGGCGACGTCCAGTGAATAAGTCGCGGCTCTTTGACTGATCGCTTTGGAATGTCCACAAGGACGGTGAGCGAGTGTTACAGACCTGTGCAAGAAATGCAATAGCGCGTGATTTGGAGGTGGGAAGTAAAAGTTACAACCTCTGCCTCAGTGCCAGGAGGACTTCCTGCACACGCTCTGTGCTGAAAATACCGAGATGATGTACTTCCGCTCCGCTATTTTCTGCGCCCATCCGTCAATCGACACTCCATCTCACTCGCTTCCTCTAATCTTGAGCCACCTTCGGCTGGAAGTGTTTTCCTGTGCGGAAATGATAGATTCATTAGATTTCCTGTGATGGCTTTTTGTCGTCTGGGTGACACCACATTTTGCACCCTGTTCCAATATAAATGATTTCCCACCAATTGCCACACACACAATCGCTGATAAGACAGCGAGGGGGGTCAGAAGAGTCAACATGGGATTCATTGATAAAAGACTTTCATTTAAATATGTGCCCAACATGACCGCAAGTATGAATAATTGTTTGGACATTTGTTGATTGTGAGTGATGGAAAAATTTTCTTCAATGATTCTGTGTGTGGCGGTGCTTTATCTCGCTAAGCATTTCATGTGTGGACATTAATGGTGGGAATAAGAATGAATATACTAGTTGTGAAAGATCGTGAGAGTCCGCGGCGGTCACCTTGATGAGAGATGTCTCATATTTGTAACAAATATGACTCACCGTGTTCCATTTAACAAGTGTTTTCTAGCCACTAATCACTTCTCAACACTGATAATTCGATAAACTATTGCTTGTTGTTTAACAAATGCCGCAAACATAGTGAGGCCGATGAGTATAGTTTATCACTGTGGCTGGCATATTGGGAAATGCTATGTGGAGGGCAGGCAAAGGAAAAAAATGATTCACTTCCATTTACTTGGTGGCTTGTAGGGCGATAAAGGGCATTCCCGAGGCTCGATTGTCGGGGCCAAAAGAAGGGCCCATTCTTTAGAGTAGGAAAAAAGAATTGAGATATGAAAAGTGCCAGCAAATGCTTTTGTATGCGGACGACAAATGCAAAGGGGTGAAAAAATGAATTTCTGTTAAAATTGCTGCGATGCGTCATTCATGAGAGACCCTCAACGTATTTTTAATCATAAAATACAAAGATTAAGCATCCCTCTGGAGAGGGGGATGCTGTCGCCGTGTGCTACCCATTTTGGTATGTGCGTTTTTGTTTGGGGGGTAGAAAGTTTGAGAGGGTGAGGCAGTCGACTTTACCCTAATGTGAGCTTTACGGAAACCCATCAAACTGTAAATCCTCAAATTGTACGGGGCGCCTGACAAAGGAGATGACGGTGAGTCATAGCAAAACCACTTTGTGACTACGGGCTCTCCTTTGTTATCATATCGCTGGCAAACCAATTCCCTTTTTTCGCCATCCTCCCGCAGGATATCAAGCAGGAAAAGTGTCACCCACCCCATCTTTGCCCAGCCGAAAGCGAGAGTGGTGAGCGCATTTGTGAGTGCTGCAACAGGGGAGGAATTATCGGCGTTGTGTGTCGGTTGAGGTGCGAGATTAAATCAATGGGAAACCTAATGCCATGGCGAAATTCATCTCCTTTCCGCCTGACAGGCGGAAATTTGATCTGTAACCGATAGAAGATCGTGTTAATCATTAGTTGTCGGAAGGGGCCTGTGTGACATCTTCTCCAAATATTGCGTCGAGGGTGCAGGAAAATGCTTTTCAATTAGTCATCGAAAGTGACGCACTTTCCCAATCTCTATACTCTTCTGGTTGGGAGACAATATTTATACGATAAAATGCGCACACGAGATTGTCTGCAGCGCGTGTATTCCTGGGTGAATCACAGTGGCACATTTCGCAATTGAGGGTAAAGGAGAAAAAAGAGACTCACTAAAGTGCTTTTGAGACTCTCAATAACTGCAATGACATGGTTTTTGCGCAAATGGCTTTATTAGACGTCATAAACCTCTTTTCTCTAATTCGTCTGTGTGTCAAATTCGCACAAACTTAAAAATATTCTTCGCTCTACTTGCATCGATGCAATTGAGGTAGTCATATTTCGGGATAAGTCATTGCCTCTTGCCATGACCCGTGCGAAAATGCACGCTAAAATTGCATTTGAGTGCAGTCACAGTTGAGAATAGTGAGCTCAATTAGGAAATCACAGGCGTAAATTTCAGGGCAGCCTTATTACAGCATTGCACTCTCTGACTTTTTAAATGGTCAGACGTGCAAATGTGTAATTTTTCGTCCGCCCGATGACTCACCGGCAATTTGCAGGCCACCAAGAAGTCTGAGGAAAAAAGTGCTATATGGCTGTTTATACCACATACTGAAGCACAATAATTAGCATCTACATGTGCAATATTGGCGTCAATATTGAGAGAATCATTCCTTCAACATCTGCACACGAGTTCTTCATCGCGTCAATCACTTGGCAAAGTGTGCTAAATTATTCTCCCATATTGGAAAATGTTTATTGGCGATGACCTTTGCGGAGCGATCAGAGTGCAGATGACGTCAACGACATGACGATTGCCTATCGCACAACTCGGGCGAGTGTAATTGCAATTTTTGAAGTGCGGGCAAAGAAAGCGAAATTATCAATTTAATATTTTAATCGAGATAGCTGTCGAGCGCATGGGAAACTTGGCAGAGGCATGAATTTTATTTACAACCATGAAATTCTCGGTATTATTCATATTATTGCTTGATCACGAAAAAGATCAACGCTAATCCGCCAGAGTGTTGAAGATGATTTGTGTGGAGATTCTAAAGGTACAGAAATGTTCGCTTATTAAATTATCAGTCAAAGTCAAGTGTAAATGCTAGGCAACGGAATAGTGTTAAAATATTCGGTGAAATGTGACAAAACCATCCCTGGGGCCATCGCAAGTGAAGAGTTCCGCCTCGGAACATGTTACATGCACACACGCCATGGGATTTTGTGAAGTTGTCAGGAACAAATGTTGAGGGTGAAAAGCAATAAAACACAAATGACGTCAAACATCTCTTGAGCATGTCGCTCACAATGAATATGATGAAAATTGAAAATTTGCCGAAATCTCGCTCAAGTGGCCCCAGATGATGGAATACAGCGCGTCTGTCCACTTTGATCTAACGACAATTGCCATTAATTTTCCTCAGCAATTAACGCAAAACTGTAAATTAGCTTCGGAATGGATAAGTGGTGCAAATCACCTGTGGCAGTTAATTTAATTTGAGAGAGTGTGACGTCCCGAAGAATTTCGCAAGATGGGCCCGAGATTTTGCCTAAGAGCATCATCATGTAGAATCTGCGGGCCAAATAAGGCGCGGGGGGCGCAAAAGTTAAGAGCCATCGTGTGACATGATGATGCAAAAGCAGTGCGTAAAGTGCGGGGCCTCTTTGGCAGGAGGCATGAAGAGAGAAAGACAAAAGAAAATTCCGATTCCCAAGGTGGTACTCTTTCTATTAAAAACCCATCATTTGCTCACATCATGCCCAGAGTTGTGTGTACATAATGTACGCGATGAGAGTATGTGCAAGAGAAGTCTCATAGCCGAAGTCATTGTTTTTGGCAGTCGCGGAGCTCCTCTCCTTCGTGCCACCTCAAATGAATAAATTGAGAACGTCTAAAAATGAACATGATTCATCGCTCTGTGTTTATTTATATAATATTTAAAATTGAAAGAAGTCGCTTTTGTTGAAGACTGTGCGCGCGGTGTTCAATAGAGCGAGAAGAGGAGAAGTATTGGGGATTGGTGAGAGGTGAGAGACAGTGGAGATCGAGTCTTTAAGCCACTTTTGTAATCACCTTTCGCGCGCACAGATCAGGAGAAAATCAATGGCTTTTCTATCCGTGCGCCAACACATTCGCACGCCACAAGTCTGCATTTTCATGCCAAAACACACTCTCTGCAGTCCGCGCGGCCATTCATTTGTGAAAGAGTCAGTGTACCTTTTGGATAAGAAACCATTTCTCGCGTTATGGCCCGAAGGTGATTTATCACCATTGGAATTTCATCATGGCTAAGAGATCTCCAGTTGAAAGGCGCAAATGGAATATAGTATAGAAAGAGAGAGGAAAGAAAAGGAGGAAATGTGCTGAAAAATCAAAATTGGCAAATTTGCTTAAATTCTCAACACCCCTGCGCAAATTGTGAGGGAGATTCATAAATTTTAACAATGCCCTTCCCCAACCCTCAAACAAGGGGCTCAACGATAAACCACCCGAACCCTAACAAACACGACTAATTCTAATCTTCCCCGGGGTTTCCTGCACTCTGCATCATCGCATGAATTTATCTCTGTATGAATATTTACATTTACCGGCAATGGAATTGCGAATATACGGCATGTTAGGGGAGGGTAATGCCATTCAGTGTGAGAGGGTAATAATAGGAGCTACTGGAGGGTGGAAAATTTGATAGATCTCCTCATTGTATCGTGTTGTGTGTGTTTCGTCAGAAAAATTTTTGCCTCACTAATGTTCTGGACCCCTTTGCGTGTGGCGAGGAGTTGAGCGATGGGGTGTTTCGAGATGAGAGAATCACTTTTGGCAGGACAGGAAAGGCGATATCTAGAACCCTAGCAACTCTGTCACCTTTTTAATTCCACCCTCAAAAGCGGGTGGTCTTGAATACAGTTCACAAAATTCCTGGTTGCAACGAGGGTGGATTAATTCTGAGATTCACAAATGAAAACACAGACTTTGTGTGTGTGTTTTTGAAATAATAATAAATGATGCATTTGGATGAATCATCATTTGACTATCATTTGGGTGAAAGAGAGAGAAGCGATATTGTTCCATTTCCTTAATGGCCCGAAATTTTCCTCCCGGCCAAATTGAGTGCGTCTGGCATTGAGTATGTTAATATCTGCCAGGATTCACATAATATCCTGGCCGTGAATGGAATATTTTACGACAATGCCACTGAATGTGTCACGTATGAATGAGTCTTGATTGTTAATTCTGAGAGATGGTGCGCACTGAGAGGTTCTTCATCCCAGAAAGAAACCCACAGGAGAGAAAGAAGTGCGTGAATCATTCTATTGTGGCCGATCTTCTCTCTCTTTCTCTATCTTGTGAGTGATTAATTTCATTGTGTGTACGGCGCATTTTGACGAAATATGTTACTTTTTCCCAGCGGGCTTGATTAATTGAAATGTCTTCTTGTCTATTTTGCAGAGGAGGCGCGCAAGCAAGGTTCCACAGTATTACTCCATTGTCAGGCGGGCATCTCGCGGAGTGCAACGATCGCGATCGCCTATGTGATGCGGTACAAGTGTATGTCCCTATATGAGGCCTATAAAGTCGTGAAGATGGCTCGTCCCATCATTTCGCCCAACTTTAACTTCATGGGACAGCTGCTGGAGCTGGAGCAGACGCTGCGAGCCACGGGTGCTCTGGCCCCGGCTCCCAGCTCCTCCACATCGTCCGAGGACTCGGGCATCGCTGACGAGGAGGCGTCGTCCACGTCATCGCTGTCGCCGCCGTCCTCGTCGGCTTCCTCGCTGCCCACGTCCCCGATCGAGAGGGACTTTTCCGAGGACGCCACGAGCAGCTCCTGCCTGAACGGCCCGCCAGACTATCCCATGGAGCAGCCGGACAAGGAGTCATAGGAGTCGCCGGGCGGAGGGCAAGAGTCCCTCACTTGTAAATATCTCTTGTAAATACGGATTTGATTTCATCTTTCTTTTAATTAGGTTGTGAATTATTGTCAATCGTCTCTTTCCTTTTTTATTTTAATCATAAGCCATTTGATTTTGGGCTCTCGTGCAAGTGATAAGCGGGTAAATTTGTCAGACGCCTGCACAGAGTTCCCAACATTTATTCATCATATAATGTGAATTGGTATTGTTTGGAGAAGTGCGAAAGTATATGAATACACTTTCTATTATTTTTTCTGCTCATACAAATAATACAATTTCTTCATACACTTCTTTTCCCATCAAAAAAAAGAAAAATAATTGACATGAAAAAGCATACATAATATAAAAAAATATGACAGAATTCGAAAATCTAGTCTTTAGATGAAATATATTTGATGATGAACACATGAACTATTTATAGCTGCTAGATAAGAAAGTGTACAGATAAATGTAGTTGTTAAGACAATTTTCAGTGGATTTCACTTTGATTCAATATCTTTTTAAGATGCATTAAATATATCAAGGCTGTGTAACAACAATACAATAAGATGAAGAAGAAAAACAAATAAATTACCTTTTAAATCCTATCTTAGCTGTAGTGAGCGAGAGAATATGAAAAAAAAATCGAAACTATGATATCCAACCTACAACCACTAAAACATATCTAATTAAAGCAGAGAATTAGAATTCAATGTTTATCGAGCGTATCAATATCATAGATGGAAGCCTTAAAGATTTTTCTGTATAGCCTGTAAATGGATGAAAATGCATTTTGCCTTTTATAAAGCGCCGAAATTTTCACTGATAGTGTTATCACGTGATGGAAATTGTCAGAGTTTCTCCAGTTGACGAACAGGTTTCGTCTCAACTTCCGCGTAGCGAAAAAAAAGAAACACAAAGAAAGAAACCCACGAACTGATAGAGATTGGTGAATTTTTTATCACAAAAAGCCACTATATTTATGTGAAAGTACATAAGATTCTTTACCACAATTAATTGTATTTTGTGAGTGACACAGAGCAAATCCCCTGTGTCCTTTTGTATTTGCGCGTGCAGTGGATTTAAATGGAATTTTAACTTTAAAGCAGAAACTCCCCTCCGTCGCCACTAAAAGGGTGTGAATTATTTATAAACCGTTGTATGTTTTCTGTGGGCGACTGGCGGGTGGTTGGACATGAAATTTGTATAAATAGAATTACTTGAGAGAATACAAAAAAGTTTATTTGTAAGGTGACAAAAAAAAAACAGAGAATAAAATGTGTAAACGTTCTTATTTGAGAGAAAATCGTATGGTGTTTTGAATTACCCGCCCTTCCGGAACCGCCCAGATGTATGCAGAACACCGATGGTGAATATAACTTGGAATGTTCACTCGATTTCGCTCATGCTCTTAACGGAAGCTCTGAGGAGGAGGACATCCGTTTCGGGATCGAAGGTCGACGTGATGCTCTTTTTCGTGTACAGAATCCCCTTCCGATGGTGCAGGAGGTCGTGCCAAGAGTGGCTCTGGAGGGAGAAGACGGGATTCCGCATTATCAGTTGACGCTGCATTATTTTCTCAGAAGTCACATTCTGCACGACCACTTCCAGCAGGTATCTGGAACAGTCTGAGGATGGACCCTAGAAAGCAAATTGACAAATTATTGGGAATTCCAATCACGATACTAATGGAGTGGCTGAAAATCACCTGAAGAAGCGCCGAAGTGAAGAGATCTCCTTGGGAAATGTCCAACCTCAGCCAGAAGGTCTTTTGCTCCAGTTGCAGAATGAGGCAGGCATTCTCAATTGGCGTCTTGGGAGGCAGGGAGATCTCGGCTGATGTCGTGCCGAAGGTCAGGATGGGCACTCCGTGACCCTCCAGCACATGATGGCGAATTTCAGCGCCGGCCAGAGAAGCTGAACACTCTTCGCCGCACGGACATCTGTAGCTGTTGTCTAGCTTTGGCACGACAATCTCTATGACACTCTCTGTGGATGTGTGGCAGGACGGCGGGCGACGAGTGCCCAAAGTTGGAGGCAACTTTCCCGGACACCTGATGACAGACACCGTCTCAGTCTCAGGAGTGACGAAGATTTCACTGTGCGAGAGAGATTTTGTCTTGAGATTCACAGGATTCTCAGTCAGAGGAAGCAGAAGTCGGCCGCTGCTCAGGTTGTCCAGCGATGTGGCCTTCCCCATGAGCTTCGCCAGGAGTTTCTGCGTGGCCGATTGCGTGGGCTTCTGATGACTGTTTGTTCGCATAAAAGGCACTTTCACACTCTTCACTCCGAAGAGTTTCTCCCGGAGCTTTCCGTCCACTTCGTCGTGCAAATTGAAGGCGTCCCGGAGGGAGTTGAAGACCTGCTCGGCGATCAAGGAGCGGCCCAGGCTGTACTTTTCGCGGCACACGGGGCATTTATCTGCTCGCATTCGGCATTTGGCACACACGAGATGTCCGTTCTGGCACTGGATGGCTGGCGGAGGAATCGTGTCCATGCACACTGGACATTCCATGGCAGCCAGGATGGTGGACATGCTGGCGGACAGACGCTCCAGATTCTGTGGCATGGGGCCACAACAGAGGCTGTCCGGAGCGCACTGAGGATCCAGTCCGGTGCTCCAGAGCAAGAGAGTCACTTGGTCAGCGCGACTCTTCACCATGTTGGCAATCTCGGCGATTCTCATGCCCAAGACATCCTCGCTGTTGACCTGAGAGTCCAAGGAGAGAAATTAAAAGTCTGTCGACTTTATGTACGGAAGATGTCCCCTTATCTTTTCATGGTCTATAAATTTGTTATGAAATATATACTAGCAAAAAGATAATCTGTCCAATTATATTTGGACATAAACAACCTGTTAAATTAAGAGAAAAACGCGTCTTTACAACTCTTATGATGAATCACAAGAAAAAGTTGATAAATAAACAAAATGACACATTTTTTGCGGAATTATTATCGCTAATAAGCAAATTGGGGGTACAAAATACAACTTCTTCTTTTGGGGATTTTGAAGCTTTTGTTAAGATATGCAAATTGGCTGTGCAATAATATCAGCAGACGGTGTAAAAGGTTGCAACACGTGTTCCAATTTTGATAAGCAGCTCAACATCAAGCCTTATTCAATTTTAAGAGTGTGTTTTTCAGAGCGTTCAGCCAAGTGTTCTCCTCTCCCAGGTAAAATTCCAGTTGAAAGAGCAAGTCAATAAAGTTATGCGAATTTCGATTCGAGGGTAAACACACTGGTTGCAGGAGTTATAAAACTCATTGGCGCACTTTGAAGGCAAAAAGTGGCGAAAAGATCACTGCCTTCGGTGAAGATTGTAAAAGAAATTTCGGCGCACAAGCCTTGGCTGAAAACTTCTTTAACTCTCTTGCTTGCCTCATCAAATCCACGAGCGAGCGCGCAAGCACGAGGCAAGAGTATCCGAGACGAAAAATCATTTGTGCTGTGTTGTGACGCGCAAAAGTTAAGAAATTCCAGTATTAGAAGCAACAAACTGACCTCCAAAACGCAATCGCCAACCTTCAGTCCGGTTACTTCGGCCGGAGATTCCTTATCGACCCCGCTCACCTGCAATCACAGACAACAATTAGTGGGGCTCACGAGGCGTGTGCACGCCGAGGTGTACCCATGGGTAGGGGTCCCACTTGCTGCGTGACAGGTGGAAGCCGCACGACCCGTTGGGCCACTTGGGGATGTGCAGCATCCGCACGGACGGCTGGTAGTGATCATCTGGCGAGGGCGCGGGGGCGCTCTGGGGCGCCGTGTCCTCCTGACGAGACGTCTCCACCATTCTCAAGATCACACAATGCCACAAGACAACTGATCGCGACGACGTTCGACAGGAAACTGATCGCTGAGTCCGCCTCTCTTGCTTGGCCACCACGCGCACCCATGAAACTCTAATATCCGCGCGCAAATAATTACATAAAGATCGCGCGCTTTCGAAAAAGCTGCCCGCGCGCACAGAGAACGAAAGAGAAAACAATGTGTTGAGAGCTTTGCAACAGCACTCATTACGCAGCCTCCACTCTGACCCTGACCCAAATGACTTCAGCGCCTCACTACCTGGTGCCCGAGACACTCTGCTCTCGTTTCTCGGCGGAACAGCACACACCTTACCGCTCACGCCGTTCGGCTTTTCGCAAATTATCTCCATTAGTGATCGTCGGGTCAGATTGTCTCCAGAGGAGTCACTTTCGTGGTGATCGACAGTTTAAGTGGGAAATACACATATAAAGTTACCAAATTCCATTTGATCGCACGGCAAAACCTGTACTGCTTTTTTTACGTAAGTTTTAGGCTTGCCTTTTATTGCTGGATGGAATGAAGAAGTGAGGTGCAAGAGTGCTTAGAAGATAGTGTGCAAACAAAGCGTTAAATGCGGTAATGAAGCATTGCAATCCTCGAGATAGCTCGCAAAATTGCACAACTGAAAGTGAGAACTCCGAATTTTCGCTTTCAACACAAGTGAAGAGAATGAGCATGAGATAGCATTAATACCGTGAGAAATTGGCAAGTTGGTAAAAGTAAAGCTTCCTCAGTTTCATTAGTTAGGTTTTACAAATTTGGCTACCACAACCGCTCCACTCTCCCCTATAAAATGCTTAAAGGAAAAAGTGAAAGTAACAAGAAAATAATTCTATTCTAAAAGAGTTCTTTATTATTATTCTCTGCTTTTTTTACGTGAGACAACAACATGCAAATTAGACGCTAAAACACAGTGACTCAACAATTTCTCTATCACTTATTTGTCTTTTAATTTTTGTCTTAATTTCTCTAACTTTTGCGCTCTCATAAATTTGTATCTTCTCTTTGGAATAATTGCACAAAATCGTAATCTTAGGCATTAGAACGAAAACTTATTGACTTTATAATTTATACTTCTACATAATTTCAGCGAAATAATCTAATCCCAGGGAAGAATTCCCGGGATTCGGGAGATCATAGTCAAGTGGATCGCCAAGGAGCTTCTTCACGTACTCAAAGGAGACAAACTCATCGTCATAGTTCCCATTCTCCAGAATGTTCACAACGTCTTGAGATCTGGCGGTGTTTTCAGTCTGAATCTTGCTGATGCAATTCGAGAGCTCGTTGAAGTCCATCGAGGATGGGATTTCCTTCTCCTCGATGATGTCATTGAACACGTCCTCGAAGATGAAGTTGTCATCTTGGACGGTGAGAACGGATGGCGTTTCGGGCTCCATAACGTACAGGGAGGATTCTGAGTGGCGCCGGCGAGTCTTCGTGGATGTCCTGACCTGAGATGTTTTGTGAGACTTGCGCTTCACCGGCGCGTGGTCACGGAGAGAGTGATTCTTCACGTGCTTCCGCAGACTTGACGGATCTGTGTAGCGCTTGTTACAGCCCTCAATCTGGCAGGCGTAGGGTTTCTGCGGAACAGAGAGACAGAGAGAGATGCTGAGGAGCTGAGATTGAGGGTGGGAATCTGACCACCTACCGTGTCATAGTGCGTTCTCTGGTGTTTCGCGCGGTCGGAACTGTTGCTGAATGCCTTGTGACAACCCTCGAACTGGCAATTGTAGGGCCTCTCGCCAGTGTGGGATCTCTGGTGAATTTTCAGATTCTCCAGCCGCGAGAATGCCTTATTGCAGCCGGTGAACTATGCGTTTTTTGATGGTGTTTTGGGGGAACAAAAGCGAGAAAAGAAGAGATATTAGTGTAAACATGCGTCACTATTTGTTAGCACAGCACTCAATCATGGATTGGTGAGGAGCAGAACATTGTGGAGGGATCTGCCGGTTAATGACCCATGAGCCCAGAGCGATATGTGTCTATTATGCATAATCTCTGTCACCCCACTACTGACACGACCACATGTGTGACCTGCCAGCATTTCTCCATCTCTGGTGGAAGGCGCACTAAGTGATTGAGGAACGTAAATCATCATCCCCATGGGTGTGGGTTTTAGGGTCAAATTAATATTTTATCAAGGCGTGACAGAGTAAATAAATTATCTGATAAGGGTTTTGATGAATTCTTTAACAGGTGGCGAAAGAGCGACTCTCGAGATGCCACTCATGGACTATTTCTTTCACCATGAGAGCAGTTTTTTTCCTCAGAGAGCCTAGACATTAACTTTTTTCCTCCGCGCGCTCGAAATGGATGAAATTTAACCCTGGCAACAACAACAGAATACCATCGAGGCAAAACATAAACCATCCCAGAATTCAACATGTGTTACTTGTTACTCTTGGGCACTGAGGACGGAAAGGGAAAAGAAAGTTTGAAGAGAGGATTTACGAGCATCAACTTACCGGACACTTATTGGGCTTTTCGCCACTGTGCACTCGCATATGGATGAGCAGCTTGTAGCGCGCATTGAAGGGCTTGAAGCGCCTCGGACATCCGATCCAGAAGCAGGAGAACTCCTCGCCTCGACGCATCTCCACGTGCCGCTTCTCAATGTGCGCAACCAGGGTGCATTGATCCCCAAACTGCTGATTGCAGTCTATCCAGCGACATTCCAGCACTTCGTTTTCTGTCGACTTCTCCTCCAGAGGCACTTCTTCGGGCGTCTCCTCGTTCCAGATGTCCTTGTGCATCCTCTTGGGCTTCTGTTCGGGATTGGTGTTGAAGTTCTCAGCCGGATAACTGTAGGAGTCCGGTTGCTGCGGTGAGGGATACTGATCCAGGAAGGATGTGTCGAAGTAGTCATCAATGGAGAGGGAAATTGGTGGCTCCTGCCGATATTGGCTCTTCACGATTGTCTCAATTGGCGGCAAAGGATCAAGTCCGGCATTTCCAATTCCAATCCAGGGATCAATGTTGGGTGAGGAGCAGGGAGATTGATGCTTCGATTGGCAGTTGATCTCATTGTAGTTGTAGTAGTCAAAATCGCTCCCAGGAGAGATCATTTGGGTTTTGTACTTGGCAATGTCCTCGGGCTCGAATTTGAAAATCATGTCATTTTTCACGGTGATCTTTGGGTCGGCAGAACTGGCCAGAGAGCAGGGCGTTTCGGCCAAAGTGGTGAAGTCCGTGGCCAGAGGAGTGGCCTCGGGGATGTACTCACTGACCACAGGGGAAATCTCACAGTGCTGGAAGGGCGATGTTGCTGATGAGAAGGGTTGGAATGGAGGTGGAATGAAGAAGGTGGACTGATTCCCAGGTGAAGTGGGCGTTAAGACTGTCACTTGAGTGCTTGGAATGTTCCATTCGGAATCCATGTCGAAGCGCGCGAAATCCTTCACAGACTGATTCTTGTCACACAAATTGTCCAGAAACATCCTCTTCACTCTGATGCACTCCACAAGAGTAGAAAAAAAAATCACAGGCCTCACTTTGAACTCTTATCTTTCTATCAGCGGAATAAGATTGTAAAGCAAGAAGTTGAAGATCGCGATCACATTCCCGCCAGAGAAGCACGTCCGATCCGCTTGAGGTTCAGAGAGCCTTTGAGATTTCAACTGTGTGCTGATGAAGATGTAGATGACTTCTGGATGCTTTTTGCTCCCTCGACGGTGTTGTTTTTTGCTCCCTCGCTTGTGATCCATGGTTTTCCAGCCATATGTGCGAGAAGCACATGTAGAGAAAAGCCATCAAGAGGAGATCTCCGCGCTGATCTTTACGCTCGGCGATAAAGTGGAAAGGAGTGAATACAGGAGAGAAAATGAAGCGACTTTTTACTCACACGCTCCATCGCAGTGCATAGCTCATTGGAGATCTCTGAAGTGCTCTTTTTCTGATCTTGTGACATTGTAAACAAGGACCAAGTCAATCCTGGTCTTCAGTGAAACCAGATGGCACACAAGGGAAGGATTATTGCTCGCTTCAAGTGCACAAGGCAGAAAAGTTAATCAGCGAGCAAAATGACGGTTGACAGTTGGACTTTAGGATAAATGTCTTATACCTAAAATAATAAATGATATTCATGCGCGCGGGTGGAAATGAATTTCCCCATTGACATGACGCTCATGGCTAATGGATAAGTGATGAAACACGAGAGATTCTAATATGATTTGCTCTGAACAAATCACTTTAGAGAGTTTTCCCAAAGCGAGTCCCTCTCGTTGAAATGTAAACCAGAGGCGGAAAAGTGAGAATGCCAATGAGGCGAAAGCAACCCCAAAATCCCCGTCAGAAGGAGTTTGTTGACAATTTTAAATACCCTAAAATCTCATTAATCATATTGTGTCTTGAAGTACACACAATTTGTTTGAGTGTGCAGGGATCGAGGTTTTTTCCACATCGTGCGTTTTCTCAGTAAAAAACGCACCCTATAAAACATTATTAAATGATGTTTTAGATTTTCTTGCGGAGACAAGTGTGAATGGTTTTTTGCTGGGTGTGTTTTTCTTAAAATAATACCAATTTGTGACCCCATACATTGAATTTCTTTATGCGATTCTCCCAACTCTCAATCACTGATCCCGCAGTGACTCGAGATCTCTGGCGTGTCGCAAGAAAAGAGTCAACAGAGCGACGATGAGATTACATTCTGCACAATCTTGATGCCTTCCTCAACCGACTATCTGTGGTGACACCCAGTTTAGGTTTCATTCAGCATGAATTGGGGACTTAATCGAATAATCAAAATCAAATTTTATCTCACCCTCGCCCCTTTTGTGCCTTCTTCTGACATAATTGTTTGTTTATTTGTTGGAACAGCTATAAAGTGCAATATATCTTCCTGCAGTGCAGTCAGGCGATACTTCTCAAATTGGGGGAAGACTTCTAAAGATGCTCTGCGCGCTCTCCTTACATGTCAAACACACACTTTTCCGATTGCAAACTAATTTATGGGCGTATTGAATCCATTTGTCCTCCTCTTCCCAGGCGAAATGACTGTGTAACGCCTCCGATTCAATCCTGCCGGTGACACATTAAGTACACCCTAAACGTGAGCAATCGAGGATTCGCGAGTGAGGGTCCTCGAGGAGCAATTAAATCCATCCGCTACTCGATGATTTACATGCCTAATACCTCGACGACATCCCTGAAAAAGGTCTCTGTTTGCCTTTCCCGAAGCAGGTCAGAAGAGTGTGAAAGAATGTCTGGGCTGGAAAATTTATTTCTTTCCTCTTTCTCGTGTGTTTTCACATGATTTCACTCTCAATTTGTTTCCTCGCATTGCATCATGTTTGCGATAGAGCACACCACACCTCCAGGAACCACTCCATGTCGGTTCAATCTACACCTGCTGTCTCATAATGAGCGCTAAAGTGCTATTAAACGTGTTAAGTGATTAATCACCTGCGCGTGTGGCGACACCGCGATAAAACCCGCGGAAGTTCAGATGAATTGATGCACGGCAGATGCCTAATTAATTTCCAATTCTAATTTGAATATGAAATTTACCGCACTGCAATAAATTTCAGATGCATTTTCACGGTCGCCCCGCCTGGGAAAATCACACCAAAGACAGTTGATAAATTGAAAAGGTCTTGCAACTGTTTCACATTTTTTTCCGTCTGGCTTGTCTACGAAATCTCATCATCAATGTTTCGGAAGATATGGATTTTTTAATTTTGAAAACTCGTTAGCTTTTTTCTCCTCCTTAACCCAAATATCGAGTGGTATATAGATTCTTATTCAGCCGAATAAGAGCGCACTAACGAAGGAAATATGACAGAAATCTTGACACTTTTATATTTTAACGGCTTCAATAACAACATTTGGATGTTTCACCACATTTTATTGTGTCTCCGTGTCTGAGTTTCGGGGTGTGGGAAAATTTTTTCCCACCGAAAATCGAGCTTCTGAAGAAGAGAGACACACTTGTCTCCAGTCAATTTCAGTGACTAATCCGCAACTTGACTCTGATACTCTGTCGATGAGGTATCGGCCCCACGAATATGAGAACCAATTTTTATGTTCCCACCGAATAGCTTTGGAGAGAATCACGCCTCGCATGTTTGTTCAAGGATCATCCGCCCTTTGGCGATGAAAAGCATGAGAGAGATCAAGGGCGCAATGCATTAGATCTGCAGACACACCGACGCAGCAATCGTCACTTCGCACTTGGGCATGAAAGGGACTCGTTTCTGGGGCGGAACTGGGCCTTATCGATAAAACGACTCAGGAAAATGGCTGTTTAATGATTCCCATAAAACTACTTGAAGTGATTTCATATTGAGTGTTAACAATTTCAAAGTGCCTGACTCTCGAAAAGTGGAGGAAATTATGAAAGACGATAAGTCGTTAGAGTCTGCTCAGGGCCATTAATAACTAACATTAAACGGGTACACTTTGTAGACAGTTTGTATCCTTTTTCCCAATAAAATCATGGAAAAATGTCACTCACGATGGAAAACCATTAGTCATGTTGATGCAATATTAAATATGGTTGGTGTTCAATAGCAGGAACATTTCTGAAAATCACGTTTTCCCAAAAACTAGGATCAAAATTGAGTTCCTACATTAATATGTTTCTAAACTATTATGATGTTCATTTTGGTATCGAAAACCCTGCCAAACAATTTGTCAGTCACAGTAAATTCTTCCTTCTCTCGGGGGGATAATTTGAAGTGAAATATTTACACCATTTCCACAGAGATCTCATTCTATAATAGCATCACGGAGCGTCTTATAAATGTTATGCATCACTCCTTTTTCTGTTCTGCCTTTTCCCAAATAAAAAGTCGAGAACATCTAACGCCATTTGTTCTTATGCGCGCCGCTCTTGGAGCTTCTTCGTTCATATAAGGCCAAGAAGTTGCATTATATGCGTCTATTTATAGATGTTATGCTGCTCAAAACCACATAATAAAGGTCTTGCGCGCGGGGGTCCTTTTTCCAAGCCATTGATTGTACACAAAGCTTTTTTGTGGCCACTCTCGCGAGGCGGTCTCGAGCCGCGCACTTCGGGGATGTGAATGATAGAGACATTTTGCACCTCTCGCAATATGGTGAATGACTTGCAGGCTTTCACGCCCTTCTGATCAGTCGCTGGTGGGCAGAATGTGATACGAACAGCGTGTGTGTATCTCTCGTTTGTCAAGTGCAAAAGGGATTTATGCCATAACACTTTTGCATTAATGTCTATTTATAGGAGGCAAACAGCGCACGAATTCTAACATTTTCCCTCTCGCTAATGAGCGTATGCCTTTTTGCTCTTGCAGCTCCTTTTATTCATCGCACTCGAGGAAAGCGAGAGTGAAAATCTACACAGATGTGAAATGAGTCGCGATGAATTATTTCCAGTGATAGCACTAATGAACTGATGAATTATCGAATTAATATGAAAGAAATTCAGCGTGAGCAAAAAGCACGACAGAGTTGACATTTTTTCGGCACAAGAGAGCCCACAAGAGTGGCTGAAACACGCGCAAGAAGTGTGTCGTGAAAAAATTAACAGCCTTTCCACTATGAAAGTATTCACCACGACGCAAGGCGACATTTTCATAAACAGATACGCGCTCGGATAAATAATAATGAGAAATTATTCCTTTCTTTTTTCTTTCCTTCGGCACCGACAGCCTAATGTTTAACGCGATGCTCGCCAGGCTTTGGATCACGACGACGACTTTCCTCGCTCGCGCAATAATGGCGATGATGATTTTTCAAATAGGTCCGTTGAATGTGAACCATAAGAGCGAGATTCTGCAGCTCGAGGGAGAGAAAGAGTGAGAGCGGGTAAAAAAGATTAGAAATCCCAGATGCTAGAATGTTGAACTCTCCGAGGCTGTCGCATGAATGTTGAGATAGGCTCCAGGAGAGCCGCAGCACGGCTGTTTATAATTTATATTAATCAACATTTTATTATGTGTGTCGCAGGCTTAAACCAAATATCCATTATTTGTGGAGTTTATAAATTACACCCGAAGGGATTATGTTTCTATGCTCGCCACAACTAACACTTGAGGACCTCTTTTTTGTGCCATCGCCAAGATTATTTCATGCTCGAAGTGTATTTTGATAAATTCTCCCTCTCGCCATTATTTTCGTACTGTATCGAATTACCCTGGAATACAATTTAGTGAATGGATGAGCGAAGAAAGTAGGTCAATTTTAGCATGATATTTATGACTGGATATTGTGAAGTTTTCTTAAAATGGTTAAAACATCTCCCAAAACGGTAAAACATTCTGAGATAATCTTGCGTAAATTACACTAAAAGGACTCTTTTCCTTTCACTGAACACATAAAATGTGCCCTTAACTACTTCATTAGGGATTTTATTGAGAAATGTAAATGTGATGTTTACCATTTCACTTTTACGATCCAAAGGATGCAGCCAGAGGAATGCTATAAAAAGTCACGTGTTTGTCCTTACAACATCATCCCAGAAAACGGTGGAAAAGTCACAAACTTACCAACTCATAACTACAGAATAAATGAACATTGATGACTTATGCTTATCTCGCATGGTAATGATTCAATTTCATGAGCATTGCAGTTGAGGGAGCAACACTGCCATTAGCAGAAGCGTTATTTTGGTTGTTGCTCCACCCGAAACAGGGCAAAAACAACGACAAACATACTCCTCATTCCAGAGTTGTTTATAAACAACACATCGCGCAGAGTTGCACATTTTGGAATGCAATTGCACTCCGCAATGCCTCATCTCTTCAGCTGTTTCTGCAATAATTCACAGGCCAGATTTTCATGTGGGGCTACATTGGGGAGACGCTCCGATCGAGGGACAAGCGATGTGACAACTGTTATCGTGCGCGCGGCAAAAAGTGGTCAGAGAGATAGCGAGGGAAGAAGTTACAACAGAAGAAATGTGTGTGCAATGTACATATATTTTTCAAAGGGCTCCTCGCGAAAGCGTCGTGCAATTGGCAAAAAGTCACAAACACACATGTTCATTACTTTGCTAAAAATTCCTCCCCCCAAGATGGCATCATCCGTATGCTGTTATTTAATTAAGATTTGCCTTCACGTTGTCATTTTGCAGCATAATCAGACACATTCGTTCATTCACATTTCAGCCGATTCGGGATGATGCCATCATTTCACTTTTGGGCTCTTCACCCGCGCCTCGCGACACATCTCTTGATAGCCTAATTGGTCTACAGGTATAATTGTTCATTTGTATTTTGGTGTTTCTCAATGATAAATCACAGATTTTCCACTTTTGCTGTGCCTAGAGCGGAGGGTCTCTAGCCTAGAGTATATCCAATTCGCCTCCTAGACTTTTGACAGGAGCTTCTTCGTCTCGTCGTAAATGCAGAAGTTCAGGGCTGTTGTGATGCCAGACTTGAGCATGCTCGGCACAATGCCTTTGTAGAGCCCAAGGAATCCCTCGGACTTCACTGTCCGGATGACACACTGGAAGAATCCCTCGCACTCGAAGTGCTTCCCGAAGGTCTGGTGATGCTGAGAGAAGCCCTGAATCTGCAAGCGCTTCTTCACCACATCCAGCGGATAGACGAGCGCTCTGGATGAGAATCCCGTGAGGCTGCCCATCATCAGGAGGCCCCAGGTTGGAAGATCACTGAAAACAGGCATTAAACATTATAGAATTCGGTCACAAATGAGGCGCTTCTTGGGCTCACCTGTGAGATTCCAAGCCCAGGACGTTTTGCAATAAGCCACAGTAGAATTTGTAGAACATAAAATTCGACCCTGCCAAGGGAGTGATTTGCAGCAAAGATGGTCCGAATCCACGGTACAATCCCCTTATGCCATCCTTCTTCAGAATAGTCCCGACAGCCTGGAAGGAGTTGCTGTATCCATGGCCAGCGTCCTGCACAATCAATCTCGTCCGGATGACATCCAGCGGCGTGGAGACGAAGGCTGCACTGGCGCCGGCAATTCCGCCACAACAGAAGTTCTTCAGCTGCTTGTGCCTCCGGAAAAACGGCCTCGTCTCTGCGCTACTGTTCATTCGCTCGTACACCGTGAATTGCGTGATTCCGTAGCCGATGGAGAGCACTTGGGCGGGATTGTGGCCCTTCCACAGCCCACGGACGCCCTCCTCGCGATATATCACAGATATGGCGTGGACAATGGACTTGTACTTGGACGTGTGGTGCTTCCGGCTCAGTGGCTCCACCTGAACCTGGAAGCGGATCTTCAGGACGTCCAGAGGCTGACATAGAAACCGCGTTATCGCTCCAGAACTCGCTCCGGCGGCGGCATTTTTCCAATTCTTCTCACCCATGGCACTATTCCTCACATGCTTCACTTCCACTGGGGTCTCAGGTCAAGGTTAGTGTCCGATTTCATAACACATTCTCCGGGTTTCACTGGGAATGCAGGGATTTACACACTTTATGTAACGCAATTTAACTATCCGCACTGGCTGTCAATGACTCTACACGTGGGTTGCCAGGGATGAACTCAAAGCGATAGAATCAACCAATTCCTTCAAGCTTCCGCACGTCCCCAAGGTTTGCATTCTATTGGAAATAGTCGGACTTTTGTCGTGTAATTTGATTGATATGTGTTGCGTACTATTTTCCGTAAACATTGCAGGCAAATCCGAGGGAATACACGAATGAAAACATTCTCCTAATTCCTCCCCTTAATGTACAGTGTTCGGTTGTAGATGGCGCAGACGCCAATGAAAATGCAATTCAAATATTCACCACTCATTTATATTTCACAGAGCGTTGTAACGAGGGCAAAGCCACAGAATGATTTTAAAAATTCTTCTTTATCCATTAAATCAATTTTCCTCCACTCTTCAATGTCAATCTACCAAGAATGATACACAAGTTATCATCCAGGTCTAAAACTGCCAAGCTGTGGTGAAGAAATTCACTGAACTCGAGCACATTTCTTTGACTTCTCATACAACGAGGAAGAGGCACTTAATAACATCGTATTGATACATCGTTAAATAATGCAATTTACATTTTCTTCAAAGTGTGATCAGACTAATAGGCAGCTGGTGATGTGGAAAATTGCTACTTGATCTTAACATAGGAAAAACAAAACGCCTCGATTGCACAAAACCATCGCCAAATCATTATGCTCAATTGAATTGACCACTGAATGTGTAAGTGCGAGTGCATTGAGCAGATTGATCAGTAGTGAAATTTATCGAATCACAAGGTTTGAGGCTCAAATTCCTTTACGTGATGATTAATGATCTGTGAATGCGATGGAATGGAAATTGACCCATTTTCTTTATGTCTTCTTGAGGTGTTCTTCAGTTGAATTGCCAAGGTAAATTCTTCAAATCTCAAAAGTAGGTTTATTTGAGTACTTGACAAGAATAAGACACGCTTCCTCCATAAAACGGATCTAATATTTCCAATTCATGATTCCATGATAAGATAATGGAGAAAAAATAGTTTTAAGATGACGCTCGTAAAATGTGGAAGACTTTTCGTCTGACCTCCAGATGAAGTTCACTCGAGAAGATCACCTTCTTCTGAGTGGCAGAAGGAAAAAAAGGGTCTTCGGAATGGAAGAGGATCGTAATTTAATATCGTATAAAAATGTGAAAGTTGCAAGACTTTCAACGGAAAAGAGTCATAAAAAAGAAAAATATTCTAAGGATCTATTTTCATTCAGAAGAAGGAATGCAACTATTCTGACCAATTTACAGGCGATAAAATGCAAAATTTCCAAGATTTCAGTGAAATCTTTCAAGGTTCACCTCGAGAAACCCTTCCACTTACACTGCGCGCAATGAAAGCGCGCGATCAACACTTCTCCACACTCGAGCTGGAGTGCCGAAATGCAGTAAAAGCTCCAATTGACTGGCGATCGTGACCAGTGCACGAATATTGCGTTGGGCGGTGAGACGCGCGTGGAAGAGCCGTGAAGAAAAGATCCGTCGATGGAGAGTGAGATGGAGGGATCGAGCAGTCCAGAGTGCCAGTGTCGTCCGAATGCTCGCCTCTGAGATTCCATTCAGTTGAAAATCATCCAGCGGATCGGATACACTTCACTCGCGCGCTCCTCATCAACTACTTTTCTCGAAATCTCCCCCAAGAGTGCTGTACACACTTTTCTCTGGCCCCGAGAAATCAGTTGATTCGCTGTGGTGCTCCGAGATTGGCGCACACGAAAGGAGATCTCTTGATTTTCGAAGAAGAAAAATTGTTGGTTTTGTTTCTTGCTCTCGCAAAAGACAAATTCGCGGATTACAAAAGGGATTCGCAGTGGTGAAAAGTGAATTGATATTATTACATATTTTGGAGAAGTTGCTCTGCATAATTCTCCTTCTTACATTATATTCTGCGATATTGCGGACAGTCGCTGAGAAAACACTCACACCATTTAGTCGTCACCGTGGCTCACAAAGAAAGTGTTACATAAGTGAAATTATGATCGATCCGTACAATTGCGATAGTGTTGCGACTTCGAATTAAGACAAGTTGTTTCATTATAATTTCTTCATTTGCCGTACTTCCACGGCGCTCCGCACATCACACGCCGCAGGATCATTTTACCATAGCTAGTGCATTTTATCAGACAAGTGATGTTGCTCACATGAGACAATAAGGACAGTTTCAGCGCCCATTTATTGCTATAGAGCTTAGAGATTTGATAGGGGAATTTCTCAACGGTCGAGCATCAATTGATTGGTGGCGTGTTTGGTTTAGTGTGCTTGCTGAGGAGATCATCAATTTCTTGAATTCACAAAAGAGCGCCCCAACGCAAGTTTGGAACAACTTCTTCAGCTCCCATTCAGCACACGGCAAGATTAGGTAAGATTTTAATTTATAATACATATAATTTTTATTTCGTTACAAATTATATAATATGCATATATCTCGTATGTGCACAAATACCTCCTCTTATATCTTGCGTACGGACATTTAAGCTCTTTTTTTCATCTCTTTTCACCGTCTCAATTGTGATGGTATAGTGAATATGGCGCTCGCGCGCGCGCGCGCAAAAACGCCTGGAAGCTGAGAGAGCTTTTTTCCGATCTTTCCGATCAATTCTCAGTGTAATTGGACAAACACTCGCGCGCACCCGTGGTGAAAGAAAAGAAAGACTCTCTTGTGTCTCATCCCATGCATCGCTGAAGAGAGCCTTGCGCGCAGCGATGGTGGCAAAAAAGGCACCCATGACAATACCTCTTTTCTGCGCACCTCCACTACGCGCTGGAATATAGCATTTTATACTTTATTACATCACCGATGAAATTTTGTTCAAACACTACTTAACTTCGGTGACCCGTTTTACCTGTTCATATAACATATCTCTCTGGCTGTTCACATTTAAAGAGTGGTATAAAGCGCGCCTTTAAAAAACATAAAGATCGTCAGCCAAGCGGCGAAAAGTGCCAAAATGAGTCGCCCTCAAATTGCAAGTGCAATTTGGTCGTGCGCAGTGTCGAAATGTAGTGCAGACGCCTAGGCAGAAAGTGGTTTTATACGCGCTGTTTACCCCTCAAGAAGTGCCCCATCATATTGGCAGTTTTATCACACATCGCGAAAAGTAGGCTGCGCGACTCACCGCGAAGAGAAGCATAATAACCAACTAACCTACCAAAGAGACCTGCGCTTGTCTTTGTCAATTCATCGCTAGAGTCAACACTGTACCGCCAGAGATTATTACGCTTTGGAGCAACGGTGCGGTGCGTCCTTTTCCACATAACACGGTACTCGGTGCGGTAAATCTCGCCCAGGAATCTCCGCGTGATCGCGTCAGTGAGAACATGTGATGAATGATGAAAGAGAAAGATGCGAGATCGATGAAGGAATGCATCCAAAGACCTACCTTAACCATCTTCGGCTGGATTTCGTCGCGATCAAGCGTACATCGAGAGTGCTATATACATAGAGGCAACGAAATATCATATAATAACCGTTGGATCGCACCATTGTGGGCCAGTTGCCTCAATGTATCGTCCATAGATTCAATCTTCAATTCCTCAAATTCTCTTTCTCTCTTCTCACTTTTGCTTCGCGCGTCTGCACTTTGTGTTGTCCCCCCGGTTGGAGGAGCCATCTGATGGTGCGTGAATTGGAAATGAAACTTTCCATATCGCGTGGCGATTGTGAAGTAATTTGTGTGGAATTAGCGGGAATTTCATTGATTCATTAGCAATTCAGCTAATGTACTTTTATGACATCTCCCCCATCGATTGGGGGGATACCATCTGACCATGGACACCTGTAGAATGCCAATTGGGAAGGAGGACATCTTGGCTGCGGATCAATTTGTCAATGTACGCCCCACAAACCGCCATATCGTGCCAATATCGGTACTTTCTTTGTTGCGCTATATTTAACAAATAATTACTCACCGGTATGAGTCTCGCGCTCACACTGTGAAACCCCACCAATCATTAGACTGCACATCGGTTATGGATGCATAATTTCTCTTTAGCTCCAACAACGTTACACTTTTGCAACTTCATTTCTCCCCAGCTTGAGTCTAATTAACGATCGCGATTGGGCTCTTTGCGCCTCTATGAGTATATTGATCCTTTGGATGCTATCGCGAAGAGATTTGCCGAGAGATGTGCGCATCAGAATGCTCGCGGAGTGTCTTTTGTTGGCACACCAGAGAAATCACATGTAAAAAGTGCGAATTTCCGTTTCACTTGATGGAGTGGAGTGAAAATAAAACATACGAAATACAAGAGGTGCTCATAGACATCCCAAATTTGTGACCCCAAAAAATAAGCCACAACCGATTCATGGAAGGCAAAGAGAAAGACTTATTCATTATAAATTCCATCTCTGCTTTCATAATGCGACCCATCAAGACTATCATCACAATGGACATTGTGGCGAGGAAGAATGAGGAGAATCTGAAGATCACACGAGAGCTGGAGTTCACACAGATTCGGGACACAAATGACAAGTCAGTCATACAGAAGTTCTACCATGGCAAGAACCTCTTCATCACCGGTGCTACAGGTAAGACGGAATATGGGTCAATGCAGCGGATTCTTGCCATCTAAGCGACTGGTTTTCCTCTGCAGGTTTCATGGGGAAGATCCTCATTGACAAATTGCTGCGATCGTGCACAGACATTGAGAACATCTACATTCTTGTGCGACCCAAGAAAGGAAAAGATATTCACACCCGCATTGAAGAAATATTTGATGATCCGGTGAGTGTCGTTTGACCTTTTTCTCGCTTGTCTTTCTCCACCAACACCTTCGGCGTTGCTAAATTACCACCGAAAAAAAAACTTTTGTACCTTACGTAAAAAGCAAATTTTTTGAAATCATGCAATGCAAAGAATGGTGAAAATCCATTGAATGCCGATAAAAAGGCGCCTCAGAGCTGTGATTCTACCACGGAGAGAATTCACAGATGTTGTAACTGACTGAGAAGTTCGACAATGTATGAATATGAATGCTTTTTCGTGCGCAATTTAGCCTCTGTGCGAAGATGCGGCGCAATTTTTCATGATTTTTCGTTATAAACATTCTGTTGCAAAAGTGACTTTTCATCACTCACTGCGGAAATTATAATTCCGTGTTTCCGACATTTGCAATTGACATAAAGTTAGAGGCCTTGGCGCTTTTTGACTGTTTGGCAAATATAAAATTTTCTTTTTGGCGCTCAGGTGATGGGTCAAAAAGACACTTGAGCGTTTTAATGATGCAACCCCAGATTCAAGGTTCTAAAAACTAAAAATAAAATACATTTAGTCAAATTACCTGCTATATAAGAAAAAACAATTCAATGGTGTTCAATGAGGAATAATAATGGCATCATTAAGTGTATAAAAGTGTGTCCATTAAAATTCTATATAGCAAGTTTATCACTTCAATCCTCTTGTCGCTTATGGGTTTGTTTATAAACCGCAAAATTGGCAGCATAAGTTCAGAAATTAATCGACTTATAATTGCTGCGGAGAATTTCCTCCGGTTGCAATTTATGCAATCCGTCCCGGCATGTTGAGTGCAATGGTATAATTTAGCAGTGCTGCATCAGGTGCACGAAAGAGAGTGACTCTTCTCCTTTGTCCATCTTTCACCCATTGTGTGACATGCGTGTACTTTTTGTGTGTGAACAGGTTTTCAACAAATTAAGAGATGAAGTGCCTAAGTTTCGACACAAAATTGTTGCAATACCAGGCGATTGTGCAATAGCCGGTCTCGGGCTGAAATTGACAGATCGGCAGACGCTAATCTCCAACGTGAACATTGTCTTCCATGCAGCGGCCACGGTGCGCTTCGACGAGAAACTCAAACTGGCGGTCGGCATCAATGTTCACGGCACGAGAGACATGCTGAATCTCTGCCAGCACATGAAGCAATTGAAGGTAAGAAGAAAGGGCTCCTCCGCCGTCCACAATGCGCGCTCCCTAACAGTGCAGCCGCACTTCCTCCGGCCGAGCTGCGCTCTGGCCTTGACACATTTCCCGGGCGTACGCGCGCGCGAGGTGGGACCAAGACTCAGCATCATTTGGTCAGACTTTCGTCGGTGTGTTGAGAAAGTCTCTCTCGCTTCGCCCAAAACATGATCACACGGAGAGAAACACTCAGGTGAATCGCCATTAAGATGGTGTGGTAAAAATTTAAACAGACATCTGCGCGCGCGGCTCGGACACACCGAAAATATTTTGTTTTTATTTTCACCTTTTACATCATTCTCTTTCGTGAAATAGGCAGTTACACAATATTTCGAATGTATGCGACAATCGAGCGCGTATCAGGGCTGTAGTTGGGATGCCGCCATTGTGATCATGATCGCGCGCGTCCTACGATCCTAGAATTTCCCATCGCGGTGTCATGATGGAGTTGGCGCTCGGCGAAATGCCAAATTTGCAGCATCGCTCTTCACGTGATGCCAGGGTCATGCGTTCGCGCGCGAAAGGAAATTGAGAGTGATGGGGAATCCCGAGAAATGCCTAAAGATCGCGCACAGATGCAATGATCGGCGATGGTGAGAACAAGGCTAAAGACGCAAAAGCCCACGGTGTGTTTCTTTTCGGCCCATAAGCCATACGCCAAAATTGCGGCCTCTCTTCACCCAGAAAGACAACACACTCTTTTTGCATTGTGTGTCAAAAATGTATGCACGAATCAAATTGAGTCATTGCCACCTCTCGCTGGAGCCAAAACCGAGAAAAACCCGATGACGCTTCCCCGTAACACACATTTTAAGTATTCAACTGCATTTCTGTTGCCACCAGTGCGTGAATCAAAACAGTTCGGGTTTTGATACACATAAATGTTATCAGAAGCGCGGGATTCCGAGTGGTGGTCATGAATGTGCATGTGGTGGTGGAGGCAAAAAAAATGATAATATATTTTTATGTAATAATACTAACATATGGCAACGTAACACAAATTGCTGCTGCTTATGTCACATGTATCCACGGAGGCTTGAGCCTCCTCAATGGTCAATGAGTGTGCAGGGAAACGCTTTAATCGTACACAATGTTGTCTTCTTTTTGCCCCGTACTTTTTCCCACCTCAACACACCACACTCTCGAGCCACTTAACCAGCAACAACTGCGCGGCACCTTTGGACCCCATTCATCAGCCTAGCCTAGCCTTGCAATTGATCCCGATTTTAGTTCAAGGATGTGCGAATTTGACAGAGAGCCCAAAAATGTGTGCCCAATTGAAGGCCAAGCGTCAAAATTTTGATTGATTGAAAAATTGTCTTTCTTCAAAGCCTAACCTTGTCTCACAAATGCGGCTCTTTTTGCAATTCCACCCCTGATGGCTCTGGCCTATATTTCTGCACCAAAGGACAGAATTCTGCACGCGAAAGTGTGACGGAGAGGCAATTTAGAAGAAAGTCACGAACATGGCAGTGTGACCTTCTCAGGTGGGAAAACCTAAAGAGCACATAAATGATCATCTCACCTTGAATAATTCCAAATCAATAATGCCTGTTTACGCATATCGAGCGGAGAGATGGAAAGAAATTAATTGGCAAGTCAATAAATTTCATCAGTCACTTTTCAGCCAGCTCAATACACGTGTTTGAAGGCGAAAAAAATTGTAAGGGAAATGAGACGGTCGTGAATTTGTTCACAATTTGAGCAATACATGCAATAAAGGCAAAAAGTGCCGTGTGAAAAAGATAAATTGTTGAGCAAACTGCCAGCAATATTATATTAATATATAGCTTAAGTGAGACAAGTGGGAACATCGGCAATTGTGGAGAAATGCTCGTGTGGAAATATGGACGCCAAACGGATGCTGATGACACCATATATATATTATACATAATACTCTATCAATATCAGGCCAGGTCGGAGCGTCGCCACAATCTTAAACCGACAAAGCACGAGACGCTCAAGATATGTTATTTGCACGTGAAAATGTTTGTCATGTTCTATTTCATTCATACACACAAAGCGCTCGTGAAAAATCAATAGAAAAACAAACAATATAGTTTTCTAATCCTCCGGAAAGCAGCGAAGATTGAGTCTTGCATCGTGTTTGGCATTAATCACTGCTGAATAGCGCACAGATAAACAATGAGAGTGATAAATAATAAATGATCATCCTTTACACACACCATAAAGATTAATTCATTAATTTTACACGAATATATTTTTGCCTCTTCGGACAAAACTCATGCTCCATATATGGGTTAAGTAATTCCGCATGATTATTAATATATAACGCGAACAGTTAAGTAAATTTGAAATGCAGAAAAAATTATCTTATATGAATTAATTTTGAAATACTGTTGAAATGTTGAGTCAAATGCATGACTAATTGTTCTTCAGCATAATAAATATCATCTTAATGGCGGGTTGAATCCATCAGGATGTTGACGATTGGAGGAAATCTCGTCATTTGCATAATAATTATGTCCACTCTGTGTAATCAATTCTTGCTAATTCCTTAAGAGACACCCCTTCTAATCATATGCTTCACCTGAAGATTGTAGAGCAAGTTCACACTTGTAATTAGATTAAAATCTCACCACTAATGAATGTCCCTTTGCATTTCCAGGCAGTTATTCACGTTTCAACCGCCTACGCTAATTGCCATTTGCGGCATATCGAGGAGAAGTTCTACAATTATCCCATCCACTTCAATGATTTGGATAGATTGATTGAAAAATTGGATGACAAATCTCTGGAGGAAATCACACCGACGTAAGTTTTCAGTTATATTTATAACTAATGACTCGTGAGGGGGTGGCGAGAGGGTACAATTGTCGCCTCTCTAGAAGATGTGAATACATTCATTCTCGCCTGAATGATTCGTCTTTGAGCAGACCATCTCTCGAGGGGTTGATCATTTCGGAAAGTGTATCGAAAGGCTGAGAACAAGTCAATGTGGAGTTTGGCAGTAGATCCACAATGAACTCTCTGGGATTGCGGCATCGCTTATGAGTAGGGCACAGTTGTGATCGCCCTTAGTTGATGGCATGTAGACGAAATTGGGATCAGTTGATTGGGATTGTTATGAACCTCCGGAGTCGTGATGTGATCATGTGAGACGGAACAATGGAACGGAGTGAGAAAGAGACCCAAAAAGGATTTAATCTAATCGACACGCGAGAAATGAAGCAACGACGGCTCGCAAAGAATTTTTTGATTGAATTTTATTATTAAATTACACACTGGAGCAGCCAGTGACCCACTTTAATCGCAACTTCCTCTTATTTATTCCTCTATTTTGATAGTATCACTAAGCACTCTCGCACATCAATACATCACTTGATAGTCTAATCTGCGCGATGTGTGAATCTCTTCTCTGGACCCTTTTCCTCACCTCTCGTCTCACTCGCTTTTGTCCACTCTTGTGTCCGAATCAACAGCCCAGACACTCCTCTTTTCACACACTCTTTCGCCTCTCTTCCCCCAAGGAATTTCGATATGTGTCGTTTTCTTTTCTCAAAAGCATCAGACAATCATACGCATAACATGGATGGTGAATATAGCGTGGTCTCTCGAGAGGGTCACACGGCCAAAGAATTGGCTGTTTGACGAAAAAGTGGTCCTCTATCATTGCGCACCATTCCAATTCCGAGTAGCACTGAATAATTATCAACTCGAGATTGTTTAATGTTGTCTTTTTCTCTCTTTTTCCTCTTGACTCGTGGTGTTTGTACGAGAGTGGCATGAAAAAAGTGGGAGAGAAGGAAAGAAAGACAGAAAAAATCGAGTGAAAAAAGGCTTTTTAAATTTTTACTTCCAGCGTTCAACTCTCACTTTTCTTTGAAAGAAGTCCGCGCGAAAGAATCGCGAAATGATTGTGGCGCTCAATGGTGATTGAATCTGGGCGTTTAAGGTGCGATCTTGCGTCAAGATCGCGGTTAGGAGACGGCGTTGATTGAGCGATAAGGTGATGAGAGAGTGGGAGGATCTCGCGCGGCCTGGAAGACACCATTTTGCCATTATGTACACAATAAAATTATGCATCATTTCATAATATGCAGTTTATGATGGTGGACTGAATGTCTGCAGTTTGCAAAGCGAAAAAATTTCAGTGTGTCTTGCTCAGTCATTTATTACGTATTCGGCTCAAGTGATCGTGCACAAGTGAAATATTGACATCACACACTATCACCTCTCCTCAATGGACACAACTTGAGAAATGTGATCAATGGCTGAGCCATTGCACCATCATTTGATTTTGGCCCGGATATTTTCATTTCTCCGCGTCTCTCTCCCCATCAGACCCACTCATGCCAATCAAATTATGTGGACGCTGGATTGTCCAACATCGTGGGTGTCTCTGTCCTATCACTCGAGCACAGATGACGAGTGATTTCCCAAAAAAAAAGAGACGCGCGAGAGAGGCGAAATTATGGGGAGACGCGCGTATATTGAGAAATTCACATCACCACCCTAATTGCAACTTACAACAGTGGACTATTTATCGGCTCGCAGGAAATTGAGGCAAAAGCACATGGTGGTCTCTTTGCCTGTCCAACATCTCGCCAGTGCGAGGACAGGTTTGGCCGCGGAGTAAACACAAGAAAGAAAAATTGAGTATTGCACACGGAATTTCTCACTGTTTTGAGATGAAATGCACCCAAGTCAATTGGGCCATATCACTTTACTTGTCGCAAAAGATGTGTCGCAACCGAAAACTGGCCACTAAATACTGGAACTTGAAATGCGGAAATTGGTGTTGCAATCTATCGGCTCGAGTTGAGCAAGAGGAAAGACTAGTATATTTAGAACTGCAGTTATTGCCCAACTGTGAGCATATTAATGACAAAAAAATCACACTTTCAGTGGACGTTTATCACCCGGGAAAACTGATTGTGATCGTCTGTGAAGTGTGTAAATGACTAATTACCATGCAGACAGGGCTTTAGTTGCATTACAATTAAGACAAGTGAGACATAATGCTCGCGAAGATTAGACTTTCAGAGGAATTCTAATTGTTTCCAACAAGCTAATCTCAACAAAAGTGATCTCATGTTCCTCATTGCAGTGATTAATGCATTTTGAGTGCGTAGTTTACATCAATATGAACTCGTTTTCGAAGAATTTTTGGCTTGAACGAGAGTCTATTGAACCACATCCACTTCACACTACCTCAAACGTGTTAATGTTTCGTGTTATAATTTAGTATTGAACATTAGCAAGTGCATAATTTTCAAAGCTTGCTTGAAAAGCTCCCGTTCACTTAAGAACTCACAATTGTGGCTTAATTAATAGGTAATATGATTCTTGGCGGGATTTCATCGCTATTAATAGGATATAAAGTGGTTTCTTCCACATTTTGCGTCGTAGTTCATCATTAAAATCAATTGCTATATTTATTTAGGTGAACCAACAAAACGACCTAACAGCAAGCTGTAATTTCTTCTAAGCAATTATTGGAAAAAGAAACCCACAAGAATTTCTAACAAGATTTCTGACGTCAAATGACATCATGATCCTGCGTCAATTGATATTTCTAAGCGTTCTTAGCCACATATGAATTGGTTCGGGCATTTCAAATTTCTAATTTCATCGCCGCATATCAATTGCGATTAAGTGGCTAACATTTGGGTTGTTTCACGTTGCAGAATACTGGGAAAGTGGCCTAACACCTACACCTTCACAAAGGCTCTGGCCGAGGACGTGGTGAGGCTGAATGGCAAGGGCCTGCCCGTGGCCATCTTCCGACCGGCTATTATCACATCAACCATCTCAGAGCCCGTGAGCGGCTGGATTGACAATCTCTATGGTCCGACCGGCGTCGTGGCCGGCGCCGGAACTGGAGTCCTCAGGACGATGCACTGTGATAAAGATATTACTGCCAACATTGTACCCGTGGACATGTGTGTGAATGCCCTGATCGCGAGTGCCTGGGACGTGGCCAAACATCACAGTGAGAGGTGAGGAGACAAACTTGCAAATTGCTCGGCTGAGTATTTGATCACAATGTATTTGCAGCATCGAACAGAAGAATGTCCCCATCTTCAATTACGTGTCATCCACGGAGAATCCTCTGACTTGGGGCCGATTTACCGAGTTGAACATCAAGCTGGGCTTCGAATATCCCTTCTCGAGTGCAATTTGGTGAGTAATGTGGCAAATTGTGAGGCGATGAAGTGTGCAATTAACGCCCATCTCTTGTAGGTATTTAAGCTTCCACATGCACAAATCGGCGACTGTGAACAAGATCTACATGATCTTCCTTCACTTTTTGCCAGCGATGCTCATTGACTCACTGGCTCTGTGTGTCGGCCAGAAACCAAGGTGAGTCTTTTCGCACATCTCTCTCGACTTGTCTCCCTCTCGAGGTGTCTGGCAAATAACAGCGTCGCATTCGCCATATGCAGGTTACTTAAGGTGTACAAGAAGATCCACAAATTTGCCAACATCATCTCCTTCTTCTGCAACAACGAGTGGGTCTTCACCAACAGCAACGTACAAGAGTTATGGCGCAAGTTGGATCGCAGCGATCGGAATCTCTTCCAGTTCAGCATGAGGGATGTCGACTGGGCCAGCTATTGTCACTTCTACATCCGCGGCATGAGGATCTACCTCTTCAAGGACGATCTCTCCACACTGGACGCGGCCAGGCGGAAATGGCGAAGGTAGGATAGGTCACACAGTCCATTGCCTAGCGCAGCTCATGCATCTGATCTCTTGCAGATTTTACTGGTTCCATCAGCTCCTCAAAGGCACGATTCTCTCGCTCCTCCTCTACGCGCTATGGACAATGTTTTCGGGCTATGTTTGCCATTAATATTCGCAGGCACTAATCTATATATGCATATTGAATAATGGGATTGATAAGTGTTGTAAAAATGTTATAAGAGGATAATGATTACCAATATTGTAATATTTTTTATATAAATATATATATATATATATCTCTACATTAAATAATGATGATAATAAATTGTGTAAATATGAAAAAAATGTAGGTCGCATAGGTAAAAAGAAGCAAGAAAAAATGAATAAGGCAAGAATTTCTGGCATTCGGTGTAAAATGTGTGTGGCAATAGTAGTAGGAAGATGAGCATTATAGGTATGTTAGGATGTTAAGGATTATAACTGCAAGGCGATAACTTTAGTGTGTAGTTTGTGAGATGTTAAGTTAAGGAAGCAACCCCAGATTGTATGTTTTAATTTGATAAAGTATCATTTAAGATAACCAAAAAGTGGATGATTTTTGTAAGAAGAAATTCTTTTTGTATAATTTATTTGCTTTTTTGGAGAATTTACGTTAGTGGTCTAAAAGGAACAAAAAAAATCTCTAAATTTACACCCACGCATTGCAATTTCTTCTATTTTATCACAAAAATCCATATACCATTTACATTGTAAGTTGGATCTATTTTCTCTCTTTCTCTCTCTCTCTCTCTCTTCTGCTGTATTGTAGGCAATCATCAGAGAATGTTGAATAAAAACTTATTGAAATCTACGTGAGAGTTTTTGGGTCACAGTCAATTGCGCGGCGGCCAGAGTTTCATTTCAAATGCCACCCATGGACGGTCAATTGGTGCCTCTTTTCGGCAATTGAAAGTAAGGCACAAAAGGTGGACACACCGCTAATGCCGCTTTAATTGTCATCACGCCCGACACTGACCTTCTTCTCCCGTCGCGAGTCCGGCAATTTTGCGCCTGAATTAGCTGGAGAGACAAAAGGGAGCCGCGCGGAGGGTCACGATCAGTGGAGAGAGCAAGTGAGCAATAAAAGTTTCCAATCTTGACACTTTCTGCTGCATGGAAGGTCAGCCTGAGCACTTGAAAATCTCGACATTGGGGAGATGCCGCGGGTCCGGAGACAAAAAAGCGCGATCGCGCGCGTGTTCTGTGGACCTGAAGATGCTCTTGAACACCGTATGATTGGCCGATGAGGGCGAAAGAAGGCTAGGAGGACAGGGTCATAGCATAAAGACTGTTGTTCATCATATATCAAGATATATTCTTCATTAATGTCTTTATAGGAAACTTAAAAAGAATTATAAAACATTGGGCGCTATGGGCGTGAATATAATTTTACATAAAAAAAATATTCAATCATTGCTTCACCCTAAATATTCGAAAACTTAAGTATGATGACAACTGTAAAGCCACTTCATCTTTTCACTTAATTTCTAACATCTTATCTTATCCGTAGATCACTGTACTAATAATGTATAATGAAGTAAGTAGTTTTGTTTTGTAATTATAAAAAAAAAATTGCGTAACCACAGCTCGTCGCATTCCGGATGCTGCCTGAGGACCTGATCAGAAACTATAGTTCTTACAAATACTACAATGTAGAATAAATCTTCATTCCAATTCATTCCCATTCACATCTTGCTCATTCCTTAAATCTCTGGTCTATCTGTAGCAATACTTATGACAATTCCACTATAGAAGTATGTGTTTGCAATACTTTATACGGATTCTGGATGCACTTATTGTAATTATATAAATAGTATTAAAAAAGAAAACCTCAAAGCAGCACCCTCGAAAGATACATATAAAAAATGGCAGTACTATAGTAATTTACTCCTTCGCGCTGCTACTGGGAAGAGATTCTGCAATGATATAAGCACATTTCAGCAAATCAAGTTCCTTGCTCAATATCACTAAGAATCACTCACGCTGCAGCTTCTTCACAGCCTTGATGTGCTTCCCATAGCTATGACTCTTCTCCGGGTTGTTGAGAATCTTCCCGGCCAGTCTGTCGTGGGCATATGTAAGAACATCATGCATCGAATCCAAGTCCGGCATGGTGATCTTGCAGGAGACTCCCGTGAGGGACTCGCTGCTGGAGACTCTCTCGCACTGGCTGCCAGAACTGCCGGTGTCCTCCTCCTTCACAACCTTGCTGACCACAGAATAGCATGGTCTCTTGCCATTCGAGGGCTGCCCACTCCCCGCCGACTTGCGCTTCTTCGGCGGTTGCTCCTCGTTTTGACAGTCACGCTTCGGCACAGTGCACACTTTGAAGTTTATGAGCCGCTGCCCATACATGAATCCGTTCTCATCCTCCAGCGTGAGCGATAGCACCGTTGTCTTGCGATTGATTCCCGTTGGACACGAGTTCTGGCACGCGAACTCCAGCGTCACTGACGACTTCACGTAGTCATCATTCTCGCTCTTCACCACGCTCGTGCCGAGTGGGAAGATGAGCGCGAGACGCTCCTTGAAGTTCGCGCCCTTTTCGTGTCCCACGTAGTTCACATTTGCATGCGGACAGCGTATTATGTCTGGCAGTGTAGAAGACCAACAAATATTAATCAGCATATAACTGAAGAAATATGCCAAAATAAACTTACTGTGTCCGTTCTGCTTCTGCATATCCTTGTGATTATTGCAAATAACCACTGGCATATAATGAAAGTCTGGATAGACAATCATAGCGCGGAGGAACATAGTTCCATTGCATCTCTTCCTATTGTATGAGATGTCGAGGTTCAGCAGCGTATTGATCTTTATAAAAATCTTCTTCAGACTATCAGAATAATTCCAATTGGAATTATTCATCACTGCCGGAATTCCAACTGAGAAATTCGCATCGCCGGGCATCTCGTTAAGAGTGGGAAATTGGTTCCAGTGCTGGAAGATATGAAAAGAAAAACAACACAATAAAGCCACTGTGACTAGGTACGAAGGATATAGGAGAAAGGAACCTCAGGCTCTGGCTTCTGATCCACGTTAAACACTTCAGCTTCAGACGCCAGCAAGTACTGCCCGAACTCCTGGGAGACCGTCACTTGGCTGCTCCCAAAATCATCTTGGACGCCCTGAAACTGCAAGTGTTTTTGCATAGAATTGTGCATCAGAAACGGACATCTTTCCTGTGAACTTACACAATTGATGACGTCCTGGCTATCCATTGTCTGTGGAAGCGATAGAAAGGAAGTCAGAACTCTGAAGATTAGGCAAAGGACAAGATTTATACTCACTTGAACAACGTTCATCAGTTCCTCCGTCTGCAATGAGAAGGGAAGAGATTTGCAGATTTATTAGTGACGCAATATTTACAAACCGTCAAGAAATACTCACGTCAATAGGCTGAAACTGGCTGTTAGTTACTGGAAAATCGGTGTTGTCAAAGTTGCCTTTTATGTCGTTGTTATCGACCATGGCTCTAGAATAAAACTGAAAAGTGGACAAGTCAGGAGGATTCACAATCACCATCCGGGAGTGGAATTGCCCAGGAATCTTCTTCTTTCAATAACTGCACTTCCACTTGGCGGATTGGTTTGTAATTTTCATATATTACAGGAGACATTCTGGCGCTCGGAAGAGCCACAATTTTACCCCTCAGAAGCCTCCTCGGACAAGGTCATGGGGGCTCCAATACAGCGTTGTTTTTAATGGGAAATCCGTGAGAAATTGCTTGTAAATTTGATCGTTTCAGATAGATACTGAATTGTTATACTCAATTCCACAGAAAAATCTCAGGTTTTTGCAAGAAAACCACAGAAAATTCGCAATTTATATTTTCACAGTTTACTCAATCCCCCAAGCAGGTCGCTACCATCGCGCGAATCCCGGCATGTCGTCGCCATTAAACTCCTCTTCGAAGTATGGTTCTCTAACAGACTCAACTGCAGCCGCCACAGTGGCAATTTCACCAAAATAACACCACTCACCTCAATTCGGGATAGCAATAACTGAGACTATCACTTTCCTCTTGTCAGGATTCATGTAAAACAGGCCTTTTGCAGGAAAAATTATCGCCACAAATGCACAACAAGCACACAATCGAGGTTGCGAAGTGCCAACTGAAGTTTCCACTGGAATCCGACAGGTGGCTCAGGAGAAGCCGGATAACTTGGATAATGGCGAAATACTTTTTGAGCGGGAAAATAGCCGAAGACCAGCGAATGTTTTATGAAACACGACGAGATTTTGGCGCAATATTTATGAAATTCAGGAAGAAACTCAGTAAAACATATTTGTATCGTTAAAATTTGATTTTATTTACAAAATATGACAACAACTCATACATTCAGATTGAATTTTCTTAATTTTAAGATTTATATATAAGTAAAATTTAATATTTTCATCAACACTTCATTTTAATGTTCATAAAATCTTTTCATTCACTTGTGTTTTTTTTCTTTTCCTTCTCCTTTCATTTTTACTCATGGTAATTCATGAAAAAGCAATTTGTGCGCACGTATTCTAAAAGAAAAAAATTTTTATTTGAAAAAGTCAATAATTTCCAAGTAGGGACTTTCAAAAATATCTACCATTTTTTCTTAAAATGTTCTTTTAAAAATTATCTATATTCGAATTAATTTCATTTCTTCTTCTCTTTTTTTTTCAAGTATAAAAAGGGGATTTTCGAGGGATTCTTTTTTCGAAACGAATAAATAAAATTTTTCTATTTCGTCAGATTTTAATTTAGCTACGTTTCTTTTTTTAATTGACTCCATTCTGGCTAATTTCTTGTGCTTCTTTTTTTCGTGTTGTTTGTGTGTTATTTTCCGTGTGTGAAAAGGAAATAAACTGCGGCGGAAAAATAAACCCGTGTGACTTTTGTCAATGCTCTTGGTTAAACTGAAAAGGCGATGGTTTGCATAAAGAATTTCTCTTCTATACATGTTTTTGACGCTCTCTTCTCAATGTATAATGGGTATATGTTTCATTCTTTACATGTACAATACACTAAGTAATTGATTTTATAAAAAACGTATTAAATGTACAATTTAATATAAATCAGTGGTATTTTTCTCAATACATTATAAAGTTCTTTTTCCTCGCTTAAGTATTCCTCATGTTTTCTCCTCCATCATGTAAATATATGTCATTTTGGCCGAATTGCGAATGCACTAAATATAAGAATATTTTTTTTTATACATTTTCTCAATTTTCCATATTCCCTTTGTCTTCAAAAATGTTTCCAATTACCTAAATTAAAAGTGTCGATTGAAGAAAGGTATTCTGAAAAAAGTACTCCTCATGTGAATGACTCTTGCTTAATTTCTTCCTCTACTGGAGACAAAAATGTTACACTGCGCTGTAGAGAATCTTTTACTCTTAAAGACTTTCTTAAACCATTTTACGAATGATCGACTCTTCAGTATGTTTATTCACATGCATAGTATTTTTCTGTAGAGAGTAGGGGTCTTAATTTATCAAGTTTTTTTTTCTTATTTTCGCTATATTTTTTTTTTAACTCTTTCATTTTCCGGGCAGCGCACATTCCGAACAATATATCTATATTATATCTGGTGAAATATAGACTCTCTTTCCCATAACTTTTCATTTATATTTGTAAATATACACTAACAATTCTTTATAATTTTGGTAAAATGTTTAAAACTTTTTCTTTGAATATGACGTTAAAAATAGCTCTTGTATGTCATCTGAACAACAGAATGAGAAACATTTATGTAGATAACAGCAATGTGCATGTAAAATAAGTGTAAAAGTTCAAAATTTCAGACTGTGGCAGAGAAAGTGACGCCGATGCTGAAGAATTTTCAAACTGACATCGCAGAAAGTCAGCGAAAAGGTGTTGAAGAACCAATTCTTCGGCCACCTTCGCTCTGCCGCACTCTGTCAGCGGGACATGCATCGATAGAGTAAACCGAATAATGGATATTTCATGTCACTGTACAGATAAAAAGACATTCGTGAGCTAATCAGAGTGGCAAAAAAACAGTGATAAAAGGGAATAATATCAGATGTAATTGTGAAGACGAGTTGCTCTCTTCCTCCCTAGATAATCTCACACTGCCGTGAAGTAGAACGTCGCGATGATTAAAGCCACTACGAATGAACTTTACAAAATGTACTTTAGCTGAAAATTTCTCGAATTTCATTAAATTCAGTCTTTAAATTGGTCGCACATTACAATGATTACAAAGATTTCACAATTTTTCTTTATTACCCATTATTTGTTTTTTTTTCACGAAAAAAACTCAGAAAAGAAACGTCTCAAAGTTCAAACTCTTCACAATTACATGCCGTCATAAAAGGAAATCATACGGAAATTCTTAATCTTTCACATTTCTTATGTTTTTTCTCTCTTAAAGTGTTGGGAGCGAAAGTTTGGAGATCGATTAGATTTGTCTTGCGAACAGTAAGAATTATTTATTACACACATCGTTCAGTTATTTCTGAGGAGGGCAACATCTTTATCAATTTGTCAATTGTTATGTTCTTTGTTGGAAGTATGATTTAAAGAGTATGGTTTTTTTCACACGACAAGATATTAAAAAGACCTTTATTTATGTTTATATAACATTTAATGGATGGGTGCATCAAGATTTTATCTTTAATTGTATTTATTTCATTTTTTTTCCTTCTCCAAATGTGCATTTTAAATGGGGGTTTGTAATTCAAAAAACACTGACAAATATCCTTTGATATGGCACTGATTAATTCAAATTCCAAAAAGATAATATTGTGAGAAAAAATTTGATTTTTTTTCGGGGGAAAACCAAACTATTTTCTGTTATTTTTTCATATTTACTCAGAAAACACTTCTTTCTGTTGTTTCAACATTATCATCATCATCATTTAGCAATAAAACTTGTATTATTATCCTCCTTTAATGAAGTGGGTTTGTAAATCTAAGAAACTTAAGTAATTAACCGAGATATGTTAAAAACTACTTAATTGTTTTATACTTAGTACAAAAAATAGTTATACTATTTTTTATCTCTCGTCTCTTATCAAATATACACAGTTAAGAAACCTATAACAACCAAAGAAGAATATAAATTTAACCTTTTTTTTTAGTTTTTAGCTCTTTAAGAAATTGCACATATAAGACTTATCAGTAACAATTAAGATAAACTTTCTCACATCTCTCTTTCTCAAATGTCTTTGCCTTAGAAAATAATTCATCATTTGTCCTACTAAAGATATTTCATACTCATTTAAAAACTAAGGAACAAAATAACTATTCAATGTTTTACATTTTGAGAAATTACTCCTCATTCACCTCGCGTTTATCACTTCACCGAATTCTCATCTCCTTCCTCTTCTGCTTGTCTCCACTCTTGTGTCCGCACATTTTAGTGCAAATCTGACGTCCTAAAGTTGTCTTCCTCCGTTGGATCACCGATGATTGTTGAACTAGGATTTGTGAGCATTTGAAAGCCAGCAACGTCAATTGGCCCCAATTCCAATTCCAGTGGCATCAGCGGGTCACCGAATAAGTCTTGAAAATATGGAGGAGAAACAGAGAGAGAGGGAGAAACTTATTAGCGAAAAAACTTGTCACACAGCCAAAATATTATATATCTCATTTTTGTTTTAGCAAAGAGAAGAAGAGAAAGAGGAAAAGAGAACTCTAAAATATATGCTCAAGCGAATGCCATCCCGCACGGTAGTGTTTCCCATGCACAATGACAATTCTGCAGCATTTCTTCTCCATTCATGGCAAAGAGTGACTATTCTTTACTATTATTATAGAGAAAATTCGTATAGACAGTAATAAATATATTAAATAAAGAAAAGAAAATTAAAATAATTATTACCAAAAATAAAATTGTTAATTAAATGAGAAAATGTTTGCATCCGGAACTTCCTGCATTCCATCATCATCCATTAAGAGACACACTTAATTGTACAGATATCTCTCCAGAAGACCTATTTCTTGTGGAAAGTCATATTACTTCCTTTAGCTTTCTACTTAATCAATAAATAAAGAGTAAGAAACTATGATTAAAATTGTACACCGAGAAAAATGTATGGCAATAATTTGCTAGAAATTCACAAACTCTCAATGTTTTTCAAAATTTAAAATTCTGTCAAATTTTCTATATAGGTTAAATTTCGCTGTTTAGTTTTCTTAGATGAAGAATTTCGAGACAATTTCTGTAATACAATTATTGCTATTTCATTCACCATTACCATAAAATTTTCTCAGTGTAAAACAAAATCTATTGCATTAATTAGAAACCAAAAAGTGATTTTTTTACAATTTGAAAAAAAGAAAAGAAAACCTAAAACACCATAAAAGAATGTGTTTGAAAATATTGCAAGACGAAAGTGTATAAATTGAATTAGACTTCTACTGTAAATTTAGAGGTGGAAAAATACACAAATATCAAATTTCAATAAAAGTCAATGATACCTTCGTACTCACCCTTTGTAAACTCTGAACTTGCTGACGAAAAGTCTACACAAGATAAAGAGGGGAGAAAGAGGCATGGATTAGCTTATAAATCGCACGACTGGCGAAGCTGATGAGACTCTCAATGCACTTTACCATTACATGATTCTTCGGGCTTTTCGCCCGCAAACACCATAGAATTGACACCCGCTCACCTGTAAAAACAATTTCCGGAATACTTGTTGGGGTATTTGGTGTTTGGAGACTTGTTGCTTGCTGCTGAGACTGGCCCGCTTGCGGATGTTGTTGCTGTGGCGAGGAAGGGCTCATGCCCGGGCTCATGTTTGAATTTGAATTCATTGATGTTGCTATGCTAGCGTTGTTCGGTAAACTTGAACTTAAACTTGACAAACTCGATGACTGTTGCTGCTGATTCAGTGAGCCCAAATTTGTCGCATTGAAGTGTGTAAATGTCGAGTCATCAAACTACAATTTGTGGCAGAAAGAGAGATGAAAAAAGAGTCATGTATACCAGTTATTACACAATTGGCATTTCAATCGATATCAATTTCTCAATCGTGTCTCACTCTTCTTGCTCACCCTTTTTTTATATTGAGGGTTTTGTAATCTAATTCACGTGAACTTACTTGATTGAAAGTTTGTTGATTGGGTGAGTGCGGCACAAATTCTGCCACCGAATTGTCAACCTGCAAGGAGAGTGAGAAAGAAGAAAAAACAGGGAAAAGAATGAACATCAACAATTTCCAATGATTTCACCTCATTTGTGATTCTTTTCTCTACCAGAAAAAGAAATCAATTGTGATTGAAATTCTTGACAAGAAAGAAAAAAAAGACGAAACATCAACAAGGGATTGAAAGAACGAGGAAGTAAATGAGTAAAGAAAGAGGGAAAAACCATTCAACAATTTATACTTCTTCTCACAGGCTCATCGATAGAGATTGTAATAAAAATATACTATAATATTTCATATTGTGATTGTAGTGAAATTTGCAAGTAAGATGAAGAGAGCACAAAACAAAAGAAGGAAAACTAAAATAGAATAGCAGATTAACCTTCAATTAAAATGAATGAAAAGTGTTTGTGTGGTCTTAATTCTTATTCAGAAAAAAAACACCTAAGGATATAATTTTACATGAGAAAAAGCATAACACCATAATTAAAATAATAATAATAATATTTATAAACAGATTGCGATTCCAATGCAGAAATAATTACACAAGTAAACTCATCAACTTTCAACACATCATCAATTTATATCTCAAGTCAAACTGTAGAGAATCTCAAAAACTTGTAAATATAGTCAAGTTCTTCTTGAGTTGTTGTATTTACAAAAGTCTCACATACGAAAGAAATCAAGAAGAATATATATGTATAAAGAGCAAATATGAAACTTATGGAATTAGAAGAAAATCGCACAATTGGAAAAATTTCAATTTTTTTTCAACGCATAAGAAGTCTTGCATTCACGATTTTGCTTTGATATTTTTAATGTTTCTTATTGTTCTTTTTTTTGCAAATTTATAACCACCTGCACTTGAGCTGTCCACGTACAACCAGTTTCGACTAAACTTTGTACAAGGGTAGCCCAGTCCTTTTGGCCGTATGTGACGATACATAAAAGTGTGGCAGCAAAAGAGAAATAGACAAATATTACATTTTCACTAATATCGTCCAGGGTTAAATCTCATCTTTCACTCTCTCGCTCTCGCTCTCTTTCTCTCTCTCTCTCTCTCTCTCTCCAATACACAAAAATTAATATAACTCCATGATATACAAAAAGAAAACCAATGGAAAATCAAGTTGAAATTCTACCCTCATGATTTACTACACAGAGATTCAACTTCTTCTCGTTTTTTTTTTATTCTCCTCCTCCGCAAGCACTCGATAAAGGGCCGTTTATGAAAATATCCATATCTTTATAGAAAGATATTTTTAGGCATAGCCTTCATCCTAATTTTCCGGCAACCCCTCGACTCCCAATCCAAATCCTCCCCCCCTCGCAGCCCTTCAAAGGATCTTTGATTGTCAGAAAGGTTACACTCTGATTTCACACTGTCTAAGAAAACTTCATTTTCCACCAAAAAGAAATCTATACATTCATACAATATATACACTGTATTGGATGTCAAAAAGCTCCCCAAATACACTTCCCCACCTCCAGAACGTCTAATTGAAAATGCTACGTCTATCAAGTATTCCCGAGAATAAGAACAAGTAGATGAGCATCTGCTTAGCTTAGCTTATGCGGAGCTGGGATTTCAGCGATCAACTCGAAATGTGTTCAAATTTTTACAAAAATTAAGCGCTTTAACATCAGAATAATAGCCATCAATAAAATAGTAGTTTTGAAAGGAAACTTGATTTTAAGATCACACATCATTTTTCTGATTTTCTTCAGTTAATTTCCCGTTTCCGTGACATTTTGACTCTTCTGCTCAATCACAGAGACGAGCTGAATGTGAAATCCCATCTCCCTCAGAACCACCCCCGCATTTTTCATAGATAATATTACGCACATCTAAAAAAAAGAAACCATATACAATTTTCCCAGAAATGTTAATTCAATATCTCTCCCATATTTAAATCAATGAAAATGGGGAAAGAAAAAAGAATGAATATCTGACAAATGAAACATAACTTCTCATGGGACATTGCAAATTTTACACTGATTCACAGTTGATTTAACACTCACAGTGGAGAAAAAAAAGGAACAGAAAAAAAAGATTTCTACCAAATTCTTGCTGAGGGTAAATGAAATCTCAATGGAAAATAACTTTGGGCGCTCTTGAAAATGTGATTTTTTGCCACTTCTTCTCGCCTCTTTCGACTTCAATATATATATATATTTATAATTATGTATAAGGTAACATTTACAAGAAAATATAATGCTCAATGATTTGTCCAGTTAATGTTTCTCGCACGTCTTGCTCGCACATTGAAAAAATGATAAGAAAAAGAGTGACATAAAATTGTCATTTTACACTTTGGGTGCCATATAAATTATTATTATTATTATTATTATTTACACACATTACCACAAAAAATGCATTTTCTCAATATTTTTATCATCTATTGTAATGTCTTCTTTAGCTATATATGCATATAAATACGGTTCTTTAAATCTAACTTTATACTTGTCTTACGATTCACAGTTTATGATAATTATTTAACTTACCACCCCCTTTTTAATAGTCAGAGTTTATTAGACAATGAAGCGGAAATATATGGAAAAATAAATCGTGAAACCTCCAAAATTTTGATAAAAATCAATATTTCTAATAACGCTATCCATCCTCTTTGCTCTGACACACACACAAAGAATGGCATCCGAGCAAAAAGGCATAGAGAGTGTGTGTCTAAGAGATGTTTTTCAACTCACCAGTGAAAATGCTTCAAAATGCTGCTGGATATTCTGCTGATTAACGTAATATATATCACTCGTATGGTTATACGGTTCATATCCTTGTCTGCTCGGCCAGAGTGGGAAAGGGTGGAAAAAGAGTAAAATAAACAATTTAATTAATGGATAAAATCTAAGAGTAAAAAGCACTACTTTATCTCCCTGACGTGCTCTTCTCCGTTCTCATTTCAACAGCAAAAACTACAATGTGCCCAGAATTTAATAAAACATGTAATTGGTCTTATGAATTCTATCTGTTGAAATATTAAATTACAAGGTAATGTCTCTCATTCCGTACGTGTGTCTCTTCGTGCTTCGAGAGACACTTAATAAGACCGATTAAGAGGGAACATTATTATTTATTCATTATCAACATCCACATGCGTTGATTTTTGGCAGAAATCTAGCGTTTTATGCATTCTTTATGGCTTTCAGGAAAATTTCTGCATGAAAGCATATCAGCTTTTGAGGAGAGTTCATTGATTTAATGGGCTTCTCTCTCTCTCTCTCGCGCGCTCTTATCAGACGCAAAATTAAAGCAGTCATAAAGTGAACTGTGAAAACACTCCCAACATTCTAATGTCGCGGGGAATATTTAAAATATATACACACTGATATATTTCACATTCAGAAGATCTTGAGAATCCAGTTTCGCAACATTTTTTCCCCCGTGCTGAATAAATTTGCAATTTCGCTCACCCATTGTTGCTCATTGTGGACGGTGCCGGACTGCATGGTGCACTCGGATTGGAATCACCACTATTGAGGGATCCAATGAGATTTGGACTAGAGCCTGGACTCGGCCTACATTGTGGACTCCGGTATCCCGAGAGATTCGATTGCTGAATCTGCCGAGTGAAGCTTTCGTTAGCACTTGTGCTTGGCACTCTGTGCGATACTCTCACACTCACCGATCCTATATTACTTAAGTTTCCATGAGAGCCATGTAATGTACTACTGACCAGTGAACCCTGCGGCGTCTGGTTCTGCTGTGGCGTCGGCGTCTGCGACTGCTGCACCTGCGGTTGCGGCGACTGCTGCTGCGGGTACTGATGTGGCGGATGGCAATTGATAAAGGTCTGCTGCGGAGACTGTTGCGATTGCTGCTGCGACACCGGCGGACCGCCCTGAGACGGCTGGAAGGAGTTCTCTAGCGTCAGTCCCTGCAAGAATAAAACCATTCCCGTCGGCCGACAATTAGACACAATCAGACAATCATCACAACCTCCCCCGTCAACTCATCTCGTTTTCGTGCACAGTGTAATAAAAAAAAACTACCAAGCAATGCGATTAAAAAGGGGAGTAAATTTTGACAAAAAAAAGATACATTTTACAATGTTAGTTGTGTGTGCATTTTTTTTTCTTTCGAGGATAAATAAAAATAAAAATAAAATAACTCAATACCTTATTCATGTGCAGATAACTATTGCTACCAGGAACAGATAAAAATTGCTGTAACAAATAAAATAACAAACGAAACATTCAGCAGGCAGTAAAAAAAAAACTCAAAAGGAATTAATAAAAATCATAAATAAAATAGCCACAATTTGCGACAAAAAAATATTGCACTCCATTTTACCTGGAGAGAGAGGAAATGAGTAACAATTATTTGGTGCAAATTAGATAATATATACACATTTTTAGGGAGGTGGAAAAGTGGGTGGGCATAAGAAAAAAAGTCGGTAATCACGCAAATGAAATTAACTCGCTATGTTATAGCCAATGGATAAGTAATTTGAAGATATATACTGTTGTTGTTACTAGTAAAAGGAATCGTGAGAATTTGGTGGATAGAACAATTACTATACACAAACCTGACTAGCGTTTTGTTGTGAATGTGTCGGACTGAAGGTGGTCGTATCACCCGGTGAATTCGTCGGTGAATAGTGAAATCTGGCACCCGGGTGTCTGACTGGCATAGATGTCGGAGATAACGTTGTTGGGGACGCCGTCACGGGACTCTGTTTTCAAAGGAGACACGCAAGAGGAAATAAGACCACGAGATTTTACGAGCCGAATCATAATTTGAGATGCTCACCGAACTGTACGGACTGCTCGAGTGATCATGCTCTTGATCAATTGGCGTGTGCAGAGGCGATGGAAAATGTACAGATGTCAAGTCCGGTAGAGATCCTGTATTATTTCCTATTGGTATTTGTATCGAGTTATCATGAGCGCTGGGGTGAATACTGCAAATAAAAGAGTCATATCAATTAATCGTTAAATCCAACAGTATTTAATAAGCATTGCTTGTTTGCTTATAAAATATATAAAAAAAAGGTAAATATCTTTGTAAAATCATACGCGCAATTTCTATTTTTCCAAGTACTTAACACATCTTCACATGTAAGATAAGCTTGAGATTTCACAAAGAGATAATTGTCATACTGTTTTCACTAAAGAATTAAACAATGAGCAAATTATATCTCAACTCATTAAAACCTAGTTAGATTTGAGGCAATGTAATAGCATCTCAAACATACTTTATTCCTGGCAAGCGACCACAAGATGATCTCGGCCGACCGTCTGATGATCCCAGTCCAAAGCTATTCTGCTGACTGTTGAATATCTTCGAGTCAATGTGGTGTATATTGGTAAGCTTCTTCTGCGCCGTTGGACTCAGTGACAGTGGCGAATGCGACGCATACTGGTGATGGTACGGATGATCCTGCAAATTGCCATTGATCATTCTGCTAATTTCCTCTCTTCTCGCACCAAAACTCACTTGTGCCTGTGTCAAGCTTTGATGTATCGCTGAATCGGAACTAGTTCGTCGCCAACTGGAATCACTGGGTGGACTAAGATATGCAATATTGTTACTATAAGGCGATGTGTCAATCTTCCGGTCAGCCGGTCTTCTCATCGGTCCAACGCCCACATTTCGCACTGATGGAAGATAAATACAGAAAAAAACACACTCATTAGCCATGCATGCACTCGAGCATATCTCTTGTGTGGTGAATTTTTGGGCATGACATTGCAAAATATCTTACTGACCTCTGGAAACATGATGGGTGGCTTGATTCGATGAAGCACAGGTAGAATTATTGTTACTACTCGCACCTGTTCCACCTCCTCCTGGACTTCCACTAGCATTTCCACCACCCTTGAAATTAGTACCGTCCATCATTGTTGCGTGATTCATCCCCAATCCAAATTGTGCCAACGTCGCTTCATCCGGCTTTAAACAGAGAGAAAAAGAGATAAATCAATATTAATTTTGCACCATCCCCTCCTATTGACTCAATGAACTTTCAATGAAATTTTCACTGAGAAAATATACGTATCTATCCAAAAAAAATCTATTTACACACTGATAAGAGAGAGAAATAATAATAATAATAGTATGAACACTGAAAATTCTTCTAATAATCAAAAATGGTGAGCATCAAATCAATTCACGATTTATTAATGAGAGCAAATTTGCACTATCAATATTGCCATTTGTGTTGTCTGTACGGGGGATAGAAAGGAAAATACATATTGCAGCGGCAACCAACTCTATTTTAAAACAATAGTGAGAAATCATCATCAAAGTGACGAACACACTATATGGCAAAGGCACAACTCAATGGGGAGACATGAAATATTTAGATCTCTCCTTCTATTCTCTTTCATTTTTCAAATAACCCAAAAATCATACGTATATACAACATCAATTCAGAATAAACTTGTATCAACATCTCTTCAGTTCGGTGGGGGAGAGAAGATGATGGATCTGAGAGCTGTGTGTTTTGGAAAAAAGACGAGACTGTGTGTGCGGTGGAAGAGATGGACTGTGTGCAGTGCAGCATGCGCATATTATCTCAAAATATAGTTGCTCTACATCATTGTACTTCCGCCTAATTATAGCCACAAATTCTGGTAAGTAAGAAACAGTCAATTTTACACCAAAATACACATACACCAGCGGAAAATCAGTTTTCAGTCAAACACGAAAAAAAAGACAACATGCCTAAAGTAAAACATTTTCTCCCCCCATTCCACAAACAATACATAACCAACCAGGCCATTATGTGTGAAATCCCCAAATGTGAGTCAAATACCACGGAAAAAGTATTAATGGTGTTTTTTTGGCCCCCATGTGAAAAGTTAACTTTCCAATATTTTCTTCAAAGGAAAATTCTCTCATACATAAATTCCCAGAGAATATAGGCAAAAATTATTGAAAGGAGACAACAGAAAAAAACCGATACAACTAAGACAAACTATATTTAAACCATGTCGTGTCTTATTTAAGGCTCTTTGTTCCACACACAAAAAAAGCACCCACGAGACAGAGAGAATTAGTTAAAATTTCCACGCAATCTCTCCGCTTTCATTCATATGCATTTCCACTCGCGCCCCAACGCAGAGAGTTTGTGGAGCGTGCTCAGGATTTCTCCTCCGTCCGGGCAATTGAAAAATCGATAATTCAGGAGGAAGAGAGAGAATCAAAAATAGATAATTTTTTGTAATTGATATCACTTCGATTATACCATTAACCTGTTCCCACATTATGTACCCAGCCAGACATTTCAATTCGCACCACTTTGCCAGCGAGAATCTCTTAATGCTTAATCATTCCCCCCCGCCAGCCGCACAGCCGACAAATTGTCATAACACGAAAAATTAGTCAATAATTTTATTTACGATGAGCCAATGTTTCAAAAGCCACTCTCAATCATAAAAAAGCGGTCCGATATGAGGGGGCTTGGAAATTCGTGTGACTCCGTATATCCCAAGTATCAACATAGCCAGTTATCATCGATAGAGCGCCCCCCGCTCCCGCCATGGCGCAAAAAAGAGTGACTATCAGCGAACATTGTATTTAGAAGGAAGTGTCACTGAAGTGTGTGGCTGTGTGTCGGAGAAAAATACACATGGAATTATCTCGAAACAACATAATCCATTAATTTTTATCATCGAAGCACAGCAGTAAATTTTATCAATAACTCCAAAAGAAACTTGTCTCAATAGGGCACTTTTTTCTCGCTTATCCCCTCCCCCCTATCGGTCCAACTCACACCCATCAGCCACGCGCGAGCTCTTCGAGAGGCAGGCAATCATGTAAACTTCTCGCAGGCATTTTGCTCCCCGCCAAAAAGTGAACAATTGTTGCTTTACACGAAAACCCGACACTGAAGGTTTTGCGATAAGTCTTTTGATTTTCGGAACGACCTTTATTGATTTCGGTTTCCGGGTTAGATATTGCGGTTTAACCCTAATCAATGTATTGACTCGAAAAATGCCCAGGCGAAAGAAATTATGAGTTATAAAAATCATAATGTTAATTTGCGAAGACTTCATCATATTCACATAAATCAGTAAAACATCATCAAACTAAATGGAGAATTGAAAAAAAAAGATTTATTATTTTTTAATTTTACAGCGCTCAGTAAATCTTTATTTTAGCGGTTTATGATATTCAGTTTTATCCCGAGCTTTTCTTTGTGTTCATTATAACCCATTGCTAATGCATTTTTAAAAACTATGCATTCTTTCACAGCTTAAACTACATTAATTGATGAAATATAAACTGTCTTTTTTTAAGGCCTTTGTAGGGTTAAAGATGTATTATTGATTGACTATCAAATGAAACATAATTTAACCATAACTCCGGATCAGTTTCTCCTAAAACCTTGGTCGCACAACTCACTAGCGCTAGCCAGATACTCACATATGTAAATGTGTTGTAACAGCAACAAATACACCGCATAAAAATGTAAACATCAACAATACAAATGTGTAAAAATTTTCCGTATGAGATGACAATAACTCTTTTATTCACCTTCGTGTGATATTGGCCAGAAAAATTCTCACATTGAAATGGCAAAAGCACATTTAGACACCACATTGTATGGGAGAGAGAATAAATGTTAGGAAAAATCATTACATGGCAATTAAAGAGGTGAGCAACACAGGAAAATTTTTTGGGTGAAAAGCACATAACAATAATCTACCTCACTGAGCTAATTATAATTCGCAAGACAAGGAAAAATATCAAATAAATAAAAATGCCGTAAAGTATTCTCATCTCTACACAGTTGTACACATAGGTGAAAATATGTATAAACAGAAACGTTGTGAGTATAGAATGAGAGCAAGAAAAAAAACTTTATAATTGAAAATTGTACAAAAACCTTTTCGCTTTTTATAACACTTTGCTCGGAATCCATTTGATTCTGTGCAGAAACATTGGGCAGCGAACCGCCACGAAAAGCACCCAAACCAGGCGCCAGGGAACGCGACACCTACAAAAATTTATCATCAAATCGGTACACATTCTCATAAACATCTTGTGATTAAAACTTTGATATAATTGTTATTGCTGTAAAAATTGTGTTTTATGTCCTATGAATTAACTTCTTCCTAGGTTGTATTGTTATTTTCTACATCTCACTCTCTTCTGTTCGTCTCTACAGCTCTGGATGTACGAATATTATTATATTCACGACGCGCGCGCCTTTTTTCCACATCCAATTCAGTGAAAAAGCCAGAGTGAAGCTCATGGACTTGAAATAAGAGTTGCTAATTGCAGTGATATAATTAAGAAATACACACATTGACACATGTTATAAGTAAGTCTACTTTATTAGTCATGATATAATTGAATTCGCCTCAAACACAACTCGGAATTCTGGTTTTCAAACTGCTGTAATAATTAGAACGATTCAATTAAAAGCACACTTAATGGTTATACAGGAAGTACAACATGCGTTGAGAATATTTGGACATTTTTCATATTTCAATTTCATTGAAAAAAAAATCACACGCCGAAAATATGCAAAACACTGTCTCTCTCTCTCTCGCCTTGTCTCTCTGTTCCACACTGCATAATCTTATCAAAAACTGGAGGAAAGAATTTACTTGCAAATAAGTATTATGAAAAGTATTTGTTCACGTGTAAAATAAATAATATCCCTCCGCGATTCTCGGGTAGTGTAAGTAAAATATGAGAGATTATGAAATTGCGCTTGTGCTAAACGTTTCTACAATCGCACAATTGTATAGAATTTTTTTATTCTCATATACAGTCATTCTTTCCTTTCCGTGCTTCCCCCTTTGACCGTTTCAATGAATCGTGAAAAAATTTACACAGTGAATTATGTACAGTACTCCTCACACACGCCTCGTGCTGCCAATTCTGCAGATTACTATCCACATGTACATTAGATAAAGAAATATATTTTAGGCTTTTTTCACAATCTCCATGTGTGTGCTGATGCCCATTGTTTGCTTGTTAAATCAAATCAATTGTAATTGATGAGAAATAATAGAAAATATGGGCATAGATTCTGGGGAGTCTCGAGATTATCAGCATCACACTCGCTCTGGCTCAATACAATCGGATCGATATATGCAACTTACTATATATGCTACCAACTTACGTAGTATAGAACGTATAATCGTGTCATTTTCCCATGAAAATGGCAATTAAGACAACAAATTGTATGAATGCAATTAGATTACCTCCTCTCACTTCATCCTCATATTCTCAATTTCATTTGCCGCCTCCCATCATCTCACCCTTCTCACGCCTAGAATTCCATTCCAGTAATTTTCACTTTCACAGAATGCCTCGCATCTTCATTCTCATTTCCTGAACTCATCTCTCTCTCTCGCTCTCTGCAGTGTGTCCTCCTCCTCTTCCCACTTCGTCATCGCGCGCACCCAAAACCCAATTGAAACTGAATCGCGCAGTGGCCGCGCGAAAAAAGAAATGTGTGTTAATTCTCAATTTTACAGATACAATGGCGTTAAACACTGTAGAATTGATGGAATAATAATAAATATATACATATTTATGTTCAAAGTTCAAGGATTCTCACATGTAAACAACTTTTCAAAGTATTATTTCATACTGGAACAGCGACACACTCGCGGACAAGTGGGAGAAGCTCAACAACTTCTTCAAAAGCCTCTTTTTTTGATCACATAGTATGATCACTCCAAAGTGGTCTTCCTCTTCATTGATTAGCACACACATTGATAGTGATTTCGCGAAGATTCTCTCATCTGCGTGCTCTTTTTTCACACAGACTTTTCCCGCCTTTTTAGCATCTATGCCGCATTCCGCCATGCGTTGTTATCGCTGGGACACAAGGCATTTATTCTAGAACGCTGACTAAAAAACTGCTTTTCCATTTGTTGTCCATTCTATTCTAGTCATCGGGATGGCGTTTCACGGCGAAATATTTGTCATGCGGAGTTCTTGAAGATATTTTTGTGTAGATCAATATTTACTCAATGTCCAAAACAAGCGCTGGAATCATCAAGATTCCAAAATGGCCAATAATCTCAAGTGATTTGAGTGTTTGACTACAACCCACCCCCCTGACAACATACTAATTTCATGAAGTAAACAAGTCTCTTTAATACGAAACCTCAGAATCAGAACAGTGACATAAGATCCAGAGGTTCAAATATTGCGGTGACTTTTTAATTTATTGGCTTTTCAACTATAAAAAACGCCTTTAAAGCCTAACAGTGTTCTGAAGAATTGAGAGGAAGTAAATATAAATATTTCCATCATTGTACAATAACAGAAAATTCCTAAACATCCATTGAGCCGTTCGAATTATTATTTTTGATTTGGCCAACAGCTCGATCATGTCTTGCATTCCAGGTAATTAATTCAATTTCGAAGAATTCACGAAAAAGCAATATCACAAATTTGTTTGCGTGTTCTAATTTTAAGCGAATTGGGGAAGAGAGGAAGTTCTGCGAAGGACACATTTTAGGATAAAGATGAATCCTCTCTCCTAGCCCCCACCCACATAGTCAATTCCACTTGATGGAATGCCAATTCGAAGAAACGTGAGCTAACGCCACCCACGGAGTCTTCCTCGTATTTCAGTGTTTTGCAATTGAAAAGGATGGAACTGTACACGAAGCTGGAAAATTGTCTGTGGCTCAATACATCCTCTCCCCATCCTACATTATATTTTATCGAAGAGGAAATTGTATTACTTTTGTCTCCTGTTAAGTGTACTGCAATATTTCACATATTGGGCACATGAAAGGGAAGCTTGAGTGTCGCTGACAGGAGTACAGTGACATCCCCGTAAAAGCCCCGCCATCGCCAGACCTCTCTTCTCGCATATTATAGCCAAAAGGTTGCCATGCAAAAGCGGTGAAATGAAATTTATTGTGCGAGCGAGGAGCAAGTTTGTTCAGAATTTCGAAATTTCATTAGCCAATCACATTGCTTTATTGCGCTGACATGCGAGTGATTTTCTGCATCTCTATTGGCTGCCGAATGGAATTTTTCATCCGAAATTTTGTGTGAAGGAATTTTTTCGGGTGTACTGCAAAAGAATCAGTCACTATCAATCTCTGGTGATCTGTGATGGGAAGGCATAGAAAATTCTTGTTGTGTGTATACACAGAAAATCATGAGATTGAGAGAATTCTTCCTATTCGCAGTCTCTCGCTCGCGCGCGCGGAAAAAAGCTAATTTGTACACATTAGAATGTGTGTGAATGTGTGTCTGCGCTCCCCCCCACCCCGTCCCGTAAGTTTACACTCGAATGGTGGTATTTGTTGAAAAATAAAGCGTAATTATCGAAAACACAATATACATTTTGAGTATTTATGTCCAAACGGGGAGGCTGATTATGAATTGAAATCCGTAATCTGTCGAGCGGCGGATGGAGAGAATTGGGAGCAGGAGCGGCAGGGAATAAAGGCGCACGATCCATGTTGTTGCTCCCATTCAGATCCCATCCAGAGAGCGACTGCGGATAATCATTTTTCGTCTCCCGTTCGCCAGATTCGCTCTCCCGCCCGCCCAATTAAATGCCATTTGCGCTCCGAACAATCAACACGGAAGCGATGGCAGCTCATCGCGCGCCGTGGGAGAAAATTTCCTATGCTCTCCACGAGATTATGTGTGCCTATGCAAATCCAATGAAAACACAGCTCATCTTCACATCTCTTCCGGACTCGGAAGACGTGGAGCTGAGCAGCGAGCGCCCGAAATCCAGCCCGCGCGCGCGGCCGAGCTCTCGCGCGCCTCCCGGACAACCTTCCCTGAGCCCCGATGACCCGTGGCACCGCTTGGGACTCTGTGCCCCCCGCGGATTGTGTCGCAATAAGGGGGCCAGAGCTGGCCAGTGCCCGCCATTACCTTCGATGTGGCGTCCGACACTTCTCGCATGATCTTCTCGAAAGCAGCTGTCTCCTCGGCCTGCTTCTGCTGCAGCAGGGCAATTTTTTCGCTGAATTTTCGCGGATTTGCCATGGCTGGTATGCAACAACAACACCATAAACACCAAAGTCACCAATTGTACATATCTGCCGCGCGCAATCACCTATATTTAGTGTCTTTTAGCAACTTGTACACCCCTATCACTGACTTCACGGGTATTTAGTGGGTGATTTTGCAATGAATTTCCATAATTTTTCACTTTTAGCACACCGATAACAGAGAGAAAACATTCACGCCATTTTATTTTCACACTGTCATGCATGACAATTGAACAATTTTCCATGGAAAGCTCGCAGCTTTCGTGGCGCTGAGCTTCTCGACGAAGCTCGGGTGGCCCGATTGGGTGGCTGTCGGGTCGACTCGTCAAATCTCAACCGATTTCACTGCGCATTTTCATAACAAATTTCCAGGAACATTTTTATTATTCATTATGCCGCATACAAAGGCCAATTTTTTCTTAAAGAAAATTTGAATGAAGGAATAATGACTAAAAAAGGGAATATGTAGATTAGAATAAACAACAACTTTTCCAGAAAAACAATGAATGTTGATCTGTTTTCCTTGCAAAATATTTTCAGGGGGAATTTCATAGAAATTTGGAAGAATCTTGCTTGAGAAAATATTCTTCTTTTCACGTCAATATGATTCAGTTTGATTATACCTTGAATTCTGCAATTAAAGACTTGTGGAAAGATATCCTTGTGTATTTTTGATGTATCATCTAAAGCAAAGTCTTACTAGGATTTCTTCTGATAAGAATATGCTTGAAAATTTTAGGGATGAGAAGATGAGAAAGTTTCCAATTCGATTTGTGCTTTTGCTGTGCCCCTTGCGCAATACTGCTTACGCTACCACTGACGCGCAGTCGTTCAGTCGGCTGTCAGTTTTGATTATTGTGTGCGTTCTGCTGGGTCAGTGCTTTCTGAAAACTTCTATCGGGTAGATTTTGTGATAATTTTGCTCGATATTTTGTCAATTACTCACGCTATTGCTTGTATTTCACCACCATCAGCTGCCCCTGACCACTTGCCAGTGACTGAGCGAGGAGATTTTGCAGAGAGTACAGTGATTAGCGAAGAAAAAGCGGAGACATGTCGGAGTTTGTTTGGGCCCTGAAAAACGGTGACTTGGATCAGGTGAAAGATCTAATAGAGAAGAAGGTGTGTGCTCAGGCGGAAATCGCCAATGAAATGCATCAGTGGCTCTGACGAGTGTCTCTTTTAGGGCGTGGAGGTGAACAGGGACATCGATGGCCGCCGGCCAATTCACTTCGCCGCCGATTACGGGCAGACGGAAGTGCTGGAGTACTTGATCACGAAGGGGGCAGACGTGAATGTGAGAACAGCCAGGCGGGCTTCCGGGAGTTGGGCGAATAATCTAAAATGTGTGTGTTTTCAGGCCCTCGACAAGCACGGCATCTCCGTCCTCTTGGCGGCCATCTGGGAGGGACACACGAGCTGCGTGGAGACGCTCCTGAAGAAGGGCGCCAGCAAAGAGGGATCCGCTCCGGACGGCACTAGCTACCGGGATGCTGCCGAGAAGCCCGAGATCAAGGCTCTGCTGTCCTAAGTCGAAACTGCAGCGTACGATATGAGTTTTCCTCCGGGAATCTTCCAAGAAGCATTTTCATTGCAAAGGAATATTTATATTTCATGGAATTATATACAGATAGGATGCATCAATGATATATTTTAAGCTTTTTATAAGTAAATATCGTGAAAAAGAGAGTTTTATCCATTGTCATCATTCGGAAAATTCTTGTGGTGTGGGTGTGAAGCACTCGGCCGAACGCATTCTCTATGGAGATGATGGAGATAGTATAGCTAGCTGAGCGAGAGAGAAAACGACCACCGGGCGACGATGGAGGGGAGGCGACCTGCATTACCGACGCAAGGTGTCGCAGTGACGTGGGAAATGTCAGAATCACGCAGAAAATTGTGGGTTTTTCCGTGAAAATCAGAGAAAAACAATGGATTGTGGCTCCAATCCACTCTGTGAAAGGATCATCGGCGAGATTGACCAGGTCTTCAGCCGAGATCCCAATCTGTAAGTGCGGCCGGAAGTGGAGATCTGGGAAATGAGGCCACGGGCAAAAGCGTCCTTGGCGGCTTGCCGGGAAGCGCAGAAGTGGATTTTTTCGGATTCTCCCTTCTCAATGAGATACCAAAGAAAGCTCTGAGTCGTGAAGATTGAAAGAAAAGCGTTCAGGTATAGCAGAAATATTGACTTCTGTTCTGCACTCATTTCAGGGCGACGTTCGAGGTGATTCCGATGCCTTCCAATCAAAACAAATCCCCGGTCATCCATGTGGAGCACAATCTGGGCCTGGAGTCGTGGTGCGTGAAGCACGTCTATGACCACTGCCATCGAGTGCTCCTGGACAGTCGACTGGTCGTGCACAAGCACAGCAGCAAGGAAAAGAGTTGTGAGAAGAGTGTGAAGTACCTCAATGTGGCCATCCTTATCAATCCGGACGTGGCTGTGTTCTGGAACATGCGACGGAACCTCGTGAGGCAGTGCAAACTGAAGACGGACGCGGAATTTCACTTTTCAGCCCTTGTGCTCTCCAAGAAGCCCAAATCCAGCGAGGCTTTCGCCTACCGGAGGTGGCTGTACTCCTTCGAGAGTGAGTATCTTGGCCGGGCTGTGGCAGTGGATGAAAATAGAACAACCCTTCCCGGGGAGGCTCGCCCTCGGAGACTTTCAGGGGAATTCTGTACACTGTTGAAGGGGTTTCGGGGAAACCAGGCAAATGTGTTGGTTTCCCGCCAAAATCTCCTATCACTGAAATCCATTGGAATTGTTCGAATTGTTGATCTTGTGGCAAAGTTTCGTCAGTTTTGTTGAATTTGACCACCCGCGTGGTACGATAAGAATATAATTAATTAACTTGTTTTCAAATGGATAATCATGAATGAAGTTTAAGCTAATAATCACTGCAAAACCCTCTTCCTTTGTTTGTTTGCTATCACAATGAAAAATTCGTGTCTCCAGCGCGTGTTCTAATTTCCATTCGACTTCCAGGTAGAGAATCGATTGACTTGGCGTTCGAGATTAGCCTCTGTGAGCGCTGTGCGGATAGAAACTCGAGCAACTACCATGCATGGAGTCACAGGCTCTGGGTGCTGGACCAGGAGCCGCGCTTCCTGCACTTCGAGATCTACCTGACAGAGAAGTTCATCCGGCGCCACATCAGCGACTACAGCGCGTACCACCATCGCGTGGTGGTGCTGCGAAAGCTGCTTCAGGTGGGCGAGATGGAGAGCGAGGAGAACAGCGACTACGCGTCCCTCTGCGACCTGATCGACTGCCTCCTAGGCGCAGGTGTAGCCGTGGGCAAGACACCCAGCGAGCTGCTGATCGTGCTGCTGCCCAACGCGCCAGCCACCACGTGCCTCGCCTGGAGTGCCAACAAGCAGTTCAAGTCCCTTCTGCACTGCCTCAACCTGGCCGCATATGATTTGCAGCTGACTGAGGAGCTGCGGGAGACTTTTGGCGAGAGGGAGGCCTTCGAGCTGCACCGGCGATCAGTTGTGCAGTTCATCGTGGAGTCCTGTCGGCTGTTCGATGGCTCCTTCGCCACTGGACACGACGGGATGGCGAGCAGCGTGAACAATTGCCACTCGCCGCCGGCCAGCAAGGCGTCCCGGCGAGAAAATCGGTTCCTCGACACCCTCCGGCGCAAAGAGGCCCAGCGAAGCGAGGCCACGCGGAAGTGGTGTCAATTATTCTTAGACTTCCCCTGTGATGGTTGACAGAACGCGCGAATGTCGTAGATGCACTCTTGCAATTTCTTAATTTATAACTCAAACTAGGCGATTTTATTCCTTCTCTTGTTTTCTATGATATAGTTCTTTTAAGAGTACAAAAGAAAAAAAAAGTGTGTACGGCGTCTCGAAAGACCCACTTTAGGCGTTTCAGATGTGAGATATACGACTATGTTAAGCAAATGACAACAATACTCAGCTCTAATATGCAGAATTCTAAAGAATTGAACATAGAGAAATATTTACTAATGTTACCAATTTTATCGTAGAGTTTTTTCACACAAAATATCGCAAAGAATCAACAGAGGTGGCCTAATATTTGAGCAAAAGATAACCACTGAGATTAGCATGTTTTCCTCTTTAAATCTCATGCCGAAGAGGGTATTTATAGAGCTTGTCTGTGCGAGGAGAATTGTAATGAAATTTTCCGCTGGGAAAATCAATTCAGCTAATTGAAAAATATTTAATTGAAAGATGTTGAGCAACACTTTGACATGCATTTCGATTCACTAAAAGCCCACTCGTGACTTCGATAGGCAGTCAATTTTGATGAGAACGCACTGTGAGATGTGCTGATAAGAATGTGTTTTTGAGACAATTCCTTTGGTGAAGTTTTGGGAAGCCGCGACAGTATTGAAAATCGGATCAGACACATTTCATTGTGCGCATTTTTTGGGTGATTTTGTGACAACACCTCTGAAGATTCGATTTTTCCATAATTTCTCAGTGAAAAAAAGTATATATAAAAGTTCTCTCAATATCTCACAATTGCATTTACATGATGTCTAATAGCTTTTAACAAAAAGTAGATAATTTAATTTGTAATCTTCTTCCACACACGGAACAATACTAAAGAGAGTAAATAATCAAAAGATCACAATATTTGTGCCAAAAAAGCAGCAACAAGATCATAGCTAGAGTGTTAATTTATCATTTAGTGATTCGATGAGTGATGAATTAATGATAGTAATGCCGATAAGTGGAGATGAAGTGTGAGAGAAAGAATAAAAGTTAATTATGTTAATTTAAGTGAGACTGTCTAGCTATCACTTTTTCTCGCTCAATAATTCTCTCTCGCGAGCCATTGATTGACGAGAGTGCGAGGTTGATAAAATTAACTGACATGTTTTGGAGTCTAAGGGCTGCTCAGTCTGGTGCTGGGAAACTGATGGGGTTTTCCTGCTGAATTGGTCGAATTCGATTATGTTCTAGCAGCGATCAAAAGGACTTTTATTATTCGCTACGTCCACATGAGTGTTTGCTTCCTTATTCGCTTGGAATTTAAACAGCGAGTCATGTAAGTTTTTCTCATTGTTCAAGAATTTTGCATTTACTTAGAAATCATTTAAAAAAATCACTTTTTACAGGAACATTGCGAAGTTTTGTAGAAATCAAAGTTCGAAGTCTCGTTGACGAAGGGACACTGGGACAAGTCCCAAGATGAATTTGCTATATTCGATTGTCATGGATTAGAGATAGATGATTCTCCTGTAACAAACAAGTATTATCTACGGTTTTTCTTCTTCAAAGAAGTCATTGATATTCGAGTAGTTTTCCAGACAATATGAAGACTAGATTCTGCTTTGAAATGTTTTCTTATTTCTGTGAATAAAAGTTGGTGTTCTCAGAGAATCGTCGCGATAAAACTCTGGCAATGACTTGGTCAATGATTAGCCCCTCGGGTTATCGCACCGCGAACGGGCACTCAAAGGCGATTCTCTGTTATTTTTGGGAAAACTCTTGATGAAGGTGTTTGGAGACAGACCTGGCTAAATGGCGCTCTTGTGCGCATTTAATAAATCATTAACCATCGTGAGTTTATTGCTGTGCCCGGCCTCATGGCCTTTTTAACGTCTCTCTCGCTCTCGCCGCCACTCTCAATTACAGAACTCATTTGGCGTTCGTGTGGGTTGGAGAGGGTGGAAAATAATGCATATGCTACCTTCACGTGAATCAATCAATCGCGCTATAGGGAAATATCCCCAGAGTTTCATTGGCAATCTCAGTGTATTTCTGTGCGTTCCAGCGAGTTGTGGTGTTTCCGGCCATGGATAGTGAAAAGTGGACGGATTTCCTCGAAGTGCCGGACAATTATAGGCTGCACAGATCCAAGAGCGACAGTCATGCCAAGGAGAAACGGAAGGATGAGGCCAGGTGCCAGATTTCACGGTCACAGATCAATGTGGCAGTTCTGGAGAGTGAGGGATCTGCTGTGTCAGCCACGAGATCACTCATCAGTCAGACCATCGCCGTGACATCGCATCACCTGGGCATCCAATTCAGGTACCTGCATTTCAGTCGCTTTCCCTCCACAAATCCTTAAGAGAACGCCTCTGGTAGGCTCACGCTTCTCTCCATCGTGTCCTTCGCCTGGGGCAGACTTTGCTCGTCAAAGCGCACACGCTTTTCCCGCCCCTCAAATTCGGAGAGACAGAGAGAATGTGCCTCTCTCGTGATGGCTTTCCACCCCTCCTAATGTGTGGCTTAATAGTAGAATTTTTTCGCATTTTGTGGAGCTTTCCCGATGTCTTTTGAGACACCGAGAGAGTCTCCTCGGGCTCAGTGGTGATTGTTTTCTCAACCAAGCCACACACCCTCAGATTCACGGTGCGCCCCAAGTCAATTGAACACTTTCCCAGAGTCACGGGAAGTGGTGAGTGCTCCCAACATATCATAGTCGCGGACGACAGGTCTGCCAGGCTCTCCTGTGCATCGCAGTGCACGATTTCCGGGGTGGTTCAGCGCACGGCCGACTGTCCTCTCCGTGAGACATTTTCAAGGTGATCACTTGGCGGTGAATGTGGCAAAAATAGTTCGCAAAAGGTAATTTCCGTGAGTAGGCCCTTCGTGGGAACCACCGTGGGTGGTTGGCAAATGGTATTGTCCTCCTAGCACTCTTGATCCGTGATGATTTAACCCCCTGAGGGTCGCGAAAAGGTGAAATGGGCGACATTGGCGGAGCACCCAGAAAATGGATCGATAGTGAAAACACCCATTCTGTTTGGAAAATCCTCCCCGTGAGGAGGGGAGCGCACGAGAGAGCTTCCCTCACGCCAGACTTTTTTATGTCCCTCTCTCATCCCCCTCGACGTCCCGTGCTTCCCCGTTTCTATCCATGGTCGGGATTAGGTGCAGACACAGGATTCCTCTCCATCATCACACATTTAACTTCCCATTTCGGGAGATTTTCCCCAGAGATAGGAAGCGAAATTATTAACACGCGCCCTCAAATGAGGCTCATGCGAAACTATCCACAGTCAGCTTCCGGAAGTAAGCACAATATTTGCTGAGAATTTCCACAGACTCTGGAGGGAAAATCAATATGCCAGAAATTCTTGCATCAGATAGCACAATATTCCTCATTCCAGCAAATATTCAAATGGCCTCTCATGTTGGCGTTATGCAACGAGAGAGAGAAGGAGACTTTTATTCACTCCACGAGGAGGCATTTCGGTTCAATACTTCCTCGTCACTTGTCTATTAATCAAAATAATCGAATATGAGGGAAAATGCTTCTCATGGCAACATTTTTGGGTTACATAGAATTCATCATACTTATTGGTATTCACCATGTTTTTTTGGTGTTGGCAGCAAATAAGTCTCTTGAGGGAGAAAATTGCTATTGGGAAAAATTCGACGCACAGCTTTTGTGGGCCTCATGGTGACAGAAGGGGGGCTGGAGCTTTTCCCAGCAAGATCTGTCGCTGCTCAGTCATAAAAAAATATATGTAATACAAGGGTCGTTTGGGAAGTTGATGACTCTGCACTGTAGAGAGTTTTTTTTGACATGCAAAAAGGAATCGTAAAGTTATGAAATTTGTTAATGAAAAAAATTTGAGATTCTATCTTTTACTTTTTCAGTGTCATTTACAAATTTACGTTCAGCAATGATGTCCAAAAGTTTGCATTTGGTTTCCGAAAAGTCCCTATTTATGGTTTCTTCTCAGTTAAATTCTAACCAATTTTTCTATCTTCTCTCCAAATTGATGAAGTTTTGTTCAAAATGCTATTGTTTATTTATTTCTGTGTAGATAAAAATCTTGACATATCTGGGGCGCGAGTAAATAACTGCAGATTGGGTAGATTATACACATCATAAATAAAGTATTAGAAAAGTTTCCTAGGTCATGTTTCCACTCTATAGTCTTTCAGCTTGACTTATATTGGAATCCCTTGGCAGGGATTTTGAAAAATTGAAGTATGAATAAGTCATAGATTCCGTTGGCTGAGGACACGTATTTTCCAAATGACCCTCACGTATAGAAGCCGGAAAATGCGCGCCAGGAATTGGCAAAATTGCTACCGCATAGCTCTGCGATTTTCCACCTTCATCCCCCTTCGGCGCTGCGGAATGTCGAGGGGGTGGCGAGTGAGTGAGAGAGTCAGATGTGTTTATTTACAATAATATCCTATGCCGAAATGCGTCACAAAATATCGAGCATAACTTATATGAGAAGATATTTATGAATTTTGCACTCAAGCTGTAAATTTTCCTCTCTATTTATACAGAGTTTTCGCGATTTTCGCGTCTCTCTTCCTCTCCACGATATCCGTGAATTAATTTTCCTCTGATTTGATGCTCTTTGGCAGATTACCACCACACCTTGGGCCAGTTGAAGCGCCTCCGGAGGATGCAGCCTTGGACTACATTCCGTAAGTTTTAGAGATCTTTAATCTTCGGAGTGAAATTAAGTTTCTCCACCTTCCGTTCTATTTATCCACCCCCAACCATTTATTTTCATGATTCTCCTCAGGCCAAATGGCAGGGAATGTTAATCTTTCCCTCCTCTCTGGCTCTCTTGGCATCTTGTCAAGACAGACAATTTTCCCTCCGAGACTGCAAATTTTGCCATTTGTCTCAATCGATTTTCCTGCCATGGCGCATAAAGTATGACATCGCTGGGAAGGAAAGGTCAGCGATAAGAAGTTATTTTTGCTCACAAACTTTTGTGGGTGGATTTTTTTCTTTCCAGACACTGGATGTGTGAGTGTTTGATGCAATCTGATCCAATTGTTTGGTGGGAAGAGAAAAATTCACATAAAAATAGGAATTATAAGCGATAAGATATAATTCATTCGACACAAGTTTCTTATCGCGAAGAAACTTTGCTTTATCATGGGAATGAATGTGTGAGAAAGATTCAATTAGTCGCACAGGTGTTCCTTCTAATGCCAGAGGTCTTAATGTTGCAAATTTCTGCTGTCGAAGACACACTGATATTGTTTCTGGGCGAAGAGCGAGTCATGTTTAGTGTGATTATTTGTTTTATTCGCAATTGAATCACCTTCGGCCTAGGCCAATCAAGTCTTTATCAGTGACTCTCCTAACGTATGCTCAGGTGACTATTGACGCGACGCGAGTGTTTTCCTAACTGATTACCCTGGGTTTTGACACTTGAACAGAGACTCTTCTCCAGTGATGGTTTTATTGAGAAACACCTGAGAATTTATTAGACTGTAATTGTGCGGTCTTACCTCAGGTTCTCTCGGCAAACTGCCCCTTTTCCACACGGATTATTTTCCATGAAAATATTTACTGAGCAACATCATTTGCTTTTCCTATTTTTCTCGGCATTCTACACCCCCAAAAGGAGTGTGAGACACTCACAAATCCGCCGTAAAATATGACTGTACGAGGATCTGGCAGTGTTTTGCTCGTTGTGTGGCGTTTTTATCAGTGAAAGCGAAAATTGCGAGAATGCCTCATTATTGTGCTATTCGTGCGTGATCTTATTTCATATTCCGGAACAAGCGGAGAGACCGCATAGAAAAATTGTGTGATGAAGAGTTGGGGCGCAGAATGGCGAGCGAGAGGCCGTGTTGTGTATCGTATAAAGGCAACAAACAGCGAATGATAGTTGATATTAATAATGCCATAGAGGCGGCAACTAGGTCTCTCTATTGTCGCACGAGTCTCTCCAGAGCATTATTAGTGCGAATGTGAATGAAAATAGACGGAGAGCGGCCCCAGAGAGTGTATATATTTGCAGAGATAATTGAAACATACAAGCCCGGAGTGTTGCAGAAAAAAATTCGTGACATTTCGCGAGCACACTAAAAATATTCGCGATATTTTTCGCGATTCTCAGCGTCTCAGCGTTGTGATTTAGTCTCTGTGCGTTTCCCGAGTGCGTCAAATGTGTGCTGAGAGACTCTCTTCAGCGAAAGTGTGAATGAATTCTAGTGGCTGTCATGGGTGTATTTTTTATCAACTTCCTGTGCTGTGGGCCAGAAAAAGGAACTGAGTCTGATCAAAAGTGACCATTTATTGTAAATATTTATAGCCATTTTCCGTACAATTGGTCAGAAATGCTGACAATTGGAAAGGAGAAGCTCTGATGGGAGAAGTTTTGTGTAATATTGACTCAACACTCAATGCAATTGAGTTTGTCGTGTGTTTGTCATGTAATTTGAGGTGATGACAGAGATTTTTGATGTGAAGGCAATGCCAGAAAAATATACAGAGACTAATGAATGCTATTTGTGAGGAATTATTTCCGTTTCTTCCATCCCAAATCACGTGGAAAAAAGAAAGACAAATAAATCGAGTAAAAGTTCATTTGGTGTGAAGAACAAATGTGTGATCTTGAGCGGAAAAAAGCCACTCTATAAGATGATATAAACATCGTGATTTGGCATTGATTGGATTTGAGTGAAAAAAAAGAGAGCAGACAAGGAGGAATTTGGAGCAAATCTCAAGGTGTTGCTCTACATGAGAATTTATCATCTGAGGACGGCAAAATGCTTGAGGAGAACGAAGAGGAGACTGTGGTGCTGCGGGAGAAGCACATCCTGACCTTTGAGGCGAACCTCGCCGAGGAGAAGTTGCGCCAGATCTACTGGCAGGATGAGAATGTTCATCTTAAGGATCTCGATCGCATATCATCCTATCTGGCATTCAATCGCTGTCACTCCGTGGCGGTGCCCCAAACACACTACATCCCATATCGTCATGACGACGTGCTTCAGAACCTGCAGCAGGAGTCCTTCATCCACAGCAATCTGGCCAAAGAGGTGCGAAAGTCCATGCCAGAGGAGTGTCCGCACAAGAAGCCCGTCACCATTGGCAGTGTCTTCAAGAGGGACTCGTTTCTGCGCCAAAGCTGGAATCACTTCATTAAGAGGAACAAGTCGCAGAGGCGCAAATCCATGTCCTCAGAGGATGTGGCCAGGATGAAGCACAGGAAAGAGAAGAAGATAGTTGACAGCAGCAATGATGCGTCCAGCGATGGGGCCAAGTCCAGTCCGAAAGCAGCTAAAAAGGGTCACAAGAGGAGCAGCTCCACTTCCAGTTGTATGAGTAATCGGTAAGAGGAAATTCATTTTCTCTCTCGGCCACATTTCAAAGGGGAGCCCCCAGAGTGTCTCTTCCCCGCATTGAGGTACTAATGGGCACTCAAATATGCTAATGAATGCAAATGAGCACTGAAAGTGTTAACAATTTTGTAGGTGAAGACATTCATTTCTTCGTACTTGCAAAAATGATATGTTTGTCAAGTAACAATTTGAGTTGGGATTTATTGTGACCTTCACATGACAGACGGACGCTTTAATCATAGCGATGTAATGTCATAAAAAGACATATCTTTATTAGAATGTTTCTCCCGAGTGAGAGAGTCTGTAAATTTCCATAAATCTCTCGTCAGACCACTCTTAGTTTTAGCTCACTTCCAGTTTTTCTCCACGTTTGGCAATTACTCCATACGGCGAAACAACATTTGGGAAGTTTGTTGTTTTTTTTGTTCTGTGATAAATAATTCTACATCAATCATGATTTCACTTCTGCCTCAATCAAGTGTGCTGCTTTGCGGAGCTTCTCAATCATAAGTCTTTGTCAAATAATCACCTCAGGCCAGGTCAAGAGATCAAATATTAAAGAGAAAAGATTGATTTGCCTCACTGACCAACGATTTGTTTCCCAATGTCTCTGCAACATGAATTTCTTTAAGTATTTATTTGGCCATAAACTCCATCAATTGAGAGGTCATGATGCGAAGCTTTAATGTACATCACTTTTAGTTTTTCATCTTTATTGTGTTTTCTTGTGGTTTTTCTCACAATGTTTGCATATAATGCTCTTTATATTTTCATAGCTGATTTTTTTTGTCTGTTTTCTATGATATTTAACAAGTCAAATGGTGAGACAGTCTTTCTCACACGCGCCAACACTTCCTTGTCTGGATGACATGAAGTAAGCTTTGTTGTATGAAATCCACATTCGGAGTTGTTTCAGTATTAAACTCGTTATGATATTTTTTGTCATACTCATGAAGAGGCACGTGTTCTTGCCAGAGCTTTACGATGTTACCCGGCAATTCACGTTTATTTCTGAGATGATTTGTAATTAAAACATCACGGTTGATTTCACAATTTTCCTTCTTGAATGTTTGCAATCAACGTGCGTATTCAATCAATAGATTCGTCATGTGTTTCTCTTACCTTCTCTGTTGATTTAATCATCAACTTGCCGAATTTATCGGCTTTCTTGTGGTGTGATTATTAAACAATTACGGCACAATCAACAGGATTTCTTATATCAGTGATCAGTGAACTTTTCAAATATCACACACAGTTTCTTCAGCGATCATAGGCGTAGGCACAATTATCTCTTTAACTGAAGCATCCTGACTACACACATGACTGTAACATTCTGCACTTTCGACTGTGGTGAATGATTTTCACACTGAAAACACACAAAGAAGATTTATCCTTGAATTTCCTTTCTTCGAAATGCGAGATTCCGAGAAGATTCGCAGAAGATTAAATTCGTCTGGGGTGATTTTTCTTCGGTGAAAATTGCGGCGGGAATTTGTCACTCGAGCGATGGGTGAATGGAGATAGCTCAGCGGAGTGGAGAGATATAGATTAGAAGTGTGAATGAGTGATTTGTGGGTTTGAACACCTGGCGTCTCCATCGACACCTGGCGTCTCCACTGCATGCATTAAAAGCTCTGTTGGATTTTATCGATTAGCCTGGAGAATCTCGCATTGTGTTGTGGAGAGGTGATTAGATTGGAGCTATTATGTCATAGGCAGGAACTATGCCACATCACCTGAGCCCATACTGCAGGGGTTGACCCACTTTCATTCGTCAAGGAGACTGAAGGATCTGAGTGAATTTGTCTCTGAATGTCTGTGTTGGACATCTATTTCTGCCTGTGTTACGAATCTTTCCCAGGAATTTTAATTGACTTTCTTGCAATAGAGGAGCAGTGAGTGAGTGATGAAAGCATGTTTCATTATTTCACCGAGTCTTGAAGGAGAAATAGAGACTCTGACTGTGTACAGTCTATAATTTCCCTTGGGTAATAATCCTCTCTTAGGTGAATAATGAGCAAATTCACGTTCTGTTCCGCCGATGCCCAGTGAAATTGATGGTATATTTAGTGAATGTGGTGTTTTATTTTTTTCCACTCAAAAGTCGTGACACTCAACAGATGTGCCTCTTTCTGTCCATTTCTCCTTGACTGTTGTGTGTTGATCAGCAATATTTCGTGGAAAACTGCCTGAAATTTCCTCTGATAATTGACATTATTGCCTGTCGTGGTTTCCACTGGCCAACAATACGTGACAATACATGGCCAAATAAAGAAATTACCATTTAACCTAAATATCCCACCTATTTTGCCCTATTGTGATGTTAGGTTTTGGCTCCATTTCGAGAATTGGGTGCAGCTTCTTGACTTCAATTTGCCCCTGAGACGCCCCAAAAATATAATTCCATGTCATGGAATATCTCACCCTCTGCTCTCTTTTGTGGCTTCTGTTTTCTCAAGCTCACTCCCGGGAACACACCCAATTCTCATGGTAATTCTCTGGTGCCACGCATGCAGTGGACATGATTTCACGGAATACTAGAGCATGTCCCAAAAAAACAGAGGCGCGTAGAAAGCTCACACAGGACGGTCAATTGGGGAGCTATCTAATGAGATTCCCTTATCGCAGATTTCTTATCGAGACATCATGACGTCCATTCGATATGATTTGCATAATTCTCTTGTTGTTCCATCGCGTTATTGATAATTGCAGATAGGGAGTTGATAGTTAAGGGATTATGCGAAACAATGCCGGGGGAGCTTTAATGGTTTCCGTGTGTGTACAGCGGGTGGCGCGTGTGTGCGTTTTTCAACGTCTGCAGATAACAGTGGTGATACCTACTATGAGGAAGGCGAGTGTGCAAATAATGGCGAGTCATGCAACTTTCAGGGCTCAATAAACCTTAAGCGCCTCAAAGTCGGCAAGAGATTGGCGGCCGGCTAATGCAATTATTGTGATTTTCCATTTTTCACCCCTTTCCCCAGTGACTGGACACGACTGAGGGCAGGGAATGTAGTGCGATTAAGTGTGGGGGAGTGTCAGGAAGCACTAGAAGGGATCAAATAATTCCCATTGTAATATATAGTTAATTTTCCATGTGGAATATGTAGAAAAGCGTCAATCGATAGATTTACAGAGCTCTGTCAAAAATATTACAGCGATTATTCAATGTCCGGATTCCGGAATGCCTTTATATAAAAACCATACATTCTGAAAGCTCTCGAGAGCTTTGTGTGCAATTTTTCTGCATGAAGAGGCAATTTCATGGGAACCATTCAGAGCAATTTGGGTGCTTGGGAAGTTGGATTTAATCCTCAGCATCCATTATAATGGACACCCATATAAATTACTCCCAATTGCGCGGTTGAGTGCCTCAATATGGGCGAACTAAAAAGTCCTTCCGCATAAGTAACCACTCTTTCTTCACTGTCATTGCACAATTTCTAATTACAGCGGCACGCGGGGCATAAAAGAAAAATGTATTTCACTGTGTCAAAGAGGCTGGCAAAAAGACGAATCATGTGGTTACAGAGCAATTTATGAGGGGCCTCTAACAACTCTTTTATGCTTTGACAGATCCCCCTGAATTTGAAGGTTTCCCTCTCGCAAATGAATGGCAATCGAGATATGTTACGCAATTTTACACTCAAGATGAGTTCTTCAAATAATATTTACATTACATCTCCGCAATTGCACAAGTTTGAACCATATGAAAATATTTAAATTAAATTCTTGAGCAGTCAGTGAGGAGAAAACATTATACTGTGAAGTATTACAAAATCCACAGGAAGTTGCTTATGAGTTTTTCTATGCCTCTCTTCATCTACTTGCTTTTCCCTTCCTTTCACCCCGGAAAAAAGAGAGCAAATATTGTGTGGCAATTTTTTTTGGGCTGCGTATGAATTTCGGAGCTTTGCAAACTCTCAATATAATCTGCGGGATTGAGGCGGGAAATTGCAGTAAAAGTTTATGTCTTGTTGGTCTTGTTTGAAATAATGCGGAGACTCATTGACCTTTATTATGGCGGAAGGTTACAGAAAAACAGAAAATGGTTAACAACTTTTGATATTCTTGAATTACACATGTTAATAAATGGATTTTCCTCTTTAAAGTGCATCAGTGCATTTTCAAGTGGTCTGTAATTAATATACATTTCCATTGCTAAAAGAGTCTTTCATGCATGAATTTAATATTCTGTTTATTCTATTGAGTGCGCCCATTTGCCATTAACACGGCCTTTTATCATTTTTCCACAAAAGTTCAGGAAACATAGAGTTTTTCTGGGACTGAAATGTGCTAGATTTATTCACTGAACGTGGAGGCACAAAGGCGTACGAAATGTGCCACAAAATCTCTCGAACTGATTCCACAGATTTATTTATCATGGCAAACTTTTTCTCCGAGATTATCACCACAAGTCAGCGACCAGCGAAGATCACAGTGATCTTTTCTATTGGAGTCGTTTGCTAAAGTAGAGGATAGAGAATGAGAGATCAAGAAGTCAAACCGGCTGTGTGCTAATTTTTCATAAATAGACTCCAATCTCCACATAATTTCCTTCACTCTCTTTCAAATTCACTACACTCGACGTTTATCCTCTGCTCATGTGTTTGTGGGCATGAGGCAAAATAGCTATTGCTTTGATGTTATATTGCTGCACTGGGCCAGCAACTACTCTGTGAGCAGGTATTTTAATTTATGTTTCACTCAGATGAGAGTATTGAGATTCTCTTTGCAACTACAATAGTGCCACGTTCAAAATCCATTCAATTCAATTCACCTTTGGATCTCTCCGGGTTGGAATTGTCGATGAAATGGGGAGAATGGCTGCGATGGTGTTGAATGTGGAAAAGATTCATGCTTCATTGTGGAGAAATGCTGTGCTTCTGTATTGGACAGTGGAGGCTTGCGAAGAGCTCTCTATTGGGCAAAAATTCACACAATAAACTTTTCTATCTCTCTTTCCCTGAATTCATTCAGCGAAATTAAT